AGTTTCTGTGAGATTTTTATGCCGAAACTAATTTCCGTCCGAGTAAGATTCTGCTACATATAACAGCAGTGGATTAAGTTTATCCCACATCGGTTCCTTGGTGCAGGCGTCCCGGTTTGATGAAGATGGTGCGCAAGAATTTAGAAACATGAAGATTTTGCGACACGATTTTGTTTATTTATTTTAGATCAGGCATCTGTTTACAAAGAGTTTTTACCGCATGTTTCCCGAGTGATCTTATGAACTTAAACACATTCAAGAGCAATGGAGACCGGTTTTCAGTTGGGAATTTACAGTAATTATGAAGACTTGTATCGGTAAGCCCATTTTTGCATTAATCAGTTTAAGCAGCAGTAGTTAGTGAAATATGAGTAGTGGATTGTGTGGTTTAGCGCTTTTGGAGAGTTCACCAAAGATGCGGACAGTTATTTAACTTACGAAGCCTTCCTTGCCGGTATTTGCGCAATGAATCCGACGACACCACATGGTGGCGTCCCAGCCGAGTTGCGATGCCGTTTCATGTTCCGCTATTACGACAAGAACAGCGACAGGATTCTTAGTGCGGAAGAATTCAAAAGTCTTTTGCGCGATTTGAGACAGTCCCGGGGATTGCCACCAGATGAAAATGCTACGGAGGCAGAATGTCGAAGTGCCATGAGTGTTTTTGACCTGCAAGGGACGGAAGTGATATTCCGCTGGATAACTTTCTTAATGCTGTGGGTCACCTGCGATTTCGAGGAACATCGTCATTGTTGCGTTTTCAAGCTCCAGTCAGATCGCGTAGAAGTGACATGGATGTTGTTAATGTTGAGAGTGTGAGTCGCAAACGAACGCTAACCGGAAGGGTTTTCCGATCACCGCAGCTGTTTCAGGTTTGTTGCGCAATGTGATTTTCGCGCACTAGAATAGCTAACAATTGTTAACAGTTTTGAATGGATCTTGATATTTATGACTTTGCCAACGGATTTTTAGGGGTTGTTTTGGTTTGAAGAATTTACATATTGCACTGGAAATCAGTAGTTTAAATTTGAACTTTGAATAGTGCCTGCTGGGAATCTACCCTTTATACGCCATATTATTTATCTAAAGCATTTAGAAAGGTCGTGACGCCAAGTTACAAGCTTTGCTTTGATTTGTGATGCCATTATATATACTGGTTTAAGAAATGAGTCACACTGACGCTGGCTTGTTTAGTGCAGTATTTTGTAATACTTGCATTTTGCAGTATCTTCTGCCGATCTCAATGCCAACTCGAAAATTAAATTACGTGATTCCAGTGATGACCACGAACCATATGAGTTAGCCATGCACTCCGTGAAAGTTCGTCGTTCTGGTGTTTTGGGTGATATTCAGACTTTATGGGACATGGAAGGGGCCAATACGCTTTCGGTTTGTATATGCAGTGCAGCCTGCGTATGTACGGAATGATAAACAGTATGCGTGTCTTGAGCATTCCTGCTATTTAACATTGCAGGCGGGCATTACCAACAGTGATCAACAGTTTAAACTGAATCTTTGTCGTATGAACTCGCTTGTTTCATTCAACATGCGGAACAGCAGCAACGAAATGATCAACGGCTTACGGTGAGAGAGATGTTATTTATCAGTTTTTCTGTATTCTGACATTGATATCCCTGAAAAAGGTACTTTGAAAGAGAAATTACGACTGAAGACGTGGTGCACAACAAAATAGCAAAATCCATTAAGCCCGCTTTTGACTGGGGTGCAACGTCTTTGGAAAAATTCGCTGAATGCCTGTTCGAGATTTGCAAATCACTGAAACCCATTCTCCAGAAAGAACCTCGTTTATTACGTTTAAGGGCTCCTGTTTACGTATTAGGTAAATTTGTTTTTGATTTTGTTTGCAATGACTAACTTCGGTTATTCGTCAGGGGATATTCATGGCAACTACAGCGATCTGATGAGCTTCGAAAAAGTGTTGTGGCGTATGGGGCCGGTTTTGACCCCGGCGTCCTTTTTATTTCTCGGTGATTATGTGGATCGCGGGGCTTTTGGTATTGAAGTAAGTGTTCAGAATTGAATACACCTTCATTCATTATGCAGAGAAAAGTTTTGTACTCAGCAGCTCTGTATTCATGCTCCTGCAGGTGGTAGCGTACTTATTTGCCCAGAAGTTTCTCGCTCCAGATCGGATATGGCTGCTTCGTGGTAACCATGAGCTACGGAATGTGCAAAAAAATTTTACATTCTACGAGTAGGTATTGGAAATGCACGCTACTACGCATTATTTATTTAGTTTCAGTTGTTGTATTGCTTCAGATAATATACAAATGCTGCCAGTTATTTATTCATCACTTGAATACGTGTTATAAAGCAGTTAGAAAAACAAAAGCTGACATAAATACTTAAATTAGCTGACAGACTACGGTTCAATATAGAAGTACAGATATTAACGGACCGCTCAGTGTGTGCCATTTCGGATGTTAGAATTTCATTAATAAACTTATATTTTGTGATAGTGAATGCAAGAAAAAGTTTGGCGATGCTGTGGGAGAAAAGGTGTGGAATGCTGTCAATGATATTTTTGACTACTTGCCACTTGCGGCTGTGATTGACGATGAGGTTTGTTTACTGGCGGTGAATGAATTACCTGGATGCTATGTTTAAACAATTCTGTTGAAAATCAATGCTTGACGGTGCTATAGATCTTCTGTGTACACGGTGGAGTACCGCACCGTAGATTTCTCAGTGGAACAATCGAAAGCATAAATGAGATTCCAAAACCCCTTAGAATCGAAACGGAAAGTCAGCTAGCATGGGAGCTGATGTGGAATGATCCTATTGGGTAATACAGTAAGCAATCGTAGAAAAATGATGGATGTTGCTGTGTGCACTATGCGAATACTTACGGTTGGTTAATTATTGTTTACTTTCCTGGGTTCGCTTTTTTGTTTGTACACGTCTTTTACTAAAGTAGGCAGCAGCCATTAAGATACCATACAAAGCAAACGCGGACGCATTAGTTTACAGTTACAATTTTGAACTTTTTCTTGTTTAGTGTTTACTGGCATAAAAGTATGTAATTTTCAGAACGGAACGAATCACTCCAGAGATGGATCGCTTGCTGCATTCAGACTTTGGGTTTGCCGACAATAATCGACGAGGTACCGGACACTTTTTCTCCTTTCAAGCATTGGATGCCTTTCTTAAGACTAATGGATTGTCACATGTTATTCGTGCTCACGAAATGAAGCAAGCTGGCTTTCAGGTAAACTATTCTTTGTTTGGAACCTTTTTTTATATTTTGTATAGGTTTCTTCTGTGCTTATGTTATATTATTCGTTTGTGTACAGATTCAGCAAGATGGTCGCCTGCTCACCGTATTTTCGTCCTCTGGCTATTGTAACAACTCCAACGAGGCTGCGTGCATCTTAGTCGACCGACGCCGGTTGAGAACTATTCGTTTGGATACCTCATGATTGTCTGGCAGTCCATTTCGTATGCTGGCAGGGTTTGTTTTGGATTTAAGTACTTACTTGAAAATTTGGTTTGCTGTAAACAGCTTTGTTCAGGCTGTCGGTTATTGCTTGCGTTACTTTTTTACTCGTACGATATGCCTGTTGCTGGTGAAATTATAAGCACACTGGAAAGTTTGCTTTCAGTTGTGTTCCACTGCACATTTTGTATAGTCTTTCGAGAAAATATTGTTAGGGATAAACACACTTTTGAGTACTTGTACTGCATCTGTATTCTGTAGGATTATTATTGCAGCTTGTTCATTTGACGAGACTCACGAGAGTACGTTACGTGATGCTTTCTTGAAAGAATAAACTCACTAAACTGTCTCTTAATTCGTTTGAACTCACTGTTAAGCATTAATTCGTGTTATTATTTTATGAGTAGTGGCTGCTGCACCACAGTCTACAGGTACGGTGCTTTTCGATTTTCAAAATAGAAAGTAAAATGAATTTTGTTACGGTAACCATAGGCAATAGACACTCAATATGTTTCAGAACAAATAAATTCTGTCATAAAAACATTTGATGCTAGCATTTGACCACAGGTGCCGGCATTTAACGTCCTCACTTGCATTCCGCATTCAAAAATTTTTTTTATTTTGAACCCTCTTTGTCAGCTTGTACTACGTGGATCATCATTATAAGAACGGCAATATTATTTAGCTTTAGCTTCGTAGATGATTATTTAAACAATTTACTGTACATATGTAAATCTGCACATATGTAAATGTGCCTAAAATCTCGGACTTGTAATCGATCGGTCTTGCACGATATACGTACGAGTACTGAATTTCTGGTGTGACTAGTGGTCAAAAGATCGCCACATTCGCAAGCAGCATAAGAGTACTGTATTTGTACTTACTTGTTAATGGGATGCCACCACCAAGACCGTTGACCTAAATTAATATATTTTAACTCTTTTCTACATGAAGTTATGAGCAAGTTAAGGCTTGGTGCCCCAGGACACTTCAAATTGTCAGCAGCAGTACACCTTGAATATTTCTGCTTCATGCGCTTTGAATTACAACTGGAAACCGCACAGTGTTGTAAGTAACATTTTTTGGTACTGTGTCTGTATTACCGTATACGAGTATATTAAGTGCATGGTCTAACGTTGCTATAATTCACCTACCCTACGAGTAGAGTACAGATGTGCTTGTACAGTATAATAATGCTTTAATTTCAGATCCATTTTTAAATATGATTGGGTTAAGATGGGCCGGAACGTTATTGCTGCCGATTGTTGAAACAATTATTTAGGATCGTGCGTCATTTTTTCTAACGATTATCGCTGGCTGATAATCTAATTTTATGCGGAAAAAAATATGGGAGATAATGAGATGAAGGCACCTCCTTCACGGTTGCGCCGGTTCTTGTACGCGAATTACTATTGTCTTCGAATGCAGGGAAGACGACTGTGGTGTTATGGATTTATTTTAATTATATTATCGCTCCTGTCGCTGGCTTTATTGCGTTCGGGATGGCTCCAGTTATTTTATCAAAATCCACATCCGCAATCAAATGTGGCACCAGGATTAAAAGTAGATTCTGGTGTCATGCGTAAATTTGTCGCCAGTGATCTGCAAAACCGTAATCCACGGTTGTTTTACAATCGTGTTCCAAAGTGCGGCAGTTCGACGTTGAATTCACTCTTGAAAAATCTAACTGCAAGTAACCCGTTCATTTATACATCCTCACCGCTTCTGGATGACTGGTTTCTAGCAACACAAGATATGCAGGTCAAACAAAATTAACTATATGTACTCGTACTGACACAAATAGTACTTATCTTATGGAGTTGTTAATTAGTAATTAACCAGAGAGCCGGTCTTCAGTACTGCTGTTTCCGGTGTAACGTCAATCTTGTGAAATATTGATGGCCTGGCTATATCGGTACTGTTTAATTCAATGATAGAAAATCCTACTAACGTTAAATTTACTGCTGCCTTTACAGTACTTCTGCTCTAGACTTCAGATTATGGCATAAGCATAAACATCTAGAAATGTCTGTTTTGAGAAATCATCAATAACAGCACAGTTGCAGTTAGTTTCTTATGTCAGGTCTTTGTAATGTTTAATGAAGCGAAAATTGGTATGCGAACTTACAGTTCTTGTGATTTGTAGCTTCGTGGGCGTATGGCGCAATATAGATTGTTTTCGTTCTTTTAGAAATCATTCGTCCAGCAGTTTATGAAACTCCCTGTAAAAAGTGTTTTTGATCGCCACTTATTTTTTCTCGATTTTACCAGGTAAGTAAACCGGTTGTATAAAACTGCATACGAATTACAATTTATTAAGTGCTTGTACGTTTGCCAAACAACACTTTAGCGCTTCAAATTACACCTCTGCACTATGATATCATTAATGTACTGTACTTATTGAATTTCTATATTATATACTTGGTAGTTGGCACGTACTGTATATTGTTTTACTTAGGTTTGATTCTAAGTCTTTTGCCATACAATCGTACAGATATAGTAGATATTGGTTCACTATGGTTGCAATTGTAGGTTTGGACAACCAAATCCGATTTATATAAACATGATTCGTGATCCCACCGATCGGTTCATCTCCGAATTTTACTTCCGGAGAAGGCTCCAGAAAAAAGGCACCGAACAGGGTGAGCGGAAATGGTACGACGAGGTGAGTGCCGGCACGTACGCAATTTCGTGCTTTGATGTTTAAGATCAAAGGTGAGTACAGGGACTGGACTAAACAATCGCTTAATGAGTGAAATATAAAATAAATTTTGTGTGGCTAACTAGCTTGCGAAACCAATAAATAAATGATAATAGTAGGTATTAACCAAACAATTTCCAGGATTTGGAACATTGCATACGGAAAGCCAAAGACTATGACTGCCGCTTAGTGGACGGCATGTACATAAAAAATATGATTGCTTTCTTTTGCGGTCAAGACATCGAATGCTCGTAAGTGCGGCCAGCTATGTGAGGTCAGAATCTGTTCTAACGGCTTTCTTGTATAACAGATTCCGTGCTTAAGATATAAAGCGCAGTTTACTTAATGAAGAAAAAAGCCAATTGCAAAAAATTGGGGCTATTATTATTACGCAAGTAAAATCGTGTGATAAAACACTCGGCATATTCAATATGCATACGTATATTCGTATCACTTCAAATATCTTGTTGCCTAATTGTAAGAATGTTTTTTTATAACAGAAACCACAATAGCAAATGGGCACTGGAAAAAGCCAAAGAAAATGTTGAGAAATTCTTTACGGTGGTCGGTGTTCTTGAAGATATCGATATTACACTTCGCGTCCTGCAGCATCAGTTGCCGCAATACTTTTCGGGTGTTGTGGAACTTTATAAGGCTAGCCAAGGTAAGAAAAATTGGGTGAAAACGATATTTCTCACATCCTGTGCTTGCTTATTGTTAGAAGCAGCCAAGTGAGCCAACGTAACGTGAAATAGGATTTACAGAATTTTCTGACACTTTGTGCAGAAGTAATGTGCAAAATTTCGAATGTGTAAGTTCTTACTGAAACTGGGATGACCATACAGATACAGTACATGTACGCCACATTGTGAATTATTAGAATTACTCGTACTTTTACTTACAATACAACTGCCATTGTGTGGATTACAGATCATGTTATTAACAAAGGACTGAACCGCAAACAAAATGTTTCCCAAGATGTCAAAGATGTAATCCGGAAAAATCTGACGGCGGAGTACGAATTTTACGATTTCATACGCGACAGATTGCACTTTCAGGCGCAACTGATAAGATGAGCCTTTAAAATTCGATATGTTAGACTGTGATAGGATTCAATGAGTTCTCTTCAAGAGACAATTACCGTTTGTAAATGCCGGCTTTATAGATATTCACGATAAAACAAAAGAACAAATTCAAACCAATCAAACAATTAATGACAATTAAGAGCCAAAAGGGGATTTCAATTCCCACAACACACTGTCCACACCCGATAACTGCCAGAATGCCTAGTAACACTCCAAATGATCAAAGCCCGTGTACAGTACGCATAATGACAAACACAACATCATAACTGAATCGAGCGTTGCAGTGAATAGCTCAAACGTCCACTTCCAAACCGAAGCCGTAGCGATGTCCACCTCCGGACAGATTGGCTCCGTTAATCAACGTGGACAGGGTCAATTTGACGCCTTTGCGCAGCTCCTGAGTGTAGCTGACGCCCAGCTGTCCCACCGTGTCCAGCTTGGCCTTTACCGAGGCCGTCGGATCAATGTCGTACTTGGCTCCCAAAGCCAGCAGCGTATTTCCTCCCGTTGTGGAGAAGTTGGACTGGAATCCCACCTCCAGATTGGGATCCACGCGGTTGTATACGCCCATCTCGAAGTCGCGGAAATGGGTAGTACCGGCGTGCAGTGTGTAGCGCGGTCCGCCCATGCCCAGCGCCAGATTGTAGCGGGTGATGGCCGATTTGGCCGTGTCCACCACGACATTCCCGCCAATGCGCACGCCGTTGTAAGAGGATACCGCGGATGAGCGGACAACGGGACCGGCGAAGTCCAGATCCACGTCCGTCGTCAGGTGGATGAACGGTCGCTTGTAGGCGAACTTGAGTGCAGCGTTGCGTTTGCCGGTCTGCGCAGAAAGACCGGCCAAGAAGGTGGCTTTGGCTCCGGCAAGAAATTGGTCCTCCACTGAGGCCTCCATTGTGACCATGTTGTCCGTGGACCATCTTTCAATTAGTGTCAGCCCGTAACTGCGCTGGACGTATTTATGCTCCAGAGAGCCAAAGGCACGCGGAGCTTCCGACCCGATGTCCTGCTGTCCGATACCACGGATTTGGACGCCATTGGCGGTGACGGTTTTTATGTCGACTTTCGCGAAACCTATGCAAGCCCAAAAAATATTTATACATACCACATTCTTTTAGAAACTGATAGATTTTCCACCAAACCACCAAAAACTTTGATGCACAAACACCACACCACAACAAAAGCATCCACAAACTTTGATTTCCAAAATACAATCGCATAGAACTATGGCCGCTGAGGGTTGGCGCTCACCGATATGGTAATTTTTTGTGAACAGGTCTCTAATGCTTTGGTTCAAATCCGCAAATGCCGGCGGAATTTCCCCAACCTGAGCACTAGACACCTGAAGCGGCTGTTCTCGGATGTATGAAGTGGAGAAATTGGCCTTGCCGTCTGCGGGACGATTATCCATGACTCTTGCCATCTGTAAAATCTGAGTTTAAGGGATTTTAGCGATTTCGTCATCCGGTCAAAACAAATCATGCCAAACCTCACTTTTCTTGATTAACACTGGTTACGAAATCACCACAACGGCATCAACGTTGGACCTAAACAAACAATATATGTTAACAACTAGTACTATAAACCTAAACAAGAAGAAAAACTGAGAAAGCGTTTTCAACAAGTAGATGTAGAGAACCTCCACCGCCAGCGCTAAGAAACCTCTTGGCTCCGAATCCCCAGAGTGAGCAATGGTCGGCCCAAACCACATTAACTGAGGCTTCGGTTATAACGAAATTAAGATCTAACATTTACTTACCGAAATAACCAATTCAAAATTATGTGATCAGCTCGGGAACAACCAAACACCGTGAGAATGATTCGCCCTTTGAATTCTGGTCAATCGTTAAGTCATAAATGCGTCGACGTTTGTGAGGAGCTTTTTCCTATCTTTTCGGATGCAGGCAGAGGACTGAATGGAGTGCAAAGGCCAAAGCGGTGGCCATTGAGTCGAAGGTGGCGGAAACCATGCGGAGGGAGTGGCCACCTATCTCTCCGTGCACCATTGCAGTTACTTACGCTCCCATCCACCACTAGCAACTATTTTAAAAACTTAGCGTCAAAACAACTGAAAACGTCCAAACAGCCCTCAAAGCAAGGCTTCATAAAGAAAGATCAATACAAATTTGGGATTTAAACTAGGTAATTAATTATTAAAAAGTTAGACAAGTCACAAGTGAAGTTCATTTACCTTTTAACTTTTTTTACCGATTTTGAAAAGTTTACATCTTGTAACCAGTAACCAGTAACCACATAATACTGTCAGAATCACAGTGGTAGCATTGTTCCCGTGGATTACTATTGACTATTCCAAAGATGGCCAATTTTTGATGTGCAGATAGCAGCTTGGATCTGACGACTGCCACTCAAGATTGAGGGATTTTTTATCAGTTGGAAAATTTGGAAACAGTAAGATCTCCAACAGCTAGAGCAAAGGTTTTTAATTGTATTATTGTGTTGCAGTACTCATTACTACTCGCCGTTACTTACCTTAATCGTGCAGAATTTCGCAGAAAGAGGTATTCCTTGCAATGCCTCCACGGACGGACTGCGTTATCGATGAGTTGTCGGGACTTTTTTCCCGTCGCCAGCGTATCGTTCCCATTCAGAAGTCCAATTCAGATATTGAAAATCAACCCCCACACAAACGACTACGTAGAGATCTTTCCAATCATCCCTTGTCGTTGCCCTATCAAAATCTGAAGGAACACGTTGCCTCTGCATTCAATGCACAACCGCGATCATCACTGAAGCAACCAGCACAGCCAGCAGAACAGCAGCATCTGCGCATGCCCAGCTATGTTGACTGCACGACATGGCCCGGCGTGACCGAATGGATGCAGTGTCTGCAGCTGACCGAAGCATCCAGTGACATCCAGGAGAGTCTACTATGCAATCGCATCGAGGCAGCCTGGGATAAAGTAGTGCGACGCTCGCTGCTCTTCATGGAATCCAAGCTGTTTCCGTTTTTCGACCGTTTCATGACGGCAGCCATGGCGGAAAGGAACGATCCCAAGCCGAAAACATTGGTGATGGCGTTTATGGGATTGAGTAGTGTACTGCATGGGATTGAAGTGAAAATTCGCGAGTTGTTCTTCGTCAGTGAGGTGCTTCCAGCGGAACACGTGGAATATTCCGTGTCCGATCTTCTGGAGGAGATTGATCTGGGTTTTGTCGAGCCTGTTTTGTATGCCGCATTTTCTAACCCCAACACACCTGACTCGGCTGGATGCCTGTTCACTCCCAATGTCGGGCGCCTCAGTCAGGCTAATAAACGAACGAGAGGAGGAGAATGGGATACGACTTTTCGTCGTTCGTTATTGTCAGCCGATCACACTGTGGATCACAATGAGCCAACGCCCAGCGAAATCTTTCATACTGCGCACGACGTCACCTCGGATATCACGACGGATCAAGGCATTATGGTTTTGGATAGGGATCTATTCTGTCCGGATGGAATGATTTCCGAAGAAGTGGTATTTCACATGCTCGTCAACCAAGTGCAGAAGCATTTTTGGCGACTGTCTGGAGCAGTTACGGCGCTGGATCGCTATGTGGTGACTATCTATGAAACTTATTTAGGCCTCATCGGCAATGAGCCGCTGCCTGGCTGGGATGCTGAAGCTAAAGATACATTTTTAGGAGAAGTGGATTTGTTTCACCGCACAGTGTAAGTTCCGTTCGCAAGTGGCTTTCGGTTTCGAATGTTGCAAACAGCTGACGTTTGTTACAAGTATTTTTTTATCAGGCTTGAACTGGAGTTGGCGGAACAGATACTGGTGCCAGCCTTGCAGATTCTCTGTGATAAGCGGATCAAAGAGCACGTCTCCCATTGTTTAGCTAACGGGAATACTCCGGGTGCTGGTGATAAAGGAAGCGCCATCTGGATCGTTACTTCCTTCCATTCGCTGAGCTCATTTCTTCACAATGTCTTCCAACAAGACACGTCAGCGGAGTGTGCACCATTAGACTTGATAACCTCGCTGATCCTTGAATATGCTACTCAGGAGTATATTCACGCTGTTATTGAGAGCTTTTTCGATTTGCTGCTGCAGTGGCCAAAATCTCGGCAGAGCTTCATGGAACTAAAAGAGCTGATGGACCATACGTCACAGGACGTTGTGCATGGAATAATTGTTTCGCTCCAGCGCCAGTTTCATTGTAAATTACTGCGTCCAGGACTCAATACGCTAGATATCTTGGCCGTGTATACGGCGGCAATACGTGCGCTTCGTATCATCGACCCATCTCGGGTGATTCAGGATCTGGTTTGTGAGCCTGTGAGAGTGTACCTGCGATCCCGGCCCGACACAGTACGATGCATTATGTCGCATATAACGCATATCAGTTCGTCACGGGATCTTTATCATCGGAAAACCACGCTGCCGGCGTTGGATGTGATGATCGAAGAGGAGGAAGCAGTCATTGCCCAAATGCAGCATAACATTAAGAGTGCCATTTCCGACATTGATATGGAAAACTGGAAAACTTGGATGCCGGATCCCATTTACGCGGAACTGTTGCCGTCGTCTGCCAGAACAGACCGTCAGGCCGACACAATAGAGCTGCTAATGAGCATTTACGGTGGGCAGGATGTATTCATCAACGAATACCAGCTGATTCTTGCTGAGAAACTCTTGGGGTATTATTCTTTCGATTCGGAGGAAGAATCTAAACATCTCAAAATGATGACAAAGCGGTATGTCGTAAACTTATGGTTACAATTTAAAATTATTGCAGCGATACGATGGTACTACGCACTGGCATTTACACGTTGAAGTGTGTAAAAGTTTCCATAATTTGATCTCACCCTTGGTCTTTTAGATTCGGGGAAAATCTGTTGCAACGTTCCGACGTTATGAGCCGCGATGCCGCTGATTCTCAGAAGTTTCACCAAAAAATCCTGGAAAGGCTGGAACTGGGCACTAGTGAAAAACGGATTCCCCTGGGCATCCCTGTCAGTGCTTTAGTTATTTCTCACAATTACTGGCCAGAAATCCGGACTGAGAAACTGCGCATGCCAACAGTCTTGGAATCGGCCATGCTCAGATACAAGCAGTACTTTGAAGAGATATCGCTGACTAGAACAGTGGATTCTCGGCCGGAATTGGGTCATGTCAACTTTGATCTTATCCTGGACGATGGACGGAAGATGAATATTAAGTGTAACCCCGTGTATGCCGCCATTATTCTAAAGTTTGTCGAGCAGCCCAGATGGCCAATGGATGATCTGGCGGAAGCGGTGGGAATTTCTGCGTCGTTATTAAAACGCAAGTTAAACTACTGGCAGAGACGCAACGTGCTGGAGGAAAGCGAGCCGGACGTCTTTTCCATTGTGGCCGAAGGATCATTTTTATCCGAGGAAGATTTGAGAAGAATGGAAGATGAGGAAATTGAATCAGCTGTACGGTATGTTGCGGAGAATAATCAGGACGAACAGAATGTACACATTCAGTTGCAAATGTTTTGGAAATATATGACGACGGTATTGAACAATGTGCCGACAATAACGATTGACCGACTATTCTCCATGATAAGAATGTTTATCATTCGGGGACAAACGAAGAAGGACGTTACCATTGACCACCTACGGCAATATCTGGATGCCAAAGTACGGGCGCGCGAATTGGTGTTCAGTAATAACCGATATTCGCTTCCGAAAAAAGAGGCCACAGCTTCTTAAGTCGATTTGTTTTTCGTATTTATCGTATTATGTTAAGCACGTAACTCTGCGTGTTTAATGCTTTACAATTTTCGTTGCAGTTTTCTGTAATAGCGAAAGTTTGAAGACAGGAACACCTGCCTAGGTCACTTGGTGTTTCGTACGGCTGTTTTTCAATCGTGTACGGTGTTTTGAAGTGTTAAATGTGAATAAATGTTTACACCAGCTTGTTGCGAATTTGGTAATCGGTTCGAAAGTTAATAAATTTTTGGTTCGAACAGCAAACTCCAGTGACTTGTAGTACGTATTCTCACTATTATGTAGATACTTATAATCCCCTCCCAGAAATTCGGATCTGAACTACAAGAGGCAAGGCAAAAATTAAAGTCTCTAGTCAACAGCCTTTCAAAAACTGTGAGTCCCACGTCTTTCAAATCCTTCACGAAACTTAGCGTCCATACCCAAAACCTAATATCTAGTTTCTCTTGCTTTTTGGTAAGTGTTAACACTTCAAACTTGTGTGCTACTGTCAGCATAATGTCATGTCAAATGAAGTGTGGATCCTGAGTTATTCTGACGTTTTTGAATGTCATCGCTGTGCACCACCGCATGTTGGACTCCATATACTGCACCGAACTATCCGACTAACGGAAATTCCACAGAACGAAGCACATAAAAAGTCTTTATTTTTAATTTTCCGAACACGCAAGTTTTGTCGTCTACACAATTTAATCGAATAGACCACCAAAACCGCCATCGTCTTTCTTCCTCCTTTTCTTCTTTCGCCGGGGCTTTCTTTTCTTCCTTAGCAGCAGCTGCGGCCGGAGCTGCGGCTGGCTTCGAAGATGCAGCTGCAGCGGAAGCAGCAGCGAACTTGGCAGGATCCTTAAGGATCTCCAACATCTGCCACAAAGTACAGTGGATTATCAATACACTAACTGTTAAACCTTCTTTACACACCTTCTCCGCCTGCTTGAAAGATAGATCGCTTTCGGCAGCAACGGCCACGAGGTTCTTGAAGCCGTTAAGAATCGAATGGGGCGCCGAAACTTTAGTCGGGTATCCCACACCCAAACTCAAAGCCGCGATGTGCGAAACTCCCTAAAATATCACTCTCAGCTTCAAAAGTTCATGCGTTCGTTAATTAACCAGCCAACGCGAGAAACGTTTCCAGTATACAATCCAGAGGCAAAGCTAAGATTTACCTCCATGAATTTCGCACGCAGGACCTCCGGCGTGATGTCAAGAATTCCCGGCTCGTATGTGCTGCCGTTGTCGTACACTTGTCGAACAATCAAACCATAGGAAAATGGGAAGATTTTCAACATGTTCAACAAGGTAGCTTCCGAAGCTCCCACTTTGTCGCCTTGCTTGATTAGATGGACCTCAGTCTGTCGCAATAAATTATACTTTCAACATCGGTAATGTTATTGGTTATTAACGCCATAGTAGGTTGACTTCTGCAATTTCAGTTTGCTGGTCGAAATATCATTAATCAAGGTGAGAGGCCAAGTGGTCCCCTATTTCTAGGCATGGCATCGCCAAGATTCAAGGCTGACCAATCATCATGAAATCGAAACACAAAAGTACATACGTAACATTTTACATACAATAACATACTTAAAAATCATAAAAAGCGTCAATTAAAATCTTACAGGCTATAGAGAATAAAACCCTACATGGAAGATTATCCATCAGGAAACCCGACAGCGTTTAATTCTCCCAGCAGACGTCAGCAAAATAAATTCAGAACTTACCAAAATTTCGATGGTACCCTTAGCGATCTTCGTGGGAATTTGCAGAGCCTGGAAGAAAGATGTTTTTTCCGGGCCCAAGCCGGTATTCTGGGGCGGCACTCGGACATCGACGGGTGCCAAAGCGCCAGCTTTCGCCGGGGCGGCAACCTAAAGAAAGACCGTGTTAATGTTTGCAGAATCCACATAAAAGGAAAAACAGGAAGACGTATCTCTTACGGAACCGGCTGGCGGCAGCTCACCTTATTCTGCAACAGCAGATCGCGGATCTCCGCTAAATCGCCTTTCGTGAAGACGAAGCCGATGTTTTCCTTAACATGCGGCAAAAGTCTGCAATTCAATAATTTTATATATTATCTTTTGTAATTTTTTTTTTAGAATGTGGGTACTTGTAACTTGTGTGCAGTTTCAGTATAGCGACGTCAAAATTTAAATCAAAGAACTCATAAACACGGGACATTCATCCTCTGCTGCACGATACTATGGATGTTGAAAAAGAAAACTTTCTTGAAGACACTGAGGCTGAAGAACTAGCATAAAATACAAAGGCTAATTTACAAAGCCCGTACTTTTCAAGACCGGGATTTGCCTCCAGTTTGCCGCGCAGAGCTTTACGGATCATGGTGTTCTTTCCGTTGAGGACGACGGCATGTCCTCGCAGCGATGTACGGATCTGCTGCATCTGCTTGGATCCCACATTGTCCACCCCGACCACGAAGCATTTCGGGTACTCCTCGAACAACTCCGCGATCTTAGTGAAGTACTTGGCTTTCCACGATGTGCGGTCTTCTCGCACCATCTTAGTAGTGCAAGATTGCCCGAAGGTTTAAAGACCTGCAGAGATTCCGAGCGGTAAATATTCGATAAGGTTTCAAACTATCTGCTCAAATTATTCCAGCAGCAAGCACTTACCACAACAAAATTAAAGATGTCCGAAAATTTTCAAAGAATTGGAGAATTTCAAAATTGTTACTGCGTAAATGAAATGCCTCGGAAATACACGATGGCACTGCCGGTTTCGTTTACGTTATGCAGCAGATGCTTGACTGGTTCTCGTTAGCGGCGCAATTCTTTCTGCTTCTGTTCCGCATCATATGCCTTCGCTTATGATGCACAAGGAGATTACCAGACCAAGTTTGATTTACCACGTCATTACTTCGTACGTAGCAGCCTGCTGCTGTGCTGTCGAAGGCTTCAGAACCAATGCCTTATGCCAGAAGGCAAGCCCTATGGACTCTGGAGTGCTCACCAGCCAGTCCTTTTGATACGAAACCTCAGACCGCCCCACGACTGCGGTAGAGGTATGTACAGCAAAACTCGTCAGTAAACTCGTCATGACCAGCATTCAGATTTTGAAAAGGACATTCGCAAAACATTCCAAATATGAAAAATTGCACATCAAATTTTGTAAGAGCATTGCTCTGATATCGTTAACAAATAACAATGTTTTCTTTCGTATGTTTTTCAAAGTAAAAGAATACTTCTTATGATGTCATAACTATCTGTGTGCATTGGATAAGAACTCATCAGAATCCCGTGTTAACTGTTTCCGGGCAATAAATGTCCATGCTTCCCAGTGGTATCTGCTGGCCCATGCTCACGATCGGATGGATATCGGTGATGTAATATCGTTCCACTGTTTCGTAAGTTGTGTTTTTTGCAAAATTGATAATATAGTAGATAGTATTAGTGCAGGTTGATTAAATTGTTTGTGAGAATTTTATCGGATTTTTCTCGTGCTATGACGTTTATGCTTATTGTTGTGACTTGTTAATTTTGTGAAAAACAGTATAACAATTGTAGTTTTATATTCTTTACTATAGTAATTTGTTTGTTTGTGGTCCGTAGGTACTGTAGTGAATGTCTGTTATGAGCGAGACGTAATTGGAGTTGGATATTTGATAAATGCAACCGCTTACAGCGGCTTACTCCTTAAATTGTTAAGCATGTGGAGGAACTTCTGCAGCATCGGGGTTGGAGTGTCTCTGTGTCGAAAATCGCTCGTGTTTACACTATGCCGAAGAAATCTTCAACACAAATGTGGACTCATCGCATCACCGGCAAATCCTTTCAATCGGTGTCGATTGCAGTTCTTCTCGAAAAGTAGATTCTCTCCCTTGAATTCTGCGTACCCGTGTTACTTGACTTTATTTTGTAGATTTTTTCCCACCGAAGAGAAGGTTAACAACCAACTGCGAAGTCAAACAGATGCCGCCTGTGCGAGTCTCCCCCGTAGTGCGCGTATGGCAGAATTATCTGCGCTTCACCGATGCCCATCCGCTGAAGGTGCAGGCGCTGACGGCGCTCTTGTTTTCCAGTCTGGGTAATATCATCTCGCAAGTGGTGGTGGAGCGGCGCTCCCTGGATGACATTGAATGGCTGAGTGTTGCCAAATTCGCCACCATTGCTGTGTGTGTTAGTTTTCCCATTCTGCGCAGTTGGCTGTGGATTCTGGAAAAGTACGTGAAGCCCGGCAAATACACACCACTGAAGAGAATGCTACTGGATCAGATAGTGTTTGCACCATTCTTTTTGGCTGGCTTTATCGTCCTCATGGGATTTGTGGAGGGGACCGGATGGGAAGATGCACAAAAGCGCCTACGAGATGTTAGTATTGCTTTTTTTATCGTACAATTCTACCCGTAATTACAAGTCCGAACGTCGTTTGAGTTGTACATGTACGCTTTACTAAGTACTTAAAAATTTTAAGTAGAAAGGAAATATTAACAACAACCAAGTGTATGCTCAGTAAGGCAGTCGGTATTACAGATAGATCGCATATTTCTTTACAGTCGGCATCCGTAATTCGCAGTTTCGCATTTATTCCTGACGTACGTGCTTGTTTTCTTGTTGCAGGATTGGGCCAATGTGATGATAAGCAACTATCAAGTTTGGCCATGGGTGCAACTCCTGAATTTCTATTTTGTTCCTTTCAATCAACGCATTCTATTTGGAAGGTGAATACTTTACGGCATTGACCAGATTATTCTGGTTGTAAATCCCATTTTCTTCTTCTGCGCATGACATATTGCTTGTCTTCACATTAAGCTGAAGGTTTTTGTTATTTTTCACTGTATGTGTAAAAATATTATAACAATATGAAAATTATTATTGAAGTGACTGTTGACGCTCCAATTTAGGAAAGTGTCTGATTTTTAAACTGGGACAACAGGAAAGAACTGCGCACCGAATTTTATTCTGTCTAGCAACTGGTACATCATGTGATGAGTTTGATTTTGCAGCATTGTGAGCTTATTCTGGAACACCTACTTGGCCTTTGTGGTCAGGAATGGCACTGGGAGCGGCCGAGCTTCGTTGTCCTCAAAGACAGACATTGGACTTTAAGTTTTGCGCTCCTCTTCACCATTTCGGCGATTTGTTTTGCCAGTTGCCACGTTCCTGGTTATCGGTGATGGTAATCACAGATGAATATCGACCATCTCGATTATTAATTCCTGTGATATATGGGTTTCACCCTGTTGTCAATCGTGCGAACTTACCGGTATGATAGAAAGATTTCCAGTTTTTTTTTGCGGTCGTGAATGCCGGTTCAGTATGACTGAACTTTTCCATCATTCGATTTGTGAAATTACCTACTTATGTACAAGGATGCCGTATAAAAGAACTGGATTCTTTGGGGAAATTGCTTTCACTAAGTACAGGCAAAGAAAGGGAAAACAATAGCAACTTTTTACTGCACCGCAGATAAACTGTCAGAAATCATGTTGATAAATGTTGAAGGTTTTGTAAGCTAGACCACCTCACAACTGCAGTAATTTTGCCAGTGGCGAAAAAAATGCGGTGTGCGGTAGCTTAAGGGCTAAAAGCTTACCAGACGTTACGAGGTTTTGTTGCAGACCTTCGTAAGTTGCGAACTGTGGTACGCGTATACTTAGTGGGAATGTGACAAAATTGTGGAAAGTCGTTCTCCCTGATAACTACAACAACGGGCTTAGTTAAAAAGTATAAATCGTTGGTTATTGGATTTGAGTTGTTACGTATCCATGGCTCAAGTTACCGTCAGCCGGTCTCGGGAACTTGCTCCGCCCGCTGTTCCTCCAAGACCTGATGTCGAACCGGCCTTCAAGTTATATTACTTTAATATCCGAACAAGAGGGGAATTAATTCGTATGATTTTCCATGCGGCGCATGTTGAGTTTGCCGATGTGCGAGTCAACGCCTCGTCATGGGAGCAAATGAAGAAAGGTCAGCGCCGACGCTAGGAATTATCATGCAGCAGATCCTGGTACACTCGTACAGATTTGACGGAATCTGCTAATAGCTACTGTACAACATCATTAGACGCTTTTAACTCTAGTGCTACATTTTAATTTGTTCGTCCTGTTTATGTTTAAAGCTGTTATAGATAGAAGTAAGCCGTTAGTCACATAAATTAGAAACGGACCGTTCCAAGGAATAAAAAGGAATGCTTCTATAACAAATTCCGATCACGGGAACCCGTTGACTTAAATTAAGTCAGACGCAACACACTTCTGTTTTTTTCCCAATGACTTAGAACAGTTAACGAATATCAATTAGCATAATTAGCAATAAAAGACTTTTAAAGCAGCAGTAAAAACATAACTCAAACTTATATCTCAAGTCAATTACAAATGACCGTTGCCCGAAAATGGCTAATTTCTTGTGATTTTTCAAGCTTCTCGTAGATCTTGCTAATTAACTACATTAGTGGATGAATAATTAAACCAGATAAATCAACAAGGTACCACCAACAACGTTCTATCCAAAATCGATTAACACAGGTCTTGCAAGTTGAACACAGAAGACCGCAGTCCGTCAAAAAAGTTGTGTTGCGTGCCAACACCATTGCCCATGAAGGGTCTCATACACGGGCGGTGCAATTGACTGTTTCTCTTTATCACATAATCACTCAGATCGTTGTCGTTTCGTACGCAAAACATACTGCGCCACGCGGTTCTGTTGGTCGGAAGCTGGCAAAAACCACTTTTGCGTATCAACACCCCGGGCGATCGGCGAAAACCAAAATCGCCTCTAAATTTGTCTGCTTCAGGAAAACAGAACGCAGGTAAACCGAACATGGTAGTCGTGATTGTAATTCTACCGTCGTTCCAATAACATTGTGAATGGCGGCACAACACCACGCGATTTGCCGCGTTTCTACATAATTATTGATGCATCGCTTGGGTAAGCTAGGCGAGAGCTGCACAGCTTTTCAGAAACATGAATTTTGTGTGATCAGTCTCGGGCGGTTGAAAACTACAGTAATTGCACACTTACGCGTGCACATTGGGGACTTTGACCTTTGCGGCAGCCATAGCTAGTTTCTTCCGGTCGCTATTGCGCTCCAGAAGGTGCTAGTAATCAGTGACCGCGAATAACTCATTTTGCGCCAATGACCACTGCAGCTGGGCTATCCGCGTCGCTTTTTAGATAATGGCAGTTGCAGCCACACCAAGGAAAAATGCAAGCGCGCACAATGCGGGCAGTATAAAGGCGGCTAGGCGTGTCAGACATACAGGAAATGCAATGCTAAACTTCAAAAATAATGCTTCGTGCAGTCTCGTATGATAGTATAATGAAAGTTATGGGAGAGAAATATCGTTAGTATTTATTCATGAATTTCCATCTGTTAATAGTGTAGTCAAAATACATGGCAACGGATTTGGTAGTTCTTAATTTTTTACGACCCCAGCGGTCAACTTGTTGACCACTGCTATGCTCTTGTTTTAAAGTGCTTTTTTGTACTATTTAATGCAATCATTGCTTTCATGTAATTCAGAAGTTCGTCTAATTATCACAAAATTAAACGTTTTAAGCTGTAAACCGTTCATGGGCATTGGAAGTTGGCAAACACCCTAGTCACCACGGCTGACCTATGGTCAGCACAAGCTTACAAAAATTCCCTTTCTTAATTGATTTTTTTCATCGGGAAACTCGATTTTCAAAATGAAACTTGTTCCTTCGGGCAACGTCTGCTGAGGGTTAGTTTTCCCTTAAATTAAGTCAGCCGCTCTGACTCTGCCTGTTTATTATTAGTATTAATTAGATATCATGTTCGAAACGAATAAAATGCTTTGATTGCCCGTAGGTACACCGTTTCAAACGCTACCGGTATTGGAAGTGCAAGGACATCAACTGGGACAATCTATGAGCATTGCTCGGACATATTTTCATGGGATTTCCAAATATCGCAATTGTCCACTTATCTTTGCTGTTTAGTCACTTTAGTCCACAGTTAACTCTTTTTAGGGATGCGAGGCGATGACATATACGAACAGGGTTTAGTGGATTCGGTTGCAGAGACTGCGGATGATCTTTTGTCTGATTATTTGAAAACCGTTATCGAAGAACACCCCCATCACAAGGTAGAAGGGATATGCGCATTATTTTTATCGCAATTTATCCAGCTACAAATTTCGTAATTTCTTTTCAGCACGACTCCAAGCGACGATTTCTGGAAGAGATTTTACCTCATACCCTCCGATACTTAGACAACTTCAAACGCAAGCACAGCCGGGAATACGGCTATGTTGTGGGGGGCAAAGTAAGATAAAGAAAATTGCACTATCTTATATTTTTCGGCAAAAGACATATGTTATTACATTTACTGACTGATAAAAGATTTAATTTCAATTTGCAGTTGACCTATGCCGATCTGGCGGTTTATAATGTCCTGGAACAACTCGTAGTCTCCGGAACCGTGGATCCTAAACTTCTTCTGCAATTTAATTATACTGCAGAACTGCGTAAAAGGATGCTGTCACACGGAAGTTTGTCACGATATTTTAAATCACGTCCCCATACGCAAATTTAATTTCCAAAGAGCATCCAGTTCATCGTCCCAGCAGTTTCTTCTCAAGAACAGCATCATAAAGCACCACGTAACCCATAATACTGCGTCGCACTTCGGACAGAAGTTACGTATCACCAGAAGGTATAAACGCATCATCACCAACATTCTGTTTTGAAATACTGGCTCGTTCTTTGATAATAGCTGGGTACTTTATCCACAGTTTTAGCCGGAACGCATCCACTCCGTTTAAATAATATTTCAATAGACGCTTGTGCTTGGCGAATCCGAGATTTTCGTACAAATGCAGTGCTGCCTGGTTGGTTGTTTCTGTTTCCAGAACTACCTGCAAGCGCACTGCAAATGAATAAAGGATAACAAAGCCATGATATCGACACTTGCTATTATTATAATGTATCATTAAAGTAGGTATAAATTTCACGTTATGTTGCAAACATCCAACTACCCTAAAACAGTTCCTAGCCTATAACAAGGCAAATGCTAACCTCATCACAGCCGTTGGTCATTAGCGCCTCAACCGCACTGACAACTAGAGCAGTTCCTAAAAAAGATGTGTCGCATATAACGTACCAGTACAAACCATACACTGTCGTCTGTCAATGATGCACGTTAATGCTGTCCAAATAACTGACCAAAGCATGTCGGAGCATTTGAAAACGTACCAATTTTTTTGCGACGTTGTGTTTTATCAACAGCTAGCATAGCAATGTATCCTCTCCGAATATAGTCATTTCTTCCGATTTGGGGTCCCTTGGTGTTTTCCATTTTACAAACAATCGTCCCCACAATTTTCTCATTCTGATCCAGAGCCTGTATCAATGATAGGCAGCACAATACAGAGTTTCAGCGATAATCATAATTTTAATTACCCTGCATATTCGACGCACAGTCTACACTTTCACTTACCGTGTTTCAGCTGATCCAGCATATTGCATAGATAAACGGAAACCGTACTTCAGTACGGTATTTAAGAATTTCAGTACTTAAAAATCTTCATCATCAAATTACAACAAGCGTAATTTTAAAAATATAATTAAATTATATATCGTCCAATGCTTTTACACGCGTACGATTATTTCGGAATAAGCAATATAAATAGAGGTGCTGCGGGGCTGAGTGCTGCCTCGTATCAGATTTATAATTAGCGAGTTAATTAGTTAGCGAGCAATCCAAAAAATGAAGGGAAAAAATATTGTGACAGCTTACTAGAGACACTACCTTGCAAGTTTTCTCATTACTTCACGAAGAAAGACCGAAAGAGCATACCAAGTAGCATAACTTAGGCCATTGATAGATGAAATAGCGATAGGTATAAATGGAGTACGGCTCCGACAAGTCCTTCGTGATCAAATCCATGATTTCCTTCAGATGATGCTCACCACCGTACGTCACATAGCGTATTCCATGATCCTCACCAAAATCAAGAAGAGAATTTCGGAGGTTGGTTATCTTTTGGTACAACTCAAGCTCCACTCGACGCTGGCGTTGATTTTCTGATATTTCGCCGGAATTGACTGCGGAATATTCATTAGGAACTATATTCTTTCGGCCAGTGGAAGGGATGGTGCCAGATTCTGATGAAATTACTAGGCTAGAGAGAAGTTCTTGTGCTTGCAGCACCGCGTCTGCCACATCTCCTAAAGATGCCGCGGAAGGTGGATCCATCGAAATCGAGCACACGTTCTACACTGGACTAGACAACTGAGACAAGCTGTCACATGGTTCCAATCAATCGCTAGATACCGAGTTGCGAGTGCACGTTGACGTTGCCGTCAATGGTTCCTTACCAACAATAATGTAGACGTACTGAAAATTAGCCGTCAGTTTTGAACACGAAAAATAAAACGGGACGTCAAGAACTGTGATCTGAAACTGATCTAATGAGATAGTACAGTAAAAATGTAAAATGAGTAAATAAAAATATAGATAGTTACGTTACTTACGTACTCGTACATGTTTTTGACTTTTGTCGGTCTCTCGACTGTGTGCAGAGTCTGCACACAGTCGAGAGACCGACAAAAGTCACTGCACTGCAGACATTATTGTAGCAAGCGGGGAAGCGGTTACGTGCACTTACATTTTCCATTTTTTTATACGCCTACTATCTAGCCTCTCGATCCAGCTGATTTACAGGTAAAAAAAATGCCGCAGATAATAATCATAATACTGTAGATAATAACTAGTGGTGGTTGTTAACCACATTCTTGAACCGAGCGCGAGCGCTGTTCTCCGGTAAATGTTCACATTCATGTGGGAGTGCAAATTATGTGTTATTCGAAATCATAACCCACAATTCATTCTAAAAATCTAACTGAAAGCATCTTTATTGAAACTAACAATCACATTTTGTGGCACCCCGCCGCAGAGCAAGCATGCTTTTGATCAGGTCGAACAATAAAAAAACACGACTTAGGTTTATCGACAACATTCAGCGCTGCGTATTCTTCCAATGGGCTTCGAATTTTACCATATTACCCAACCCAATCACATTTTTGACATCATGTTTCAATTCAAAATTAATTTTTTTATCGGCTACCACCTTCTTTTTATCCAGTTCACTGATCTTTGCCTTAATTGCGTTGAGATGCAGAAGCTTTCGTTGCAGTTCAAATTCAGTTGTGGACTTGTGGTTGAAGTGGACAGTTCCGCACGGCTTGAAGTAAGGCTCCGGCCAACGGACGTTCCAGCATACGGGAGCAGATCCTCAAACTTGTCAAGATAGCGGGTTCCTTTCTCACGCAAACGCTTTTCTTCTTTCTCTTGAAGTGTCAACAAAAACTCGAGACTCTCGGTATTATACAAATTCACAAGACAACGGATCCATTCTTAGACCATTTTTTCGTCCGTTATACGTCGTCGACGGCAGCTCTTGGTGATTCCGTCAAAAGAGAAAGAGCAGAGAGGAACTTCCCCCGGTTAACTTGATAATGGCGACGCAATATAATGAAAGGCTGCGCAGCGATGCGATGAAAAGTGGAACTGCAAAAAGGAATTCGATAGAAAAAGCTGATATCATTTCGATATAAAAAGCATAAGCCTGAATATTTTATTATTTGATTTTTTTTTAAATTATTCCACACTTTGCTTCAGACCGAACAACATTACAAATATTACTGCTAACTTGGAAATGAATCTTACCCACAGCATCGCTAGGTAGTAAACAGGATCCGATACGAAAAATTCACGCGGAAGACAAACACGCACAAGCCAAACACGTACGAGCCCACAAATCTGCAGGAAGACAAAAAAACTGTATACCATCCATCAGTTGCGCATATTACAAAAACTGCTGTGAAAGAACGACACTAACGACAGTACGGTTGACACGAACCACGGTAAATTCCCAGAACGCAGATACAACGGAGCGTCACGAAAGACCAATACAACAGGTGTCGAGTTTGAAGTAGTCAATGTCTAAACTTAGAAAGGCATTTTAGTCGGGGGGTTCTTCTCACCTGTCAAAAAAGTAGCACCTTATCCCAACCGGCCGACATGGTCAGAAGATCCGAACGAGTGGCAAACGGCGAACCCAGTTCTGATGGCAGTCGAGGATGTTGCAAGATGTGGCTGGCGTACTCCACAGTATAATGCTACGATCGCGAGATCTGCAGACAATCTGGGAATTGTAAGGATGCAGAGTAGCACATTTCGTAAGTCATTTGAAAAAGATTTCGTTGGAGATAAAAGTAAATGGTTTTTACTGAAATTCTCCCCAACAAAATTTCGCAATGCAAATTACAAAATCAAAATTTAAAATTTAAAAACCATGAAAATTTAAATTCAGAATTAATAACGAGTCTAACAACACCAAGAATTATTGCAAGCGCTTCCAGTACCATTAAAAAGCGATGTTAATCACATCCATGCAACAGCACGTTTGCTCTGCAGTACACTTCCAATGGACATGAGAACTTGTGGAATTGGAAAAGCGTAACCCACGCTCTTCGTGGGCGACAGACAAAATTTTTCCCCTTGACGAAGGCTTAATTGCAGCACCTCGCTCTTCGCGCTCGGTGCAAATTATTCTAATTTAAATTGTACACATGTCACAATAAGAGTTGTCAAAGGCGCTTCGAAGTTCGTGCTGTACTTTATATATAGCTTCCGAAACTCATGATGCTGCATTGCTGCTACAGTTTAGTAACCAATAAACTTAATTATTTACAATTTACAAAGGAAATTGAGTATTTGAAAGCACACTCCGTCCTTAGCCATATATAGCAAAGTTTGGTGCCGTTTGCCGGCATTCGTTGGTCAGTAATTGTGTTTTGTTTGTTGGCAAATCTTGGGAAAGTCAGTTTCTGCAGTTTAATGCCACGATCTGTCAGCTGTTAGTGTGGGAAAGGCTGGCACGGTCAGCATGCGCGGCGGTGCTGACCGGAAACTGGCTAACGTTTACACGGATCATGATAGCGGCAGGGATGCACGCTCATCTCATTCTGGTTAAGCAACGTAACGCAAGGTCATCGAAGAGTTTCTTAGCAAGTACTGTATACAAAGCAAGATTTCAGCATTCCAAGATAGTTCTGACCGGTCGAGTGAGATGCGGCCGATAAAAAATAAATAATCAATAAAACGGCAGAAAAAAGCAGATAACGTTAACACCCCTACTGGCGCTACATTTTAATTTACTATCGATACAATGATTTAAGGCTGAATGACACAATGGCTAAAAGTTCTTAATTCCCTTAAAGGCTACAATGTAAGTTATGTTTTACTTGTCAAAAAGTAATTAACATCACAGAGCTACCTTGTGGAAAAACAAAGTTCTTCCAGAGCTGTTTCTTTTTGCGAATACGATTTAAAACTAGTTTTTCCTTCAGGCTCAAACCAAGTTAAGAAGTCTACTGCACGAAGGAGTACAGACAAATGCGTCAAATAGTGCTGATGTGAAGAATACAGCAGCTGGCAGGACATAGCCGATATCCACACCCAAACACAATCAATGCTTCAGGATCACAATCACTGTTTCACGATCGGGACAAAAATGATTTGTGGTAACTGGTAATTCAACCATGATATATGAATGTTCTCGATGACCAGGACGCACAACAGTATACTAATGGTAAATTTTAAAAAAAATCCGCAGCATAGATAGTAATCAGCTCTTCACATATCGCGCAGCCCCTTGACATCATTGCCGACAACGATTATGCAGTATGCTTTATCGATCACATTCGTTCTTTTATCCAGTTCATAAGAAATTAAGTGCACTTGCGAAATAACTGCTTTATTTCCGGTTACGCACGCTCGCTTCTCTTTCCCTGGCGGCTTCACTATCGCGCATCAGCTGTGCAGCTTCTTCCTCCTCTTCAGCCGCTAACTCCTTATTGCGTCGTCGTTCGCAAGCACAGATAACAAGCGCGAGGACAATAATCTCAGCTAGTACTCCCAGGAACGGCCATAATGCTGCAAATCTATCTGTAAAGACAACAGGCTTCTGATATTAAGTGATTACCGTTATGGGTGTTAATCTAATTTAGACAAGTAGTTTACAAACTCAACCAGCTGCCAGTACAACACCTAACTATATACCTACAGTACTATATCTCTTAACAGTTGTTTAAATTTAGAACCGCAAAAGACTGCATGTCACCGTCAGCGAATAATAATATACTTCGAAGTAGTGATATTACATACATACTTCCATCGCCCATTTAAATATTTTTAGTTAATGTTTCTTCAACGTGAGTGCAAATATTATTCATTATTCACATAGACTGCCTTAACTGCTAGCGAATAGTATGGGCGCGTATTAAGCAGCAGAAACTGCAAAAAATGTAGAATCTTTTTTTTTGTATGTCAAACACCCTGTACATGCAGCGACCTTTCTCAGCATATGCATATATAATACTGGATGTACATATCGTCTGAATGCAAACCTACAAATTAAAATTTAACAATTGTAACAGCGTTTTTATTGTGTGGAATCAGAACTGAATCGCGAAGATGTTAAAGCATGATTTAAGATCGATATGCCGCAATTGTAAAATCACAAATGTCTTATTTATTTAAGCTCTTAAGCAAACAGGATTCGAGTTGGCAGAGCTTTTTTTGCGAACTGGACAGAGCGCTAAGGATGCTTATTATAAAAGACACGATCAGCTGCAGTACTCCCATTTTCCCAGTTCATACTTGAGTGCCAGAAGTGCCTAAATGTACAGTACGTATCTCTGATCAACGTTCGACGAACCGATGTTTAAAACGGTCCAGATGGAGTTTCCAGCATCACTAAATTTTGAAGATCGAGAGCGGCAGACGCCGGCGTATGCAGTATCTCAATCGATTTATTTGGAAACTTCTTTTGCGCTCCGTGTTTGCACCTTGCATGCGTGCAACGGCAAATATAACAGATCTGCTAATAGAATAGTATCGCTGTTTCATAGGTTTCGTATGTGAACATTCAGTTACAACTGGCGCTGCATCTTCTACTGTAGCATGAAGACTGAATATCTTTATGTTCTTGGCTTTACTGCTGCGCAAGTTACAGTGGTGAAGTAATTAGAGTAGCATGCCAGTTATTAAAGGGACAATGGTTTTCAAATGGCTGATAACAACAGGGCTTTTTTCTAGCGCTGCGCGCTGTTGCTTGTGGGTTGTACAAAAGCCGGGCAAACGGTACGGCTGCTTTATGTCCATTAATATTGTCCAACGTATTTCTGTAAGCTACCATAAGCCGAATTCGATATTAATAATAAATTAGCATAATAAACAAGGTACCAAACGTGAAATAATAAATAGCTACTTGATCTGATAACACCTACTAGTACATAACGAAACTTGTAATTTACTCCCGGAGTCTGAGCTTAATAACGCCTGAACGATGTGAGAAATAATTTGACAAAATAGCGAAATACCAAATGCTGTCATTGTATTTCAACTTAAGTTAAAGTTCAAGCGTACCTTTCACCCTGAGGAATACCATCGCTCCATTTTCTCCATGTTTATTTCTGACATAGCACCAGTACTCTCCACGATCTAAATCGTTAACATTATCAATCGAAAGCACGGATACGCTTTCGTTCTGCTCTTTTAGATCTGCAGTTTGTTCAAGCTCCAAGTCCCTGTATAACTGGAATCGTGATGGCGGGTTGGTGCACAAACGATTATTAGCGCTAGCGCACACTTCCCGTTGATCATCATAGTCGAATCTGCATCAATACAAACAGTTCAGTAATGCGAGCCGAAGGCTTATAAAAAAACAACAAAAGCCGAAAAGCAAAGTTTAATTGTTCATACGTGCACTCGTTGGATACTAATGAGTAACGAGTATACAATTAATGCCAAGCTTCTTAAGCGATAAATATCAATAAGCATAAATAAATATTTTTGCGCTAATAAACATACGCACAAAGAGGTATGAACATAATTCACTTGCATTGTATAGTTAGCTATGCTGTTTTTCACAATCCATTTAACTTTTCCATGTCCATGTCCGGTATATATGCATGTTAACGTGTGGCGTTCCGCTCTAGTTGCCGCCTTTCGTATGTCGTTTGCCAGGAAACGAACATCTGGTCTAGCTAAAAAAGTCAACCAGGTATCACGATGCAGACCTTAAAGACAAATATTTGATCAATATAAATTTGGAATGACCACTAAATTAATGGTCAACCCAGCAATTTTTAAAAGTCGGATAAAAAACATGTCCTGTTGTACTTAAGCAGAACAAAGCTACCACTAACGTTAGATCAGCACGAAATCTCTTACAAAACGAAAGGAAATTACGACTTATTGTTAGAAAGTCTTAAATTACGAGGTTACAAAGGTGTCAATAACCAACTAACAAGACAAAATATATATACAACACGCATACATACGATGCGGCATTTAAAAATATGAAAAATCAAACTGCAGAACCTTTGCATACGTCAAATACCGTTTGTTTAATAACCAAATGAGTAACCAGAGCGAATAATTTTGTAGATATTGTCATATTGAATTAACTGGTGATATTATTATGCCCTCTTACAATTGTACTCCACAAGTTTTCTCAACGGCTTGTCTGGTCGGTACGAGGAATCCGTTAAATTCAGTTCACAAAAGTAATTTCCAGTTTTTTCTGGGTATCTTCCCATGTTAGTTATAACCAAACTCCAGTTTGCGTCAGGTTTCACCTCATAAGTATGAGCAGCTTTAGGAATACCGTTTAAAACCGGTCCATTTTCTTGGTACCTACAAGATGCCAAATTATTTAGTATAAACTTCTTATTTATTTCTATGCAGATTTACTCAACAGAAAGTTACAGTACTTAACTGTCTATATAACCGATGCTATTTGAGGGTAGAGGAAATGAATGAACTGCTTCTTTGTGCCAGACAAAAATTACTAATAATACTGCACAAATAGCTACAAATTATATGGAATGCTGCGCTATTGCTTTTTATTGTCAGCAAGGTACCTGTTGTTAGCTATCGTATTGTTTGTACAGCTGTACTGTATGCAAGTTGTTGCAATATAAGTTAAAGTCAGAAATGGCCAGCGCGCGAGCGCAGAAGCCATAATTAAAAGACATATTGAGCAAGTAAACTGTTTCTATCACATACCGCCATATGAGTGGCAATGGATGCTGGAACTGCTGATTACACTTCAGAGTTACATGGTACTGGGTGCCATTTGTGGTCACATTCTCGGCCACCAGTAAATTAGCATCCAGAACATTAAGGAAATATGTATCAACGGATGAGCCATCTGTGCAGCCGTACAGTCCACCATGCTTGGACTCTATGGAGTCGATTATCACAACGCTATCGGGAGGTCCTCCCAGCCGCCCGATTTCCGGTCCCGTAAGGGAGATTTTTGTGCCGGGCAGCGATGTATCACTGCGACAACTGATCCGTACACCTTGACCCGGCAACGAGAAGGTCTGATTGCCGATCACAACACGACCGGAATCATTAAGATAGTCCACACCGATCTTCACCACACCTTCAGCTAATCGTAGCACAACAACACAGCAGACCAGCCAGAGATGCGATAGCGATGGAAACCCTACAATTACCATCTTAAATCCTGAATATGTTCATCGAAGCCAGTTAGTGTTATGTGCCTTTATAGTTGCAGCAGAGAGGACTAGAATGTGTACAACAGTCGTCGTTAGTTCACTTAGCCGAATAACAATTGTGCAAAATGAGCGCAAAAAGATTGGAGTGCGACTTTCATGCAAGCACTGTTGCGTTGTACTGGAGGGGAGGTCTGCGAGAAGCATGCGCGTTCCTGGAGGACGCATTGACAGTGTGGTGCGAGCGGATGTAGTCTAAACGACTGCACGCTCCCCTCTTCCGCTTCTCCAGTGTAAAGCAGATGTGCGCCGGGCTGTGTGATATATATGCTGACTTGTAATCTGCGACATCTCACTTGTCTCACTTACCAGTTCCGTGCTGCACCGCGATGGTACCGGTGCAAACGCAGGATCGCAGGCTGCCGCAAACTGTCAGAAAGTGTTATATTATCGACTGCCGACATAATTCAATTATTACGTCTAGAAAAATTCATGATATACTATAGTTCTCCATGTTCAAAACCGAAGAAATATACGCGCGAATCTGTCCTCTTGATCGCAAGCACTAGTAATTCAATGTGCAGCATTTTTCAACAATACAATTATATATTCTGCATGACTCACTGTGAAGTATTTTCCATAACTGGAAAATACTTTATAGTTAGTTAATTTGAGTCTTTGCCACATATTGATAACGTGTTTTAATTGGTTCTTTACATATATTGTACATTAATTAGTGAAACAGAAAATCAGGGTAAATCACTTCAGTCCACACCGATCATTGATTAGGCTTATATGTATTTGATTTTTAAAATTATATTATTTTAAATTATTAATAATTTTTTTATTATTATCTTAATAAAATTATTATTTTTTATTATTAGCGTTGATTATATACGCAAGAATTATGCAATCCTGTATATATGCATGCTGGACATATAGTTAATGCTGCTGATATCGTGTCGCACGCCGCGAAACGAATCTTAACTACCGATGTGACCGACGCGACCGACAAAAGTCCCGTTTTCTTGGATACAGAACCTTCGCTTCGCTTCGGTCGAATATTATAGATACTGAAGTGAAAATACAACTATTCTAAATGATATTATACGGTACACTGACACCACTGCAGCTGATGGCAGACACCGATGTCTCTCTTTTTTAATCGCTGAGATTAATTTTGCTCGAAAACTCGAAATTCCGGTATAATATTGCTATGGCCGTTATTTTTAAAGGTTAATACATCATAGTTTGTCGTTTTTTATGACAATAAAAACGTTTTTCGGTTATGCGATGTCTATGCGCCATGACTCTACATACGATGGACTGGAGAAAAACGTTAATAAATTTACTTGCACAATTTAGAAATCCATTGTGGAAATAAGCGCAATTTGCACGCCATTAAGATTTTTGCCAAGTCTGGAAGTGGAGAGTTGGTTCAAATTGGTTGGGTCTTATCAAAAATGTTAATACGTACAGTCAAAGGTTCATCTACTATGTATATTGATTTCATATTGGAGGAGTACACTTTTTAGTTTGTACAGTTGCTTCATGGCTGTTGGCCACGTCGGTCACGCCTTCATATTTTAAATAAAATTCATAAGAGGAAATAAAGGTGATAACTATAATTTAATTTAATGAGCACAAATAATTAATGAAAATTGAAAATTCAAGAAAAGATAAACCTCATAAAGTGTTTACTTAATTTTGTTTCCCGCTTCGCTTCGGTCTTAAAGTGCTTGCCAACAGCGGTGTACTTTCCTAGTAAATATACCATGTATGATGTAGCAGACGATACAAAGGGATATGAAACCATGGGCAAGGGCACCCCGTTCAAGACATACAGGCCGAAAGGTATAAGCTAGCTGCTTCCTGTTAACGGTAAAGAACTGCATCGACATTACGATTCTTCTTAACATTACGAATATCGTATCCTCAAAATCCACACAACTTTAGAGGCATACATTAGCATATTGTATGATTATTGCACTCAGAGGCAGTCGAATGATTGAAAAAATCTCTTCTACAGGTAGATTCTAACGGTGCTGTGTGGATACTGCTCGTACTTATATATGGCCATGGCATGTCATTTGAAGCCAAGTCCTAAAAAACCAAAAGTTTCTTGTCTTTGTCAAAAATTCTCTTGTCAAAAAGGTCAGATTAGTCAAAAGGTTTCTATAGTATATCAAAAGTTTCTTACCATTACTAGTAGTATTCCGTGCCATTTCGTCAGCAGTTCAAAGCTTTTTACAAACAAAAGTGCATACAAAGGTCACAATCTATGCATGCAAAGTAAATTATCACAATTCATATTATTATTTAGCACAATTATCACAATTTATATTCTTAGACTCGATATTATGATGACGTTAGCTGTCACTTCTATTCAAGCGTTTCATACGGCTTGTGCCAGCAATTTCTAACATAAAAATTGTTTTTCAGATTTCCTACCAATTGTAAAAAAATTGGAAAAAAATGTGAGTACCGTATCTGCATCAGCATCACCAATCGCGAGAGAATCAGTAAGAATTATAGAATTTATATTTATTTTAGCGATCATTACTGTACTCGTACGGGTACTTCTAGTCTATCTTTCTCTTCGCATCGTCTGTTGAGTAATGTTCACAACGCAACTCCGTAACCATTTTTCATCATTGGCATTATTAAGACCGCAATTCGCATGGGATTCGTGTCAGAGGAGATTTGTTTCTGTTGTAGCAGACTAGCAGCTTATAGTGCTCTCAATGTTTTACATCAAATTACTTCAAATGTGTTTCTGCAAATACATAATTATTAAATAATAAAAATTATCACTGTTTGTTGATACAGTAGTATGCGGGTGTCATACAAACCTTCTCCTTCGCATTATTATCGTGCGCCATCCAACTGCCTACATTACGAATACAGTATATAGACAGATTCCCATTAAGCTTTTGCATTTTAATATCCAATATTATCCATTGATGTGGTGACTTTCCGCTTTCGGAGCTGAATTCGAATTCATAGTTTTCTGTTTCTTTTTATATCCATCGATGCTTTCGGAGTTGAAATCATATTTTCCGGTTAGCTGTTAGCATTATCAACAAAGCATATACCAGGCCTTGAATTATACGTTTTTATGCACACTAGGGACGCGCGCTACAACGTAAAGTTGGCTGACTGCATTAACCATTAACTCTTAAAAGTTATGACTGATTCTCAATCGACTTCCACCTATGTTCAAGACGCTCTCCGATCGGACGCAGCAAACTCTTTAGAGATGGTAGATGCTAAGAGGCGTGTGACTTTCGAGGCTGCGGACCATCCTGTTAATGGAGTATCGAAATTGTCAGGACAAATGGCGACAGCACCAATTACCACAGATGGATATTTTGGGGAAAACGTCGGTCGCCACATGCGAGTAGGGACTGATCAATGGCTATATCTTGTGGACATCCAAGTAATAATTTCCACAGAAATTCCAGGGTTTTGTTTCTTAGGTACCTAACCAAATCCGTCCATATGACGACGACGCAGCACATCCAGTCTTGCAGGGAAGTGCGTTCAATGCGAGAGGATCTATCACTGCTCATCAAATGAATGTGCCCGATAGGATTCTTGTGGCAGGTTAGCCTACTGACACTAAATTTTTTTGTCTTCTGTGATGATTGCATACCCACACTCTCCGCTTTGGTTCTTTCTTTGATCGAGTGGTCGACATAAAAAAATTGTTGCGATGTATTAGGCGAAAAGGGTCCATTGAGTCATTGACCATGATATGGTGATTCCCAATCACTGATTGGCAGCATATTATTATATATTACAGTTGTAAGAGTTGTTGTTAGATGAAGGAAAAAGTCTGCTCTGATGAAATTACTGATATAGGTTTTCGTAAACATTTTTGTATTTTTACTTTTTAGATATCAGTTGCACTTATTTGTAATGCTGCATAGGAAAACATGCTCGAAGAAAGTGTCTAACGAAGTAGTCATAACTTAATGTTTTTACTGAAACTAGGCAATGACCAACACATGGGGCTTCGTGATCAGCGCCCGCGCGAACTGGACTTCGACGACATGCTGTATGGATTCCGCACGGATGTGGCGGTGCCCGTGCACACACCGCCCCGAACACTGACCGTCGGACAGCATGAATTTCTCTTCCCGGACAGTCAGAAGATTTCCCTGGTGGTGGAGACGGGCCCGTTATTGCTCCCTTTTTTGGTTCGGCATTGACAGATAATAACATTGAACAGGCCATGATTGCTCAAGCGGAACGGAATATGATCCCTGTTTCCAGAACACCAAAGAGGTACTTACTGCTGTATGAACCCTACCGTTACTAGTTAGTTTGATGGCTTTCACCGGTTTCTGTATGGCTGTGTTAATGCCGGCATAGTGAATAAGCCGTAGATGTGTTTTATCGTCAGAGACAAATGACGGTTAATATTTTGACAAAGCGCTTAATTATCTTGATTTACAGTGTGACGCGTCGGTCGGCTTCCGCTGTGGCCACTCCAACTTCCGTTCGAGCAGCTCTTCCGGATACTCCTGGCGGACGGCTGGTAGTGGACTTGTATAAGCGTGTAGAGGCTTTGGAAAGAGAAAACTACCGTCGATATTTGCGTGAAATGCTAAGTTATGCTTTGATCATTGGGTATGCAGCCATGAAGGGTCTATCATTTTTTCTGAAGCGCTAATTAAGTTTGGTCATTTAATTGCGAACTACTTTTGTGAGAGTGGATGTTTTGATTTGTTTTAGCCGTTTACTTTTTCTTCGCCTGGAAGGCTTGTGCAAATATTATTTATTGAACCAAAATCTCGGGATTCGCGTTTCTACCACGTTTCTGATCGAAACTGAGAAAGCTGAGAACAACAACTAAACCCAAAAATTTGTTCATATGTTTCTAAAAAAACAGACAGGCAGCTCAAAGAAATAACTCTACAAAAATACTAGTAACAAAGTCAAAAGCATCAACAATTAAAAATGGCTGTCACGTAGGCTCTTTGATTTGCTTCACTAGGAATGCATAGCTGCAGCCTGCATGGATAGAAGCAGTTTTACTGGACCAGCGGATGTTTTGATAAGATTTCCGCACATGACTTTTTTAGATCGTCCACGGCTTGGTCCATTTCGTCTTCAGAGAGATCCACATTGACAATTACGCGGATGCTACAAGGATTATTACCGCTTTGTCACCAAATACGTCCAAACAGTAAGTAGCATTAGCAAAATCCATACGCTCTTTGTATTAACAATTTGAGACAGGTCCGAAAGCAAAGCGATGCTTCAGACTGATACCTTGGTGTCACAGGAATAAGTTCATCGGGCGAATATTTAGCAGTAAGAATCACCACACGACTGTTCTGAAAGACCTGAAATGCAAGCACAATCATTGTCCCAGATGTCACGAACAACAACAACAAATCGAGACTAACATGTTCCACTATTCTGTTCAATGTCTCATATTGTTCCTCCAGAGTTCCATTGGGATTCTGCAAGCGGAGGTGCTTAATGGGCGATGCATCCCAGCTATCGAGTACCAAACCAGGAATGCTGTAAATGATGAAGCAGAGTTATCTATAGGCGTACCGGTGATTTATAAGGAAAAGAAGTCTCATACTTCGATAATCGCTTGTGCATGGCTAACGAAACTACTTCCAACTGCTCAAACATTTCTGAAAACAATAACATTCGCGAAATATAAAACATATGTACCACGAACACGATTAAGCAGCAATGAAAGTTACCGGGCTTATTAGCAACAATATCCAAGGCAGCGGATGCAGCTGATGCCAAAAGCGGAGGCAAAGAGGCCGAAAAACAGTATCCCAGACCCGACAGACGTTGGTGGTCAATTATAAAAGACGAACCACAACAAAATCCTCCAGTTGATCCCAACGAATGCTCCAGTGAGCCGGCAATAAGGTCTACATCTTCTCGCTAACAATAAAATTCACCGGTTACTACCAAATTACAAAAATTAAAGAACATAATTAGGCCGAAATTAACCGTAGTCAAATTACCTTAACGCCAAAATGTTCTGTCACTCCGCGACCAGTGCGACCAACAATACCAATGGAGTACGTTTCGTCCAGAAATATGCGGAACTTATATCGCTTTTTCAAGGCAATCAGCTGCGGCAGCGGGCTCAGATCACCGTAATTGGCATATAAACCTTCAACGACCAGGAAAACACGCCGGCGACTTGGATGGTCAACGTCCTGAAAATCATGTACTGATCTATGATGTGGACGATTATTTTCATCTTAGAACGGCTACTCACATCACGGTCGAAGAATTTTCGACGTGGCTTATTAAGGGCAATCTGATCACTTCGCTGAAGATCTTCCAGAAGGGATTCTAAATGCTTCAAATCGTTGTGCCGAAAGTACTTCAACGTGCTCCGACTGACAGTGAGACCCTGCTGGATAGCATAATTCACTCCTTCATCACTGCAAACGATATGAAAGTGTCAGCGTCACGCGATAGTCCATGTCTCTGTTCCTCACTTAACTATGAAATACGGCACTAAAGGAACAATAAGGTTTACACACTAAGCGAGTAAGTCCTTCCATTTACCAGTGCAACTTAGCAATATTACAGAACGCCAACAGTAAGACCGTTATCATCATCAGCTTCAGTAGTTCAATACTGTGTCTAGCACTTACACGAAAATCAGATCACCGCGTTTAGCGTATGCCGGGATGGCACTGGAGATAGTCGCCGTTCCATAGGAGTACAAAATTGCTTCTTCACATTCCATGAACTGGGCCAGTTTCTCCTCCAGTTGCAAATGGACATCTAAAAGAATTTATTCTAGAGTACACATCACAGTTTTAAAAATTTTGGTAAATTATTCACCATCATTTACTATTTTTTTACTATTTTTACATATACTTTTTTTATAAACGCAGTATTACTATTTACCCATTGTTCCATAAAATCCGCGGGGCCCACATGATCCAACCCCATAGCTTTTTATTGTTTTTTTGGCAACTTCCTACAAAACAAAGCAAGGTAATAATGGAATATTTCCGTACGGCTACTTTAGTGGTTAGTCAGCGTAACCTGCCGCGCTATGATATAAACAGTTACCTCTAACTGGCTGTTCCCAACGAAGTTCAGAATGTTGTAGCTGGCTAAATTCAGGTAAGATCGTCCATTTATCTTAACATATTTCCCAACTTTTCTGTAATTAAGACTAGATGTTTATGGATGCTCAAAAGTCAAAATTCTGAATGATTAATACTTCATCATTAGTAGTATTCATTACCCTTCGCAGACCAGTTGAGGTCGGTGTGAAGCCATTCTTTTCGATTTATCCACTTGGAGAACAGGCACAAGAGGATCAGGTTTCCATTCTTTTATCAGCGTTTCTTTCTCCTGCAAGTAGAAAACGGGGAAAAATCACGTAAAATTTAAACTACTCGTACAAAATTGGCAGTGTATCACCTTGGCAGTTAACTGATTAAGGGATTCTTGTAGGACATTTGTACTGGCTCGCTTCATGCCATGAACTCCCAGAAAAACAATGTAAACGGTGAGGGAAATTTCAAACAGGAAATGCAACCAAGAGGTTCCAAGGATGTGCTCAACCCAACTCGCACTCGGCCCCTAAAATGCAGTGAATTTCCAGAGCATCCACAAATATCCGTACTTTACCCTACCGAGTACCGACTATTCTCAGGCTTCAATAATCCGTTTATCTTCGCTTTTCTTTAAAAAGCAGATATACAGCCGCGAACAATAAAATCCACCTCTGAAGGGAGGTTTCAGTGCAAACATGGGAGTGCCAAACAGGCGCAAGTTATCTCTGGGCAGCAGTACTCGACTCACCTTGTTCTGGAACCCATGAGTAGCGATTAGAATTGGGAAAGCAATCAATGGAATAAATATCGTTTTTGAAAATCGCAACATTTTTTATAATATCAAATGGCAAAAAAAAACCGCAGTTTAAGAACTTTATTTAGTCGTTCTGACTCGTTCACAAGGTGTTCTTGTTGTCTTTACTCTTTCACAAATTTATAAATGAATAGAATTGATCGTTTTGACGGTGACACCTAATAATGAGAACACAGTCAACTTCCGGTTGGGAATTTTACGTCTGTTGACCACCTTGAGCGGTTGGCATGAAAATTCCCCACGTGTACGTGCACGCTCTTTCTGTACGCGTCCGGTTTGCAGCTACGGAACGTAACCGTTACGTATTTCGCTTATAACATAAGTACGAGTTACTTACTTGCGAGCTCTTCCGTGCCGTGCGATACGCAGCGAAGATTTGGAACGACAGTGCATGTCTGATGTCGGCGAGAACCTGCGAACTCGATCAGCGGGGTCTTTACCATTTTTTTGGGCATTTTTGATTGTGCTTTTATTGTTAGCTGATATTAAATAAATATTCAGGTGAGTTCACGTCTACAAAAGCCTAGCTCGAATCGCTGAGTTGATTGATCTGCATCCTGGAGTTCTTAGCTTGGAGATCTTCGTGAAAGTGTCGGAACAAGTGTTGATTGATTGCAGAAAATGGAGGCAAACAAAGACATCCTAAACCTGAAGCAGGACGACGCATTAAAGTTCTTGACCTGTAACACCCACTTGGGAACGCAGAATGTGGATTTCCAAATGGAGACCTACGTCTACAAGCGGCGACCCGACGGTACGTTTCTCCACTATTTCTCGCCGCGCTTTGCGTTTCACGAGATTATTACTAGACTGAAGTAATGAATTGCAAGAATTACTTTAATTCGTAAACGACAAAACATTCGACACATTAAACGTGGTTGTCGTTTAATAGGTATACATATCATTAATCTGAAGAAAACTTGGGAAAAGTTGGTGTTGGCGGCGCGTGCTATTGCCGCAGTGGAGGATCCGGCGGAAGTTTTCGTCATTTCTTCCCGCCCCTATGGACAGCGCGCCGTGCTGAAGTTTGCAGTGCACACGGGAGCTACACCAATTGCCGGTCGTTTCACCCCCGGTACCTTCACCAATCAGATCCAGAAGGCCTTCCGTGAGCCGCGTTTACTGGTCGTCAGCGATCCGCGCACCGACCATCAGCCGATTCGCGAGGCCAGTTATGTTAACATCCCAGTTATTGCGTTTGCTAACACGGATTCACCAATGCGATTTGTGGATATTGCTGTGCCGTGCAACAACAAGGTACGCGACTGCGTTCTGGAATTGTATTATGTGGTCATTAATCAGTACGTATTATCCTGGTTGCAAATCTCTGTTTTGTAGGCTGCGCATTCGATTGGTTTAATGTGGTGGTTGCTTGCGAGAGAAGTTCTGCGTATTCGCGGCAAACTTTCTCGGGACAAACCATGGAACATCATGGTGGATCTGTTTTTCTATCGTGACCCTGAGGAGGTGAATTATACATGCGTCTGCAGTTTTCGTGTAGTTTCGTTAGTGTTGTTCTCTGATTTTATTTTATCGACCTAGTCAGTGATACAGGCAGTTTCACTTTGTCCATTGTTTTAGATTGAAAAGGAGGAGCAGGCGCAATTGACTGACAAAGCAGCCGTCGCAACTCGCGACCAAAGCAATTATGCTGCTGAATGGGTGCAGTCCACTGGTCCAGAAGAGAGTGGGCAGTTTGTGGAAGATGTTAAAGATGTGAGTTAGCCGTGGCTAGTTGTTTGCAACTTTGCGCTCAGGATTCCTGAGTCTTACCGAACAAACATTTTTTAGTGGGCTGCGGAACCACTGGCTCCTAGCTTCCAAAGCGGACAGGAGTGGACGCAGTCGAACCCAGAGTGGGAACGACAGAATCAGCCAGCTGCGGCTACTGCTGCAACCGGAAATGAATGGGGAGGCGACACCAACAACTGGAGTTGAATTGTTCTTGGTTACTAATTTTCATATTGTATGTTTATGGAAGAACAAAATAATAAAACCGGGTAGATGACAAACTTGTGGCCTTACACCCATAAACATAAAAGTTGATATATACACATACAGTAATACACTTCATGATCTTCATCCAGCGTCCTACCGATGGAAAACGTTTCCTGAACCCAAGCAGCGTTACCTCGCATTAAAGCAAGTTGATGTAACTGGTATAGGTTTTTCCGATATCCGGTAGTGGCCAGCAGTACCAAGCTGCGGCGATGGTCGTGCCTGACGCTTACTTGTTTAATAGCACACAGCCGCTCACTGCGAGCAGTTTTGCCAGGTACATAATTATGATACTCGTAGTAACGTTGGCGAATCAGCCAACGACAAAGTTAATAGTTTGCAAGTGTTTTTATGTGAATCACAAATAAGATCATGTGCACAGTTCGCAAAACAAAACCAATAAGATCATGTGCACAGTTCGCAAAACAAAACCTAAAAACATGAAGATTACTGAAAACAAACGCAGCAACAAAAAATTTCGCGGACGTATTTCAATAAATAACCGGTAGAGCTGGGAATAACACTGATTGTCAATCCAAGTGCAGTTGGTATGGTATTCAGTCGCCTCAACAGAAAATTAAAAACTGCTTTCTTCATTCCTTGATTTCCCTCCCCGTCCTGCAACGTAGAACCAAATATGTAGCAACAACATTAGTACAAAAATCTTATAGATAAGAATTTGTGTGGAGGTGATGCAGACTTAATTCTTCGATAACATGGAAGGGTAGCAAGTCAAGAAAACTTCCTACCTATGGAGTTATCGGGTGCAACATGCCAAGAAAATTTGGAATAACTATGTCAAACATTCACCTTTTTCTGTTCATCCTAGCAAACATGGCGTTTCCAGAAAAGAAAGCGATCAATCCCAAAACGCTCAGGTACTTCAAAGTTGTAAACATATTAAGCGAAATCCAAAACATGTAATAAAGGTAGAAAATTCCTGCAAACAGCACGCAACGTTGGTTCATAACGTCATATCCAAAAGCGTTACTTTCAAATAGCTACAAACGTACCACCCAAAGATCCGTAGAAAACGATACTCGATGGATGAAAATCCAAATTACGGAAGTTAATACCCAGTCTGATCCACTGCAACAGAACAATCGAATTACAAACAAGTTAAAAGTTACTCTTACTTGTACGAAAGCGAAGGGTTGCAAAGAAGCATACCAATAACCACAGCAGAACAAACGGGGCAATAGCGGCGAAAGAGAAAGCCGTTGATACGGTGGCAGGAGGGCGCTTTTCCGGTTCGCGGAACATGTGCTGTAGCAATGTGAAAATACATATACTGTATATAAATCATATAATTATTATAAACATGTAATTCTATACCGTGGCTTACCATGATTATTAAAAACTACAGGAGACAATGAACTGTTCTAATCCCTTACTTTGATTTCTGGTTTTGCAACGAACCGAGCTAGTGGGTCGGAAAGCTCTTCAATACCACCTGGGAAATTCAGTTTAACGCTGCCCTAAAAATTTCAAAAATTGTTTAGTACTCTTAGTTCAGAAATATTATCATAACCACTAATCCTGAGTGGAAAGTACTACAAAATAATCTAGCACAACATTCTTCCACAAATCTTCATCAACGAAAAACGTGGAATGGGTTATGTTGTGCAACGACTGCTTCTAACCATTTCTACTTCCCACATGGTGGACAAGAAGTTAACGGAACAAGTGCAAGTAATACCGGCAAATTCGTGGCATATGAATAAAATAACCGTATGTGTGAAACACGAAACATATAATAATCTCGCAAACTGCGACATAACTGTAGTTTCGCGACATAACTGTACTAACTACAGTTGTCTTGCTGAAAACAGAAAAGACTTACCACATGAGCGGAAATAGCATTGGAAAACCTGGCATCCCCCACATCAACGTGAAGCTGGTAAGTGCCGCTCAATCGATTGAAGTCTCCGGCACGTTTAGAGAGATCCTGCAAATATCGAAGATTAACTGAACTTAACTGTATCGCGTTAACCGACAAACAACGCCGCTAAATAGACAACGTACAAGTTCCACTTTGTGTCCAGCAGCATCAGCTTCCGCTACTAAAACAACTTCTCGATCCAGTTTGGAATGAGTCAAACGGACAAAAGCCTAAAGAATTTTCCAAATTTAGTTGTTTCCAGCGCAAAAATGTTGTTTTTTGCCATATAACTGTCATTACAAATACTCCTGCGAGCCTGTGACGAATGAATTTATAATATAGTAATTTAATGAATTTATAATATAGTAGCACAAACAAAAACAAATGACCTACTCGAGTAGCTTAGAAAGTCACAATGACACGGACCTGATCCGGCTTGACAAGCTCGTTGTCAGCTTCGTTTTTAACGGGAAATTTGACGACCAGCTTTTGGTTCTCCGCAACATTGACAGCAGAGGCCAGTTTATTCGGCCGTACAACCCTGCAAGTGTACCGCGTTCCGCACAACTATTTGGGAAATAAACGAGCAAAGCGCAACAATTGCGGTTAGGAAGCACTAACTTGACAGAGCTGGCCGATTTGCCGCCATCAGGATCCTGTGTGATTATTTCTATCTCAGGCACCGTCACCTGCTCAGAGCAGTAAAGGGGATTTTAGAATGGGCAGTCGACAAATTTCAATGTAGTTCTGGCTTTCCTCCTGGTGTGCTACCACAAACCTTTATTTTCTTGGTAGGTTTAGCCGGTTCCTTGGCTTTGGCATCTTTAGAAGCACCTTGCCCACAGCTGCCTGTCGCAACCATGCAAGCAAGTACTCCGATTGCCAGCCAGCCTGGAAAAGCCACAAGATCACTGATTTTATGATTAGCTTCTAAATTCGTAGTTCAGTAGTTCATACCTTTCCAGCTTGCCATGTTGCAAAGAGCAGCAAGACTCCTCCGAAAGGCTCACTGGTAGGGTGGCAAGTTGCAGGTTTACTCGAATCACTGTGCCAGTGTAAATCTTCCTCTATACCAACAGTAACACTAAGAGTGACAAAAGAACAGCAATAAATATTTCTTTAAACAAATAACTATCAAAAATGCTTCGTAGTCGTAAAACAGTTTTCTGACTGCCAATAAAATTTGACGCTTTTTGAGTTTTTTCTTTAGCTGTAACAACAGCCAAGATTAAAAATTCGTACAAAACTACTCTGTACACTGTACAGTACGGCATTAATTTTATTAATATTATTATTAAACAAGTACTTACATTGCTGTACTACATACCTAGTAGTTTTCACTGCGGCGCAGCTCATTTCGGTTGCAGCTGCTCGGATACGTGGCATCCACGATCCAAGTTGCATTTGCGCAAGTTGGACTTCTGTCGTGGTAGCGGGCTATACGTATGTATAGGGCAGGGGCCCCCGGTGGTAGTATGTACTTACTAGTACAGTACTATGGAATTCCAAATCCGACAGCCTCATCGATTTGGAAATCTGGAATTGGAAAACATCGATTGTCGATTTTGAAAACATCGATTACGATTTTGCCAACCCGGATGCTGGACTTAGAATTTTTCTCAAATTTTGATTTTCCAATTCCACATTCCATTACACTTAGTGTAATCGATTTTTCCATATAAATGACTGGACTTGGCCCTAATCTGGTTTTTACGCCATAGTGAAGTCTGGATGTTGCCGTTGGCGTTGCAATTTTATACAGTACAATTACGATGAAAAGTTGTTTTTCCTTATTTTTTTAGTCTGTTTAAGTGGATTTATTCAGATTTGCGGATATATATATTTCGGAGAAATCTGCAGCTCTCAGTACGGCAGTTTTCGATCCCTTTGAAGTGTCATCCTGTGCTATCTCGTGTCTCCTGGCTATGTCGTCCCGTTTTGTAGAATCCATCGAGTTCTCAATCTCCACTATGTTGTCTCCATGGATCTCCAGGACGTTTCTGGAGATTTAGGGTCTATGAAAACACCGTCGCCATCAGTCGTTCTTCCGTGCATTCCACCCGATAAAGACAAGCGTAACAAGCCCATGGTGGAAATCCGCATTATACAGCTGTTCGGCGTCAAGGACTGCAAGTTCTACTGGTAGAAAAACGGCGAACCTGGCCGTCAACGTGGAGCGTTATAACCATATCAAGGAAAGGGCGAAACAAGTTTGACTACGGTTGAATATTTCATCAACCTGGAGATTTTCGCTCTAATTAAACGAACGGGAGTCCCCGTAGAATCCATTAAAATAAGAGGTGAGTACAGTAGAGTGGGACCGGTTTGAGAAGTTTAAAACGTATACCGTTATACGTTGCAAGATTTTTCGGTACTGAAATAAGAATTAACTAGATATTTTGGACTACCAGTTTTCGTAGCAGGTTGCAGGTTGTTAGAAAAATAGATTGATTGGGCTTATGTTACAAGATCAGTGTTCTTTTGTAAACCACGTTGATGATCTTTTTGCCTCTACAGAGTATCTTCCTTTGGTTAGTTTCACTTAAAAGTTGATTTATTTTAGTAAGATGCGGTGATTTATCAGAAAAACCTAGAATGAATTTTATTGGCGTTTACAGATTCCATCGTGGATTTATCCTGAGAACCAAATGGCAACAAATTAGTAGTGCTAACTGTTGCTGGTTCAGTAAATTGGCTAATTTCTATAGGGGCCGACGACAAGGCGTCATTTTCGAATTAGTCAGTAAGTGCCCTTGTCCATGGAAAAGTTGCAGGTCTTTTGCAACCTTCAGATCTTTGATTACAAGTATCTGCTTGTAGCATTTATATGATAAGCAGATGTTTGAGCCAATTCAAGAGAGTTACATAAATTACATTTGGGACATTTCCGAAGACTCGAAGTGCATTTTATTTCTTGCCATTACTTTATGAAGTTTTTCTGCGACGTAATTTAGTTTTATTTATTTACTAGTTTAGTATTTGTTTATTTTGCTGCATTTTTTACAGTTTTAAGGTGCTAATTATGTTTGGATGCGTTATAGAAAAATTAGCGCTGCAGCACAAGGTGGAGAAAATCTCCTGGTCGCATATGGAGGAGTTTGTCGTTCTTCACACGGCTTCCAGGTAAAGCACAATCGTATTCGCGACAGTGTGTTGATTGAGACTGCCTGTATGTTATGCAGCGGAAGTGTTGGGTATTTAATTTTGTGGATACCGCCGATTTGTCAGTGTTGGCGGATGTTTAACACTTTCTGCTCTTTAATGTCCAGTGGGATCCCACAGGACGCTACCTCACAGCAGTCACGTCCTCTTCGAATGCCGGAAACAGGGTAATAATTGTTGTTAAATAATTGAGCACTACCAGTAATTTTTTGTTTCTTTTTTGGGTTTTTATGTAAAAAATATCGACCCTTATTGATCGGTAACTGGTTGTTGTAAATTTATTATAATACTTTCTGTATTTCAAGACAGTGCAGTTGTTTGCGTCCTCTTTAGATTGATACCGTTATCGTTTGCTGAGGTTCTTTAAATTAGTTTGGTTTTCGTCATCCAGAAATTTTTGTGAATTTACAGAAAGATAATGGATTTACACTGTATTCCTTCCAAGACCGCTATACGCGTAATGGGAAAGTGGATGGATTGAGTATGTTGGGCTGGCGACCGAAACCCGCCCCTTCGATTCTCCCGGTAGAGAAGCTTAAGGACATCAAGAAAAATCTAAAGGAATGCGCATCGGAATTTGAAATTAAGGATCGGTTGCTGGCATTGAAGGCGTCGAAGGTGAATTTATGTGACTGCAGCAGAGGAAAGCATAAAAACCGTGATTATGTTGGTTTAGGAAGTGTCGGAGCGGCGAAAACGCCTGGTGACAGAGTTCACTGATTTTTTGACGACAAAACTGCGCTACTTGGAGCAAAAACGAGTGGCACTAGAACGAGGTGCGTATTTTGGTGTCATAACAGGACGACAGTTTAGGTATAGACCGTATAGTGAAAACTTTTAATGAAAGAGGGTTAAAATTGAAGTTGACAACATTGCTGTTCCATTTGACGTACATTTCAAAAAATCATTTGACCTGTAAATTGTCGAAATTGACTGACCTATTAATGCTGGTATGTAGGCTACAAACTAGGCGACAGAATGTGTTGTGTGCCTGCGCGGAAGCGGCTGCGGGCCGAGGCACACCGGTCGGCGTTGGCCAGTTGGCGCGTCCTCCGACATGGACACGTCACCGCTAGCGGACAAAAATTTTTTTACATTATCGAGTTTTTTCGAGGAGGTCGGTGGTCTGGCACCCACGGCAGAGCTGGCTCCCTCCAAGTTGGAAGAAGACGAGAATGGAGAAAAGTTTATACGTGTGATTACGGTGGATGTGGAGTACGATATTCCTAGTATTGCCGAGTCCGTGTGATTGGGTCAGTGCGATTGAATCATTACTCTTTTTTCTGCGATAGAGAAGTATTTTTTGTTTATTTCGGATCTTCATTTATTGTTGTTAGTGTTTTGTTATGTTTTGCCATGCGGTTACGAAATTATCTTTTCTGTGATCAAGATTTGTCGTCCAGAATAATTTTCCGGAATTTTTTTAATTAAGTATATTTCATAGAATTTTGGTTGCAGCTGCAGTTCGTACTACCTAGTAAAGACTGGAGAGTAATATATGAATTATTTGCACTGAAACAGATGCGCAAGTAAGGAGGGGTGATGGCATTTGTAGTTGACAACTTGACTTCCGAAACATGCGGATTGCTGAATAAAGAGTGAATTAAAACGTAATAGCCGTTGACTTGGTTGGAAAGCAACTGGCACTAATGCAAAACAACTACAAAACAGAGGCTTCCTACTTCTACACATTATTACACACAAGTCCTGTGTTGTAACTTGTATGTTTACTTGTAATTGACATTTGGGATCCACAAGGTAGATTATGCATTGCAAAGAAGTATCTTTATTCAGTTATACCACAAAAACCAATGCCGTTACGTTGGATCAAAAGGTGCCGAGTTTCCTCGACACCTAATTCCATGAATAACAAATCCCCACCGCACCAGTTTGTGATTACCATCCATGTGCCACAACGCGTTCGGACCAGGGTTGAAGTATTTACGACGAGTGACCAAGTTGAAAAACCGATTAGCAACACCATATGGGTCCAAGCGTCGCAGAGATGAAAGAATCGTAGCTCGCTGGATATACAATCCAGCACTCTTTAACTGACCACACACGTAACGATATCCAACATTCACAAACGAACTGAGTATTTCTCGCATGCAATGTCCAATTGATCGTCGGATATTTCGCTGTACTACGATAAAAACCGCAAAAGCTTTTTCCGCGCTGATAAAATTTGGAAATTATTGCACTCACAATAACTTATTTTACTTAACCATGCCAATACAAATAAGACGCTACCGTTAAAATAGCTGCTAGCATTAAAATTTACCTTGTGATTTAAATTGTATTCGACTAGCCTGCGCTCGATCGTCCGTGTCGTGACTCCAAAAAACCCAGCAATTTCCTTAACTGTGAAGCCTTCGCATCGCATTTCACCGAGTTCGTTATCCGGAATACAAATTTTTCCATATTTATTGGTGCCGCCATTAATTTCATAGAAATAATCCGACCCATTGTCGTCTTCCCGCAGTAGCTGATGCAAGGCCTCTGAACAGTCTCGCAAAACGTCGAATAACTGCTGAGCATCTCCCGTCACTTCGTCAGGTAAGTTTTCGCATATGTCCCGTGTGTAACTAAAAAACAGCAAAATAGACGTGGCAGAATCAAATTAGGTTACCCGCAATTTTATCGGAGTTTTACAGCTTACCCAGTTAAATATTCAATCTGCGCTAGTGCTCCTTCAATGCCGTCCTGATCCCCATCTGCAGTATCCAAGAGCCTATTGGCCCGCCTGACGACAGAATCCGCAAACACAAAAAAAACTTCCATTGTATCTACATCAAACCGAAACCAATACAAATACTTACATCAATACCACGAAATTTACAAAAATTAGTTTGGGCTGTGACACAGCCGAACAATTCATTAGTCGTTACAGTGCTGCTGTACAAAGTGTAACGCAAAAAAACGTACCGTGTTCGGGAAACTTCGGATTTGGGGAAGCAGTCGACCGTTATGGATCCCACTGTAAGCTACAGTGGCAGAAGTAAATTTTAGAATATTGTTCAACACATGGAACGGTTGCGGAAAGATACAGCTGTTACTCAACGGCAAGAACCCCAGAACGGGCCAGAAGACGTAAACATCGAGGACTCCACCATTCAACGGCCCGATCATAAGCACTGGGAGGACTTTAGCCCCTCACCGGGCATAAGTACAAAATCAGAATAAAACAATAAAGATGCGGGCGGCTGCCAAGCACCGGTTGGTATGGGAATGGCCAGAATTTGAGATTTTAGAGAAGGATAACCTTACGCTACTGGGAGCACCCGTTAGCGTAGTCGCAGTGCCATCTTTTTTGCGGGGAAAAATTCAACAGATTGAGATACTGGTGGAAAGGCTGAAACTGCTGCCATCCCAGCAAGCGCTGTACCTCCTCCGAAACTGCCTCAGCGTGCCGAAATTAATGCATACTTTACGCAGCAGCCAGTGCTATGAACATCCCGAGATCCTGTGTGAATTTGACGACTTAATGCGGGAGGCGGTCACCTCAATTGTTAATGCGAAGATTGATGACAGGAAATGGCTACAGATGACTCTCCCGGTCGGTCGGGGCGGTCTGGGTGTGAGGCGAGCAGGGGAGCTAGCTTTGTCGGCGTTTATCGCTTCGGCATCCTCGGTTTTGCCTGTGTGCCTGGAAATGCTTCCAATCGACCGGTTATCGGGTCTGGAACAAGCTGTGGATAAATGGGTGCAAATGTATCAGTGTGAAATGCCGCCCGAAAATGTTAGGAAATATCAGAAAAGTTGGGATTGGCCGGTAGTGGAACGTGTATACTCACAATTGCGTCTTCAAGCGATGGCCAGTGGAAAACCGGAAGAAATGGCAGCACTGCTAGCGGCGTCCGAGAAAGAGTCCGCGGCGTGGTTGCACGCGTTACCGGCAGCAAGTTTGGGAACGGTGGTAAATGACGAACAAGAGTCGCTGTAGGATTACGATTTGGCCTGCCAGTAGTGGCCCCGCATCAATGTGCAGGATGTGGCTTTCAAGTAACTCCTGATGGCCACCATGGACTGTCCTGCCTGTACAGCAAAGGCAGATGGAGCCAACATCTGGAGTTGAACAGCATACTGGAGCGGGGGTGCGTAGCAGCGGGTATTCCGTGTGAGTTGGAACCGAACGGTATATTCAGAGACAACGGAAAGCGCCCGGACGGATTGACTTTGGTGCCAGTGCGAGAAGGAAAGCAGCTTGTATGGGACGCCACCTTTGCGGACACGTTAGCACAGTCTTACGTTAAACGGTCAGCAAAGGCAGCGGGAGCAGCGGCACACCAAGCAGAAAACCGGAAACGATACAATTACAGGCTTCTGGGCGACCAGTATTGGTTCTATCCTTTTGCCGTGGAAACCCTCGGAGTGCTCGGCGAAGGAGCCAAAGATATGGTCAGCTTTTTCGGGCGTAAAATTAAGGAAAGATCCGGCGAAGCTGGGTCCACCGCTTTTTTAAAACAGCGTATAAGCCTTGCAATTATTAAAGGCAATGCGGCTGCCGTTTTGGGAACTTTACCGGGCAAGAATAAATTTATTGATAATAGTGATTTTGGTTGTTTTTTTTAATTCTTGGTTGTGCAGTGTAAGCCGTAGTGATACGAGTGATGACTGTAATGTCGCGATGTAAACATGAATAAAGATCGGTATGTAATAAAGATGCTGCAACTCGAAGAAATAAACGGGTTTCGTTCTTCAAAAAAATTCTAGTTTCTACTTCTACCAACGTCAACTACAACGCAAACTGCCCGATTTCCACATACAGTATGGCATACAATATATATATATATATATAGTATACCAAAAAATTTTATGTAAAAGGCTCCTGCTTGTAGCAGACGTCATCACGCGTCCTAAGGCTGAGCGTGACGTCCATAGTATGCGTGCATATTATGCACACGTATGAAGACTTAGCGACTTTTTAAAACTGAAGCAATTCAGTCCATTCTGCCTTCACAACATAACTGGAATCTAGAATATTCTGGCACCAGAAGTGAACTCGCATAGTTATGTGCCATAAGAAAATGAAAAAGCAATTACAACTGCTATTAGCTCTTGATATAATTAACAAAAGTGAACGTATTTTCCTAGTCTTGCAATATTATTAAAACAAACAGAATGCCACTGAAAAGCAATTCAGTTCTTTTTATTCAGACAAATACATTCGGGTACCACAATCGTGGGTTTTTGCTGCCTCATGGCAATAAAATCTCAGGATATTATCATGTTCTTGGTATAATATGAAAAAAAAACTTTCAAGACGCAAGACCCATGGGTCGCGTTTAGTTCTAAAAAATCCAATAAGTTCTATACATGGCTATTCTTTAACTGCAAGTCAATCTACAGGCCAAAGTGTAGACATTTTAATCAAAGCGTACCGCACAGTTTATCCCATAGTGAACTACATAGTTGAGCCCGCAGTTTATCTCGCAGTAAACCACACAGTTAACCGCACAGTTCGTCCAGCAGTAAACCCCACAGTGTATTCCGGAGTTCTTTGCATAACGTTTTCCCGTGCAAGTCATTCCGTATTAAACCATACAATATGTTCAACATAACATCTCAGAATTTTTTATTTTATTTTGCAATATTTTTGTAGCAATATTTCTTGCAGTATTTTTTAAAACATTACTATTTTCAAACAAACATTTATATTAAAGTAGTTTTAAAACAATGATGATTTATTCACAATCACTTCCGCCAAGTATTTGCGCAACAACTGTAAGCAATTCGTAAACGCTATTATTAGGAACACTGGCAGGCAAAAGTAAATTTCTTTGTTTTAGCGAAGCTCCGGCATGTTTGTTCCGGTAGTTCCTTCAAAGAAATCGAATTTACAGCTATTTGCCTAGTCATAAAAGTACTTGATTTATGATGTTTCGTTAATGTTTGATCCCAATAATAATTCAGAAACTGTTTGCAGATATAAATTCTATTGAAGTTTGTGTTTATAAAAAATTATATTGAATACTGAATGCAATAATTCAACTGTTATGAGATCACTTATGTATTTATTTAACATTGCAGATCACACAGATCAAACGTAGAAACGCGAGTCCGCAACTGCATTAATCTGCATACAAACTTTAGTAAGTAGTTGTTTTGTTTGTAAAATTGTACAGCAAAATAAAATAAAAAAAGTTTGAGATTTTATGTGGAATATATTGTATTGTTTACTACGGATTGAATTGCACGCGAAAACGATATGCGAAGAACTCCGGAATACACTGTGTGGTTTACTGCGGATACTGTGGGTTGTAGAAGAACTGTGCGGTTAACTGTGTGGTTTACTGCGGGATAAACTGTGGGATCAACTATGTAGTTCACTATGGGATAAACTATGCTTTGTACGCTGTGCTTTTATTTAAACGGATTTAAGCACTTTGGCCTGATAGATTGCCTTGCCGTTCAAGAACAGCCAAGTTATTACATACTGCATTAGAATTTCTAATAATGGGACCAATCACGATCAGTAAAATTTTCTTTACATATTCCAAGAACTTACGACTACCGGGAATAATGGAATCGGTTCAGAACTTCAAATAATACCCAGAGTTCTCACACTACTGAATACAGATGTATTCTGTCAGAATTTAAATGTCCCTTTTCGATTTTCAATTGTTCAAGTACTAACAATGTTACAGGACACAAAAAACGGTCATAACGTTAAAGGTATCAGAACAATACAAGGTTATAATACTTATGTATAATTATGATACTACAGAAATATAAATATTCTAAACTCGTTAGTCGTAAGTAAAAACATTAATACGAACAAAAGCATCATGATTATTATTATTCATTATAATACAAACAATAAGGAATCACCGTACCGTACCGTACTTCATGTCGGCATGGTACTTGAACTGTTGAACAATACAAAGGGAACGGTGAAACCGTATACGTAGAAGCTAAGTATACAATTTATCTGTGCACTATCAGATATTCGAATATTATTCGAAAGCGTTAAAGTGGCTTGGAAGTGTTTTCGGAATCCTGTTTTGCCCTTTTATGAGCCTTTTTTTACATTTGGAGTATTCTCGTCATTTTCCGGTTTGTAAAGAGTCCAGATGCATGTTTGACCAATTCCGGACATTGTCACTACGCGGTAGCCGCGAAGCGCCAGTTTGTCCAGCACTACACGGGGAACATCCGGCGTACGATATTCCGGAAATGTGTTTCCATAAAACGTGAGTAATTTTGCGCCAAGGTACTCCATCAACTCGGGGTCAGCATCGGCATCGCCAACTATTGTCGGTCCAGTCTCCAGACGAATTTCTGAAATGAACACAGCGCGGGGTTTTTACCTAGAATGTACATTTTACATTTCAGAGCAGAAATCGCTAAAAGAAATATCCAGTAGCAAGACAGCTCATAGGTGACTAGTTCCGGTGGAAACAAAATCAAGCTGCACAGCTTACAAAAATGTATACATTCAGTATCGACAAATGATAATTATACTGTTTCAAATTTTTATTTCAATAAAAATAGAGGTGATCTTTGGACTTCCGGTCATAATAATACCGCTTTAGAATTATGTTTTAGAAGTGCTTATCTCATTTTCTGATTGAAATTTAAAATGCATCTGACATAATTTGATCTCTTTTTTGTTTTTTTTGCTGAATACTTACAAAACACAAAAATGGTGCAACGCAATTGCAAAAGGTACAAACAAACAAGGAAGACACTTATCGGGCGAAAACTCCAAGAGTATATACAACAAAGCGGGTAATATACTGTAGATATGATATTAATTTTCGATTGATGACATACCTGTGCTTATCAGCAAGTACGGCATTTTTCCAGGATTTAAATACAGGGTGTTATGACTAACAAAAAGATGGAGAAACTCTGTCCAGTTGAATTTGGCTGGCACCGTATCGCGCTGCAGTAGACACCAAACAGCGTAATAGTTAATGTATAAGCAAGTAATTTTACCTTGTCTAGTCGGAGACTCGGGGGTAAATTAAACTGATCTTTCAGAAGGTCACCATGAAAATTCCCAAACATGATTTGATATTAAAAATTATGAGAAGTAAACTTCTGTCACTTACGAAAGTCAGATGCAAATCATACGATGCAACTTGTACAGATAATTTTGCAAGATGGACAAACCACTGATGCTGTGCTTAACATAGAATTCTATACTAGTACCTAAAGTAAATACTTACTGTTACAATAATGGCACAAATGTAATAGTACTTTACAATTGTAAACCACCGCCGTCTTGCGAAATAGCAGAGCTCCACGTTTAAGTTTAGGTGAAGTATCAAGTATATTATGTCTTTGTATACGAAGAAGACGGTGTCTTTGCAGACCGCGGCAAAGTTATGTTTCCACCGACCTTACAAAAAGCGCACAACAAAAACATGCATCAAGAAAATTTTGGACTAATCGATTTTCCGCGCAGCACAGTGGGAATGAATGTCATGCTTGAATATATCGCTCAACCGCAGACGGCATTGCATGTATTGTATGTACAATATTTACACGAATGCAGGACAGCACATGTGGGCTTGATACACAGGTATGGATCTTGCAGCGGGCTGCACATCACGAATTCACGATTCAAAAGATATTATCAGCTACAAAAATTGATATTATCAGCTAGTGACAGCTACAAAAAGCTCACTCAACAGTTACATTACAAACACATTCTGCAGGCTGCCATTTAAGTTAAAGTTACCATTTACTGTACAACTAACCGAAAAATGTAAGGTATTAGAAACGTCCTTATAATTAGACACGCCGGAGAAATTTGGCAAAACGGTAGCCGACTTGCCAGCAATACTGCAGCTTCAAACCCCACGCCCACGGTCTTCGACGATTAATTCGGACAACTCTAAATAACACATGCAACAATGCTCTTACGATTGCATGTTTGATCCTTTCATCTTTTCTAGCCGGTCATTTTGTACACTCCTTTATATAGGCGCCACTGCTTGGCCCTCACAATCAGCTACACATAACTCAGTCTTTTAGCGCCTTAAAAAGGTTACAAGTTACTAATTGTAACATCACCAGCTAACGTCGAAATTTCTGTTTTTCCTAGAAATATAAAATTTTCATTGGTCAGGAACGGACTTCTGTACAGTAAATGCGCGCGCATGTCTGAATTCCGGTGAGCGGTAGTTTATGCTGTTAGCCTGTTTATAATCTTCGAGTAGATTCTTTGAGTACAACAATTTTTCACGCGTACCAAACAAGCGTACACTGTAAAAAAACAAGATCATCCACATAGCTCACACACATACTTGTAAAGGAAGAAATATAACTTCTCTGGCAAAACAAAATCAAACAAACGACAAATCTTTAACCAATATTAAAGTTTCCGTATCAAGCAATCGGTTTTGTCGAGCCAGGTTGAAGTTCTTCATGCCACTCCATGTATCTTCGTCCGATTGTGTCTCCTCTGGCTGCCGCTCTAATAGCAATATAAAAACGATTCAAATCGGATCATCCTCCACATTACTTCGAAGTATGCAAACTGATCAATAAAGCCAAAACCAAATAAAAAAACAGCGTTCAGTTCAACTAATTCTCGTACTCTTAATTGCAAGTTTATCACTAATTTACTCTAGTTATACAAGTATTTAATTTACTGTAAGTTTTCACACTTGAAAACACGTTACAAACTGTAACATAATACCCACAAGTGAATTTTGCTGCATATGGCAGAATCGCAATTTCTCTCAGATTTCGAAGTTCAAAAAATTTCACAGCTATGTACTCGTATAGTAGCTACTATTCGTACACGATCACAAACAATTAAAATATTCGCATTTGGCAACAATTGCTTTATACATCAATGTATTTGCAGTACTGTACCTTTTTCCCGCGATGGCATAACCAAAACTTGCCACAACTGAAAGAAGCATGCCAATGACAGCAATTCTCCAACGAAATTTATCGTACGCTTTTGACATCGTGCTGGACCTGCAAATATATTCGCATTAATCGCATACGATCACACTCGAAAAAATCACTCTTCTGTCTAAAAAAATCAGAATCTGTTGTGCAAAATAATATTCCACATGCCGATAGATAACATAAGGGTGCGGTTGAAAACTCCATGAAATGATTCAAATGTCAGTACAAATATTAAATCATAATACGTAAAGTATTCAATGCACTCTGTAAATTAGTTAAAAATCCAAAACTTAATAATTCACAAATTTTTGGGTCAAAATTTTCGAATTTTCATACGAACACATTATGACACAGTTGAGTCGTTGACAGTTGCACAGTAATATAATTATCGACCTACTAGCAGAGCCAGGCACTGCGATAAAATAATTTCTGCAAAAAATATAACAAAAATAATTTTTGCGACTTGCTTGCTGACTTTATCCAGCAATCATTAATTACAGCAAATAAATAGATAATAGTCGGTCTTCAGTAAGCACTAAGCAGTTACAGAATACAGATTAGTCATCAGTCCATTGACAATTTATTGGATGAGTGAAGCCTAGTTTCCAAAGTTAAAAATTGCATTATCAATGCATCGATGTGAATTGCATTGTATTCTCGATCCTCGATGTTTAATGGTCAAGGAATCAAGGTACAAACTTACGAAATTGAGTTACTAGCATCTTACGAGATTCTTTCAGGAATCTGGTCCACTGATGGATATCGTTTTGTCCAAACCAGTACCCGCTTTTGGAAGTTAGATAGTCCTTGAAAAGAACAATGCAATCGAGCAAATATGTTCTTATTACCACAAGATCCTCTGCGTGTCAGTAAATTCCTGAAATATTATTTTTATATCGGATTTGTTCAGTAGGGTAGGTCACAAAACTTTCAAAGCCCTCCAACCTACAGATATGGCCGGAGTCCAAACCCCTCAAACTTGCGCTCGTTATTGCTATTTTAAAACGTGTAGAAAACTTACCCTTCGATGAAATGTCGTCCGTAAAGAATCGCTTGCTGAAAAGAGTTTCGGAACGCATTTTAAACAGCAAAGAGCCGATAATCCTGCTAGGGAGCATCCTGGCTTGTGGTTGTAATTGTTAATAAACTGTTACAAATAACACCCTGTGACAGCAGCTCCCAAGATTTCTCGAAGGCACTCGATGTCAGCGCCTGATCCCGCTCCACTGCCCGATCAGTGAACTACGTATTTGCTTCTAGAAACAAATACGCACTTAACGTATTAAAGCATTAATTCTAAGTTTTAATAAAAACACAGCCACAGGTGAATTTTTAAATTCACAAAACAGTCACCCGATACAGTTATGTACAATGCACAGAAGTAAAGCGCATTCGGCATTCCCCCTGCAAAGCGCATTATTCATGACATAATTATTAGAGAACTTGCGCAGTAATGGCACAAATTCAATGCAAGTTACTAAGTACTTACTTTCAAAGGTCTACTCCGAATTCCTATGGGAGGATCCCTAAATTACGTGCGCAGGTTCTTCGAACATTTTGACCCCTCCCCCTGGTGCCCGGGTTCGTACGCCATGTTAAGTTTATGAAGGTGTCACATTTCTGACACCCCTTCCTCTCCTAGTTCGCTGCTTACGTAAATTTACGGATCCCCTAATATGTGGCAGGGAGGCGGAGCCGGTGTAAACACGCTCATTGGCTGTCGTGGTCTAACCAAATAGAAAATTCAAGGTAGCGCTAACAGGGCAAACTATAGGTAGGCAGTATTATTAGTATAGCACCTGTGGTCTAACGCGTTGGGGCGGGGCCGAACACCGAATTTCATGGTGGCAGTAAGTCATTGCAGTAATAGGTTCGCACTTCGGGCCACCTGACAGCTAACATTTCCCTGTGCAGGACATTTTCTATTAATTTTCTTTATCGTTTTGGTTTTGCTGACAGATCATCAGCTGAATGAGCCGTGTTTAAAGTCGCTGTTTTGAAAATCTGCGTGGCGATAGAGACTTCCGGAGGGTGGCTGGTTTTATCGCTCCCGTCAGTTTGCGGTTGCCCTGTCGCATACACTCAACAAACAATCGCGAACAATCAAAGTAGGAACTACGCAGGGGTATGCGTGCGAAGTGCACTTATTTGCATCGAATACAGCGATATGCTGTATTCAATACAGCGATATGCTGTAGTTTTCATAAATAAGCACAAATTTGTCTGACAAATGAAAGAGTGGTGCTGACACTTTTCCAGTTCTACGCATCCAGCACCATTTACTAGACTGATGGTATGGCGTCATAAGTCACCTGCATGCCGCTGTGTGTTTGACACATACGTCCCGATCAGCAGGAGCCACCGCCGAGCAAGCTTTAACAGAAAGCAAGAACAAATATCGATTCAATTTGGATGGATACCGCTTTCTCCTTTTGGCCTGTTGCTTTTTCACTGCCACAAATGCTACTTTTACTTTCTGTTTACTAACTGGCATGGTGTTGATTTCTTTCCGGGCCGGCGCGCATCGCAACTGCCTGCAAGTAAAGCGCAATATCGCTAATAAAGTTCCTAAACTGTGACGTCAGCTGATCGATTGTTGACGAATTGAATTTCGGCAGCGTAGTGTACTTTTGCGGGTTACGATTGAAAAGTTAGTTCACATTTTGAGCAGGCTTCGCATTTTGAGAAGGCGAACGGCATTGGATTGGAACTTTTTTTATCCGTTAACAGTTTATCTGGATGTCATTGTGTTTTCGCGAAGTCTTGAATCCGGGCTCTCCACATCGGTGCTTGGACCGTTCGGCTGGTTGGTGTACGTTGACACTGTTGTTTTAGAATATCGTGGAAAATGTCGAACCAGACGTACACCATTTCAACCTTGTTGGAAAAGGTGAGGGGTCCCTGCATTAATCTTCGCATGGATTAACATGAAAACACTTGAATTTCGATTCACACTGTCGCAAAAAAATACACTTTAAGAAAATCAGGTCTAAGTACGGTATTCTTGTAAGAAGTTCTTGACTCGCCTTTCTTCCAGCTCAACGAACCCGACAAGGACTTTCGGTATATGGCCGCTAATGATCTCATAAATGAGTTGCAAAAGGAGACAGTGCAACTGGACGATGAAACCGAGAAAAAGGTTTGTTTGCGGCGTCAGCTTATGTATGAAAACTGAGCGGAATAATGCGCTTGTAGGTCGTCAGCGGTGTGCTTAAAATTCTGGATGACAAAAACGGAGAAGTTCAAAATCTGGCTGTGAAATGGTTAGTTTTCGAAGTTTACCGCGCAGTCTCCGCCGGCTTCACTCGTAAGTTAAAAATCTTTTAGCCTGGGCCCTCTGATTCGGCGCGCACGAGACGTCAGCGCGGAAACCATTGTGGATAAGCTGTGCTTCAACACGATGACCAGAGAGAAGGATCAGGCACAGTTGCGAGATATTTCTAGCATGGGTATGAAAGTGCAGCCGGTTGTGAATTACCTACTTCTAAACCACGTTTCCATACAGCTTTGAAGACTGTCTTCCACGAATTACCCAGCAGTAACCAGGGACTCGTGGGGAACCTTTCCAAGCGCGTCACTGGCAAATTGCATCCCTTCATTTCTAAAGAAAAGGTTGGTAAAATTTTCCGACTTATAGACACTCATTCGGGTTATTGGAAATTATAAATCGATCGCTACATTTCGACTTGCTAGGTTCAAGAAGTCTCCATTCATCTGGAGATCCTGGAAATCATCGGAACACTTTTGCAAAAACACGGACGTAAGATTGACTTGTTTTTGCAGCAGAAGGGTGTTGTTCGATGTAACATAGTATTTACTGTCATTTTGGGTGTATTTTCAGACCATTTGGTGAACTATCACAGTGTGCTAATGGATGCTTTTTTTCCGCTTCTGAAGAATAACCGTATGGCCGTTCGCAAACGAGCTATCACTGCACTCAGTACGAAGCCACTTTCAGTGCAGTTTCAAAAATGCCATATATGAATGAGTTTGTGTAAACGATTATAATATTCCTGGCCGTTTTTCAGGCAACCTTGTGAATGTCTGCAGCGAAGAAATGTTCGAAACGTTGATCCAAAATCTTCTTCGAGAAATTTCCTTGGAGATTAGTGCGAATGATGCGAAAACAACTGTCCAGTTTTTGGAAGGAATTAGGTAACTCAATTTACTGCATGAAGGTGAGCGATAAAAGTAGTTGTCAAGTGGTTCATTCCTCCTAGTCGAGCGGCGGGTTTGCGTTTTGGAAAACACCTCCACGAATTCATCGGTTATGTCCTCAAGTTTGCCCAGCAAGACGATGATGAATTACGCGAGTACTGCTTTCATACCATGGAAACTTTCCTGCAGAAATGTCCAACGGAAGTGTCACCATTTGTTCTCGATGTATGCTAAAGGCGTGTTATTCTGATTTCATTCTCCGCGAACATGTTTTGTTGCAGATTGTGAACGTCGCTTTGAAGTATTTGTCGTACGACCCTAATTACAGCTATACTGACGAGGATATGGAAGAAGATACGGGGGCGGAGTAAGTTCTATTATTCGATTACGAATTTACGATTAATTAACTTTCTGCTTAGTTGATTAAGTACTTCCTGGCTTGCTGCTTGCGATATCGGCTTGTTCAGGCCTGTGTTATTCTGTAGTGGAGATGAAGGTCAATTCAGTGACGACGAAGATATCAGTTGGAAAGTGCGACGAGGCGCCGTGAAGTGCTTAGAGGCCGTGATCACAACTCGCAGGGAATACATTTTGGATTGCTTGAAACGCATTGGTCCGGCACTTATTGCACGGTTTTATGGTAATCTGGTGTGGCTAACGTAATCGTTTGTTGCAATTGTTGTTCACCAATTATTTTCAATCTAGATCGCGAAGATGCTGTCCGTGTGGATGTGATAAATGCCTTTTCGTCGCTGTTGCAGCAGACGGATAACACGCTAGGAGCAATGCGGAGCAAAAATGATTTCGGAGATGAACGTGACTTACCGGTTGGGTACGACAACGCATCGCAACGCAACCATAGTCAAACTGTGACATAGACTATGATAACTAACCGAGTGAATACTGTTTTAGAGTGTCGGACGCCCTTCGCGAGCAGCTTCCGGCACTAATAAAAGCCTCGAAAAAGCTAATTGTCGACAAGAGCATAAAATCTCGGCAGGCCACTCTGCAGATGCTTAGTCGTTTGGTTGGGGTTCTCAAAGGCTGCTTGACAGAACATTTTCATTTGCTTCTACCTGGATTGGAATTCTGCTTAGTGTATGCCATGTTTTGAATTCCCATCAGGTGTTTGCTGATTGTGCTTTCTTCTCAGGGATAAGTCATCAGTGTCGAATATCAAATTGGAAGCACTTTACTTCCTGCAGAGCTGTATGTCCACTCACCCGCCTGAGCTTTTTGCTAAATATGCTAGTCAGCTGATTAAGGTGAAAATTCTTCTTTCGCTCCTAGAATGTGGCCATAACTAGAATGTTCTGGGCAGGACTAAGTTTTTCTATCTTAGATATTTTGCCGGTGCATCGGTGACAGTTTCTACAAGGTGATTGCGGAATCATTGGCTGCCTTGCAGCAATTGATCTCGGTTCTGCGGCCAGTTGGTAAGGAAAGAAGTACATTAAATAATTATCGCCCCTACTAAAAGATTTAAAAGCATTTTGAAAGTCGAAAATTCGTTTACTTGTTTATAATAAGCAAACACCAGAAAAGAAGTGTGCAGGTTTAAGTAATTGTATGACACTAAAACCTTTTGTTTTTTCTGTTGGTTAGGGAAGCCGCAGTTGTTGGATGTTGCGCCGTTTGCCCCTGAACTGTACGGTGCCATATTATCGCGCTTTAAAGATTCTGCATTGGATCAGGAAATTAAAGAACGTGCTGTATCCTGCATGTAAGTTGCTTTTTGTCACTGGGCTGTTGCTGCATCTGGCAGATCTCGTATTCTGTTATTGCTATGATGTATAAATTCACCACTGAATCCCTGTTGACCCTAGTGAACCACTGAGCAGTTTCGTCGTAGAACGTTCATCTGTTGTTGATAACGATATTTCAGGCTTTTGTGGTAAGTGGAACTACATTGCCATTTGTTTTGCAGGGGTCAGTTGATGTTTTCGCTGGGCGATTATTTGCGCCCTGAACTGAAAGGATGTTTGCCGATTTTTATTGACCGTCTCAAAAATGAACCTACACGCCTTTCGACAATGAATGCTCTGGTCAATGTTACTAGTTCCCCTTTGCATAATGATGTGTCAGAAGTACTAGTAAGTGAATACTCTTTCATGTGCGTACATTTTATATTACATTAAATTATCAATCTTTTATAGGATGAATTACTGAACCTGTCCACGTCTTTCTTGAGGAAAAATTTGCGGAATCTGCGATTAGCAACGCTGCAGCTGATCGTTCAGTTATTCAACAAATATGGTACACATAAATAATTGCGTTTGCTGCGTATAAAATTATGATAAATATATTTTTCCCACGCCGCTTCTTTTTTTAACAGGTACTCGCATTGACCCGCAAATTGTTAGTAATATTGTCAAAGAGCTTCCGCCGCTGATCCACGAATCAGATCTGCTGATATCTGAAGTATGTGTTGTAGGTGTTTTTAAGTGAATAAATCGTAGTGACCCGGACCAAAATACTTTCTCGAATCTGATGGAAAATTGAATCTCCAGTTTTTGCAGCTTTGATATTACTTTATTATGCGTTTCGCATTTGCCTATGGTATTCTGGTTTTTTTGTTTCAGGTCAGTTTGAGAGTAATTGCTGCAGCCGGCGACTGTCATCCATTAGCTATCATCGCAAACAAAGAGCAGGTACGAGTGAATAAGAAACGCGTAATATTGTACAGTCGCTGCCTGCAGCAAAATTTCAATACAGTACTGGATACCGGCTGTAATTATGTTTGTGGTTTAGATTGTGAAAAAGATTGTGGAAATTGGCAATTCAGCAATTATGCAAGGTTAGACAACTGAAAAACCTTTGAGAATCTTCCTAGTGGTCATATATTGGAATATATGTTACTATTTCGTTGTAGGCGGAACTTTGACTGCGGTTATAGACGCTCTGAAAGTGCTCGTTGCAAGTGGTGCGAAGCACGATAAAGAATTAACTCCAATGACACTTATTAAGGTAAAGTAAGCGCCGCTACAATTTTAAAAGCTTTTTCATGAACAGTGCGAGTAGAAATGATGGTGTTTCAAGACGGGACTAAATCCATGATGTTGATAATTGCTAACTGATCACTGCATCGTATTGTGTCTTCGTTCATCGGTTTATGTGGTGTGACATGAGTGTCCACTTGGTATTTTCTCGTTCCAGAGCTTTCTCCAACCGGTATACACCAATACACTGAATTCCCAGAACATTTCGGATGTGGTGTTTTCGGCAACGCATCGACAGGGTTTTTTCGGCACGGCCAAATGTGTGGCGGCTTTGGCCATCGCTAGTGGTACAGCTGAAAATGTAGTCGCTACTTGCATTGATGATATTCGCAATCCTGCCTCTTCGGAGAATGTTAAAATGATTGCCTTCGCGGTTATCGGCGAAATAGGCTATTACTGGTAACGCGATATTCGTATATCTGATGGAGGCTAACAAAAAATGTTTACATCTTGCTTTGTCAATTGGCAGTGATCTCTCTCGGCAAAAAGGGCTACAGGAGGCATTTAACTGTGCATTTGAAACAGGAAAAGACGATTCGAAGATGTTCGCTGCCATGGCATTAGGTAAATCCTTATAATATAGTGAAGTTAATAGTTAACTTCTCGATTCATTTGGTTTGCATTTAGGCAAAATATGCGGTGGTAACATTAAACAATTCGTTCCGGCCATTATTAAAGATTTGGAGAATGAAGTGCAGAAGCAGTATGTCTTACTAAATGGGCTGAAAGAGGTATGTTTTGTTAATTACAGATTTTGCATTAATTTGTTTCAAACAAAGGATGATCAGATTCTTAGCTCACATTCCCTGCTGAACTTCCAGTGATTGATAAAAATGTTTGGTCTGAAGAGAACTTAATTAATGATTTCGAGAAGCACAGAAAGATATATAATAATTATCATAATTTATCCAACCTGCTTTTGTTTTCAGCTAATACACTTAATACCTTCGGAAAGGATCTCGGCGGCAGATTTTGCGCCTTATGTGGACCGGATGTGGTAAATTGCGTATTAAACATTTCATACTTCCGATTAATTGCTGTATCGTTCTACCAATCATTCAAAATCCCATTGTCAATGGAAATACTTGCAGTTATTAAATGTTTGTAGTTTAGGTACATAGTATTATCAGTTATGCGATTTTATTAGGAATGCACTGCTCAACAAAGCCGGATCTGTTGAGGAGGGCTATCGCAATCTGCTGGGAGAATGCCTTGGCAAGCTGACCGCTTTGGATCCTCAGCGATTCGTTCCTGTTTTGGGTGAAGTGCTGCAGAAGGCTACTCAAGTACAAGTCCGCTGCACGATGGTGACGGCTATCAAATACACCATCTCCGAAGAAGTATGTACATGTTTTGCACGAATTGAGCATAGTTATTTTTAAGTAACAGTTACTGTATTTCGGTATTTAACTTCTAGAGACGCGAAATTGACCAAGTTTTGAAGGATAATATTGGGACGTTTCTGGCATGTTTGGATGATTCGGATCTGACAGTTCGTCGAACGGCACTGACACTCTTTAACTGCGTCGCCCATAATAAGCCAGTTTTCCTAAAGGATAAATTGAATGTCCTGCTGCCACTGGTTTACAAAGAAACCATTATTAAAGTAAGAACTAAGAAGCAGTTTAGTTATTTTGTGATCTTCACAATTTAATAATATTGTGTCAGACCATACCTGCAAGTGATGATAGTTTTGTATAGCTCACGATCCCTGCTGATACATAATGACGGAATGTTACTATGCTGATTTTGCGTTCGATTCTTCGATGTGGTTGCGAGTCCAGTAACGCCGTATTTTGCATAATTGTAAATTTATTGAGTTGAATATTTTGTAGCCGGAATTAATTCGTGAGGTGGAAATGGGACCATTCAAACACGAAGTTGATGATGGATTGGACTGCCGAAAAGCCGCTTACGAATGCCTGTATACACTTCTGGACGCGTGCTTAGATCACCTGAATATCTTTGAATTTATTGAGCACGTTAGTCGCGGATTGAACGATCACTATGATATCAAGACGCTTTGTTTCTTGTTCGTCCGCCGATTGGTATCAGCTGCACCGAATGCGGTTACCCAGCGTTTGGAACAGTTCACTGCGGAGATTTCTAAAGTGTTGCAAATCAAGGTGAAACCTTCGGCGGTTAAGCAGGAATTCGAGAAGACGGATGAGTTGAAACGGGCCGCACTACGGGCTGTACATGCTTTGACGCTGCTTCCTGATGCCGGTAAGAAAATTATATTGTCTCGTTTCTGATGGAAAAATTCGTGGTATCCACATTTGTGGATCACTATTCTTCGTAAAATGTAAAAGGCCATTCGTCCAGTAAGTTACTTTTTATGCATCGATTGCCGAAGTAAGGAACAGATTACAAAAACTGGGGAATGTGAGAAGTATGTGGCAAGTCCTTGTGTTTGTAGACAAATCCCGCAGTGTTGTAGACCTGCAGAACACGATTAAATCAACTCCGGAACTGGCTGCAATGTGGGAACAGGTGAAATCAGAATCATCTCCCACCAGTATGTCCGCGCATTCTCATGGCGACGTGCCGATGGATACGTCTTAGACTTGCCACCGTTTCGGCTGGTGCTTTCTTTTGAGGCTTTGATGGCTTAGAAAGCGGTTTGTAAAGAGGATGGCTTGTGTTTGCCCCAATGTACTGTTTATCAGTCATGTGTTGTGGGACTGAATCCAGTTTTGGCATAGTGACGCCCTCGCTCTGTTTATAATGTTTATAATCTGTTTCTTCTGACATTTGAGGAAAATGTTTTGATCGCATGTTTGATCTTTTTTATCAACAGTTTGTTCTGACACCCAGTCTTTGAATTGATTTTGCATGGAAAGACTATTGGTACTACATCGTTGCTGATTCGATATTTCAAGAGCTCGCTGTTTACGCAAATAAATAAATTTTATGTGTGATTTAGTGACCATATTTGGATTTTTGTACATATCAAAAGCAGACATGGGTACATTCCGACTATTGGTTAATTATTTTTTAATGAAGGTCATGCTTTGCGCTACTGTTTATAATAAATCAAATGTTACGCTTTATTGTCGGAATCCTGTAGTTGTTGCAGCTGTTTAAGCCAATGCGTGACACGTCCTGCTAAGCAGTGTCTGGGTGCACAGTTACAGTTTCACGATACAAAAAAATTAAACGAAAATACATAATGTGTATATTCAATATTCAAACGCACCCTTGACTAAACTGGCTATACTTCGAAGTACTGAAAAAACATTCCGACAAATACAGTACCCCGCACTATGCTTTACGGAACATGCAAAAACACCATACCACAGATAGCCAAAAGATATCGTATTGCTGCACAAAAAAATTTTTGATGTACTGTAGAAGTCATTCAGCTGCTTAACATTGTTGCCAAATATGTAGATGCATTGAGTTTGATTTTTAATTAATTATAACTCTCGTCCGATGCGCACTATTTCTTCTAACATAAAATCGATGTCTTCCTTGGTGGAGCCCGCATTAGAGATGATAGGCCGAAAGAAATTGGGCTTATCGTCCAGTGGCTGGTAGCCCACCATCAAACTTCCTCTGTCCATCATGCGGGCTTTGATTATCGCGGTGATCTTCAGCATAAGTTTGTATCATTGAAAAATTCACATAACAATACGATAGTCTGAATTGTCTTACCCGGCCTAAACGTTCGTAACGACGATTGCCGACGAAAGAAGCACAACTTGGCGAAACATACCAAAAGCAGACATTGGTACATTCCGGCTGCAATGATTACATTACATATCATTAACTAGTTAACTTATTGTGGTAGAAGCGGATAAGCAGTAACTAATAATTATGAAATTAGCGAACAGTAGTACGGTAGTAGCAAAAAGCAGTACATTACCAATGAACTGCATGTTCACTGAAAAGAGGTAGTATATCATTATGATCACGTTGTAGCACGGCTTACTTCGGTTAATAACAACTCGAAATCCTGAAGTTCTCTGAGACGCCCGACTAAATAACTGCAAAAGAGTAATAGGATAATAATTCAGTTACAAGCCGCTAATGTCTGGATTTGTTTACTCTCGTAATTCGAATAATCCATTGATTTGTTTCTCAAAACCGAGGGTACCCTGCAACAGATGATGTGACAGTGTTATTGTAATGGCGGCTTTTGTTGCCGCAGATGGTTATGACCTTTACCTTAGCGCGCCACATAAGCCAGAGTTTGAAAACGTCGTTGCGCCGTCCACATTGTATCGCTTTATCTCCTGTGTCGTATTCTACGTTGTAGTGTTTATCTTGTTGGAATAAATAGTCTGCGCTCATGTTATTGCAAGAGAACAGGAGATTCTAGAAAATGAAAAACAGAATCAGGTAAACCCGGTATAGTTTTTCAAAAAATAATACCACAAGTTGTCCATTAAAAGACAAACTGCGAAAATAATTCAGTTTGTTAACCTAAACGTATACTCATAACGTAAAGTATTAAAGATACTGCACTCAAACAGAATGCTCAGTACTCGTACCAGCAATAATATGAATACCAATATTTCATGATAACGGAAATTTGTAGTATACGCACCGGTTCGCGTGTAATAATTGCAGAACATTGCAAATGCGCTCCCATCATTTTGTGTGGATTCCAAGTCACTGATTGTGCTCTGTAACAATGCGTCAACATTTGGCATGGTGCCTCATTTTTTTAATAAGTTGCTAACCATATTTTTCTGTGATGGGTTGCATACCGCGCCGAAAAGCTGTACGCGTACTAACAGATTAGGAAAACTAATCAAGCGAAATTTAGTCTCGACTTTTTTGTGAGGTTGTATGAAATACGTACCTCTCAATTCCATGAACAAGGTGACGATGCTGTCGGGATAATAAAACTCCTCCTCCCCACGCGGCCTTCGAATATGATGTTGTATGTAAGCACACAGCAATTTTAATCAACTGGTAATATACTTTAAAAGTATAGTTTTTCCTCATAACAAATAGTAAGAAATTAGTTGTCCAATACGTATTTGTGCATCCGCAAGAATAATATGGTCGACTGAGATATCTTACGTCTATATGAAGCCAAATGTCGTATTTTTCGCATAAATCTGCAATTCCGTTGATCGGATCAAATGCGCCCAGCACAGTAGTTCCGGCTGTAGCATTCACCAACAGCGGCTCATCTCCGTGATCCAGACAGGTAATTATTTGTCTTTCCAGTTCCTTAAGGTCCATTTTACCTCTAATGATAACCAGAAATGTTACTTAGTGCGCGTATAGTACGTAAGCGTACGTGATGAGTTTTTGTGGATAAAAGTCTGTTTTCTTTCCGGGTTTGATTTTCCTAACCCAAAGTTACGCGAAAGCGGCACTTACAATTAATAAAATATTACTTTACTGCTTTGCGACCGAAAGTATACCTATCGTCAACAGGGATTTCCACGACGTTATCGCTTCCCGAGCCCAAGCACCGATGCGGCACTGGGAATCGAGTAATGGCACTGCGAAGAAGACGATTACGTAGTATTTGCCGGTATTTACAATTTAATTGTGAACACGGTTATTCAACCTTTCCTACCATCTTGGAAAGAGTAATGCGTTTTGTAACACGAATCGGTGCAGTAGATTGATCGCGAGCGTTTTTGAAATTAGTTGAACTTCTACATACCAGTACAGATACTCTGCATAGGTACGTTCGGTTCGGGACAATAGTATGTTTGCGGTTGATAAAAATGTTACGCTCGATATACAATAAACTCATATAGATATACAACTACAGAGTACACTATTCTCAGAGTAAGCTATTCCATTACTCATTTACTATACATCTACCCATTGGTTCGTAAAAATGTATTGTTTGCGCCACGCATTAAAGACTTACATGCGCAGAAGTAAAAATGACAAGTTTCTTGTTCAGACATGCGACTCCCTTGCTTTTGCATTGCGGGAATTTTCTGTGCCGCGCCAAATGAACGGCATACAAATTGGAAATTGAGCCGCCTGCAAAATACAGATTTTTTGTCAAACGAGCATCGTTGCTTGAGATGAAAAAAAATTCGACTAAATACAAGAACTTTACCTGGAGCAAAAATCCCGTCCCCTGATGACCATCCAATTAGCTCCCTCATCTTTTGTAAAACGATTTTTTCGATTAAAACAAAAACCGGGGAGACTTCGTAGGTAAACCTGTATGTGATTGTAAACAAGTGGCTTGCAAATAGAAAATTGTTATTGCAATAGTAGATCATTAACCATCATTCAGTTTTACTAAATATTGTTGTACAGTATTATATACTGGATATGAATGTAGTCTTGATATAAGTAAGAAAGTAGAAAGTCTTGATATAAGTACGACAAAAAAATTGGTTAAAAATAAATTAATAGAGAATAAATTACATAGAAAATAAATTTGTTTAATGGCCAATAGGCCAACAGGCCCGCGACTTACATATTGCTGTTGGCGGTGGACGTCAGCCATTCTCCGGCTAGCGATACGACTGTAAAGTCCAAACTTATATAATTTTTTGTATTAAAATAAACAATATTTACAGTGTCGCTACGCATGTAAATATTATTGAAAAGAACTGATATTACGTACGGTCCAGTCCAGTGCTTATCTGATTGAAAAATCGCGGGTGTCCTAAAAACAACCAAAAAACTTTTCGTATCCGATGAGTATGAGACTCCGATCGTACCTAGATCATACTCTATAGTAAACGTATATGTACGGTGGGCCCCCGATCCCAAGGCATGATTTCGTACGCTGAAACAGATTTCGAGCACAGCGGATCGCTTGAATACGCAAAACTGTTTGATTCAAAATGGCTATAATTTTATTCTGCAATTATGCACGACAACTTCTTTGGTATCAAAAATCTTCCCACAATTTTCCTCATCGTTTGACGCATTGGTTCGCAGACTTCATCCAGAACTAGATCCTGTTTTAACTGGATCTGGTTCTGGATGAAATCTTTTGTTATAACAGGATCAGATTCATGAGATCTGTCAAGCAAAGCGTCAAAAGATGAAGAAACATTTGGGAAGATTTTTGATACCTAAGAAGTTGTCGCGCATGATGGCAGAATAATGTTATAGCCATTTTGAAACAAACAGTTTTGCGTATTCGCCAAGCGATCCGCTGGGTGCTCGAAATCTGTATCCGTTTGTGCTCGCTAGGCGAGCATACGAAATCATGCCTTGGGATCGGGGCCGAATGCGCATCTACAGATATTGATGACCTTTGGTGGTAGCCATGTCAGTTTTTTATATCCTGATAATACCAGTGTTATTTGCCTGTGAAAAAATAATTTTCCATCATGTCTAAATTTTTTCCCATGCAACTATTTAAAGCGCTTTGTAAATTGTAATTTTAAAATGATTTAAGAGTAATCGCATACAGTCGCCATTAACTAATAACTGATAAGTAACAGGTCAGTGCAATATGTTTATACACTTTTTCCTCTATGAGAATGTCTCATATCTAATAATTTATATTTTGCAACATATTTGCATTAATTTTCACGTAAGCAATATATTTGTGAGTCGTATGTCTATAGTACGTGAGTCTGGAACGCTTTACCTGTAGGTTGTATTTAAGACATGTGGGAAAAAACGGTTTACTTTGCAACAAAGATGAGTTAACCAAGAAGTGTTAAATGACCGACGCACTTGTATTTAGTTAAGCAATTCAGAAATTAGGATCTGGTAATGCGATTTGAAATATACGGCAGGAGTCGTCGATCAGTAATCCAACATAGTGCTCATTTACCAACGCAAACACTTTCGCTGACCCTGTTAATCTCACACTCATGAAGCCAGAAACGTGTGTCAACACAATTTCCGGCAAACCAAAAGCGAAATTTAAAGAGAGAATTATTTGCATGGGTTAATACAACCGCTGTGAAAAACTTAGAAACAGGAAACATGCTAGCCTATGACTGCTTCAAGTAAGGTATTCATAAGAAAAACGTAGAGCAGTTGCAGTACTTCGATATCCCAAATGTCAAACAATATTTATGTCTTTTTAGAGTTTATTAAGAATTTGATGTGTAAAATCTTTTTAACAACAATAAAAATTATCTTGTTAGGGAAGGATCACAGTAATTTTTGTAACTCCTCACACTGAACGATACTTATTCCTGCAGTGTATGTTGTATAGTACCTACGTACGCTACAGCTGCAAACACTTGAGAATGTGAATTTTCATGATAAGCCTTAATATGGCTGCAGGCTGTATTGTAGCATTTTAAGGATGCTGACGTTTGTATCAAGTGACAGAACAAATGGAAAAAGGAATGTATAATTACAAATCTAACTGCTATGGCGCAAATGCATCCAAAGCGAATTAAATGCAATTGAAAATGCATTTAGCAACACTGGCGCGGATGGATGCAGTATATATGCAATCTGGGTCAAGACATTGACATGACGTGATGTTTGGTATTAAATCTTGGGAAGATCTGGATTTAGAAACATCTGTTCCCCCAATTAGCTTTCCATTGGGTAAAAAACGCTTCTTTCCTGGAGTCTCTTTTTAAGCTTTCACGCTCCCATCATCGGCCTTCAATATTTGATTCACGCCCAGTTCCATTTGGATCCGCAGCCGGACAATCAATGTTTGGAAATGCACAAGAAAGTGCTATGTGGCACTTTCAATGCATACATAAATCTATTTACAAGTTTTAATGATCTTTACTCCTTTCTACGTGATGGGAATTTTTCATGATACAATGCCGCCATTTTCAGCAACAAATGTCTGTGATGCATAGATTAAACCACTAACATTTTGTAACCAGTATGGCAGTACAAGTACATATATCTTATAAAAAAGTTATGCGCGCTTGCTGAATATTCATCGTAGCGAATAGCTGCAGTAACAACAGTATATACAAAAAATATTTTGTTTGAAGGAAGTTCGCTTCAGTATTACCACGCGGCAACACTTTTCAACAGAGTGACCTTTCCTGGAAACACAAAATTTAATGTATGTATCACACAATAACTGCTTTAAAAGCGATGCAGCTACGAATTTCATTGTGTGAATTATGTATCACTGATATGAACACACCAGTTTCCGATCGTTAGTAACTTATAACGGCAAATATGTCACTGGTAATCAATCACTTGTATGGATTTTACTATAGCGTAGCAAATCACTTTTGCAGGTAGCTAGTAAAATGTGCTTAAAAACACGTATTATTACAAGACTATTCGTACTTCTCTAGGGTCTATTAGGAAACAACACTATAAAAGTTTGCAACACCTCAGATTCTCACACCATTATTTGTTTTCATCATAGTATTCCATACTTGCTAAATTTATCTCTATTGGAGTGATCAGTTGCAATCTCTATAACCCTCAGCTAGTTTTTTTTTGAATTGTTACAAGTTTATAAATCACGGGAAAGCTAATTGGTTAAAGATAAAAGCATGCAGCCTTTGCTGGCTTTTTATTCAGATTTTTGCTTCTCTTGGATATTTTATCCAATATACTCGTACAGTAAATGATAGCACAATTAAAGACAAAACAAATTATATATTCTACAGAAAGCATTGTATACATGGTTATTATTTATGTCCTCACTCGGGTAGTACTTTAACCTAAGAATTAAACTTCTGCATTACGTAGTAACTTAGCGTGCGGTACGTACTCAAAAACTTGAAAAAATATTTTGTAATAGCTATGATTAATCATCATCGTCATTTGGTACTGGAACTATAGAAAGATCGCCGTTTCCGGTCAGTAAATAAAACGCTGCCAGAACATCGAGCTAACATGTTAGTACTATGAAAAGGTGATTCAGTCATTAGTCTAGTAGTATTTCTTGTGTTGTTTACCGTACCTTGTCATTGTCTTGTTGAGCCTGCTGTAGTTGTAAAAAGTGTGTGCAAAATTAGCAGCGCAACAGCTGCAACTGGCATTTCGCACAGGCGCCGCGAAGCGATTCGATTTCCAATTCAATTTTTACGATCATACATATTTTTAACCCATAAACACTACAAAATTTCAGCTGTCAGCTGTTCACACGGAGAAAACTTTTTTCCTCCCTACGGCTTGATGAGTGCTGACAATGAGAGAAAAACACACAAGCAGCTCCCTGCGTTGACAAGTACCTGAGCGCACTTGATACTGCAGCGCTTGTTGGCAGTCCAGCAGTAGTTGATACAGGTTGGATGGTGCTTCTTCATCCGGGATATCGATATCAATAATCTGCTCCAGCTGCTTAGGATGACGGAATTCCAGTACACGGGTCGTTCGATCATTCTCCATTTCAACATAATTCAACAGCATCGTCACCAGCGTGCCCATGAATTCCCGCGTAATCTCCGCGCTGCCCTTGGGCAAAAGGTCACCGGCGGTACATTTGCTCAGAATCTCCTGGTTGGCGAAATCTAACTGCAGATAGCGATCGTCAATTTGCGGAAAGGTCTGCAAGAGAAACTGCTTGTCAAAGGACAGTGCGGAGGGGGTCAACTGCTGTTGCGTGTCCTGCCGGTTGGACAGTGTGCCGGCACGCTGCAGTGCCGCCGGACTGCGCTCGATGCCGCGCGTAGACTGCGTGCGTCGCAGTAGATGACTGAGGGCTTCTCGCTGGTGGAAGGCGGCCGACGGCGGCAGACCGTCCTCCCCGTCTGCATAGGGGAATGCCGTAGTCGGCCCCACGGAACCGTTGGCGATGGCCTGAGTCAAGGAATACTTCCGGCTGGAGGGCAGACTCGCCCGTTCCTCCGCTTCCCGTTCGCGTTCGCGCTCATAATTCCGCGAACTCTTTCGCTGCAGTCCGATGCCGTTGACCATGGCTCCTCCGTCGCCCGGGGTGGCGGCAGTTGTGCTGTTGAAGCCCGTTGACAGAATACTCGGCTGATGCAGCGGACTGCCTGTGTTGGTTTGGCGGCGATTGAAAAACTTGCTCTGGTACGCCATATCGCATCAAAGTATTAAACCAAAAAATGTCAGGCTATCATAAATCGCAGGAAAAACATGGAATACAAGTGTGGAAAAGAGATAAGCGTGAAGAATGAGGAGCCAAATGTTGTGCTGCCTGCGCTTTTCAAGGGTCAAACGCATAACAAATGCACAGTTAATACCGTATCAATGCGTTCGTTCCACGGTTCAAGGCTATAAAGTTGGCTGGCGGCACCGGTCGATGCGCTGCAGAGCAAACCGGATATCCGATTAATCACAGGAATAGGCTGGATTAAACTAGGAGCCAATCGAATCCACAACTACTAGTGATTCAAATAAAAAGGGAATATAAAAAGCCCTTAACACTTTGACTATGTGGACGCAAGCTGAATAAATATGAAACAAACGACGGTACTGTATTACGTGTGCGGGCTATGTGAAAACTGCCTTTAAAGTATCCGTTAATATAATGAAATTCATTCCTAAGGTGGCTTCCTCGGAAGAAACATAGTTATTTCTCAGTTTTGCTGTAGTGAGTCAGCGGATGGAATTGTGTAACGTCAGAAGTAAAAACTTGGGGGACACAACTTCTCGTAATAAATAACAAAAACCGGCTTGAAAGAAAAACGTTAAAAGCCACCTACATATTATATTAATTGACACTGTAGCGCAACCAAGAGGGTGCCAACCGTTTCTGCCATTCTTTCTTCATACTGCAAAGAAATTTTAACAAATCATATTTGTTATCACTCGTTTGTAGGTACTGTTGTAGTGTTGACCTTTATGCTATGCTTTGTAAAAATGGAGACCGTAAGCAACTGTATGTCGGCGTACCTAATTAGAGCATTATTAACTTACTTCCATCAAATTGTGTATTATCTTTTAATAACAAAACTATCACGTTTAACGATCTAGGAGCAAATTTATTAACAGAACATGTACATGTAGTCGAAATCAACACTGTAGGTACAAAGTGGTCCAAGTCCTTAAAACCCTTAAAACCTTTAAAACCTTTAAAACCTTTAAAACTTTTAAAACCATTAAAACTCTTAAAACTCTGAAAACCTTTAAAACTACTAAAACTTCTAAAACTCTTAAAATAAAAAAAAAATAAATTACTATATGAGATGAGTGATATTGCGAAAACTGGTTTTAAGGTTTTAACAGTTTTTAGTAATAAAAATGACAATATATAGTATGGACAGCGATTTTTCAGAAAGCGGTTTTAAGGTTTTAACGGTTTTATCTCTAATACACAATTTTGATAGTGATTTTTCAGAAGTAGTTTTAAGAAGTTTTGAAGTGGTTTTATTAATACATAGTTTTGGTAATGATTTTTGTTGCTCAAGGTTTTATGGTTTTGGTAATAATATACAGTTTTGATAGTGATTTTTCAGAAAGCGGTTTTGAGGTTTTAACGGTTTTTATTAATATATAGTTTTGATAATGATTTTTCAGAAAGCGGTTTTAAGGTTTTAGCGGTTTTTATTAATACATAGTTTTGGTAATGATTTTTCAGAAAGCGGTTTTAAGGTTTTTGCGGTTTTGGTAACAATATAAAGTTTTAAAAGTGATTTTTCAGAAAGCGGTTTTAAAGTTTTATCGGTTTAATTACTAATATATCGTTTTACCAGTAGTTTTCAGAAAGTGGTTTCAAAGTTTTAGCAGTTTTTACTGAAATCTGGTTCTGATAACGATTTGACGGAGGTTGCAAGCACATCCTGTGCGCTCAATCTTTTGTAAAGCATTAACGAATGCCCACGAGCGGGTGCGCGGGTGCCGGTTATTAGAACGATCTCCTGCAAAGCTGACCCCCCTTTGTTTCTTTAATGAACTTTATTTAAAGAACAATAAACCACCAGTAAGATGCCAGCATGACAAATTCTCCCTGCTCAGACAGGCGGCTCAGACAGCTTAAGGACAATGGCCCGGCCCGGTCAAAAATGGGATACATACACTAAAAATTTCGCTTTCGCGCACTCCGAATCACTTTTTTGTAATACTTTGTGCCATTTTTTAAAGCTAAATGATTTGTATACATTGTTCTAAAACCTTTTGCGCGCGCAACATCCGGTTGCCGAGATATGGCGAACTAAATTGGGCGAATAGTTTAAATGCATTATTGTGTACCAAAAGTCTGGTAATTATCCGATCTTTTTGAAACTTTGGTATACAAGGCACATGGCCACAAAGTCGAAATAGGCGAATTGAACCAATATCAGATCCATAGCATTTTTTCCGATTTTAATATGAATTTCAAAAATTTAAAATTCATTTTAAAATTATGGAAAGTGCTAGAAACCTGAAATTGGCTGACTTCCGACTATATGGCCATGTGTTTTTTGCAGCAAAGTTTATACAGCAAACCCGTTGTACTTGTATTGCATTAGTCGTGAATCCGTCCACTCACCAAACACCAACGTAACTGTAAACTGTGTCTCATGTCTATGTACGCTACAAACTTGAGAAGTCAAACACTTTCAGAAATTTCGGAGACATTTCCTGATTTGTACACTGTGTAGATCAAATCTGAGAAGAAGCTTTTTTTAAGAATAGATCAATAATAAATGTTTAAAATTTTAATTGGGTAGAAATCGTAGAGCCACCGTATACGTGTTTTGATTTAGAACTGTTTCCTGGAGCAGTACAGAGATACCGGGCGGCCGAACAAAATAGTCGTCTGATTATCAACGTGCGCTTTACTTTTGATCGACAGTGCGTTAGTTCCATTCGAAAGTGCAATCTCCACAACGTACAAATATTATGCTAAACAGACCTTATGCCAAGGTATAGTTTATAGTAAAATATTTTGCTAAACTAGGTGGAGTTTGACGATGTCCCCGAAACAAAAATTAGAATTCCCTATTTCTACTTTGTAGAATAAAAAAACTCCTGTTATTCACCTGAGCACACTGCTGTGTGTCACATTGCGATTTTTTGGAGAGAGGTTGTTTCTTATGTTTTTACAAATAGTGTTAAGAACTTCGTGCTGTGTGCGACCGCGTTCGGCCAGGAAACAGGAAAGCTTAGGCAACGCGCACGAAGTTCTCGTGAAATGGACAAGTAGAGATCTTAAAAATCAGTTCCTTTTTAACGAGTCTTTTTCTAGGTCAAATTCCTTCAAAAAAATCCGATAATAAATCTTTACTTTTTTCGAAAAGTACAAAAATAGATAACCTATATAATTCATTCGGCACAAATTACCATGTCAACAAAATTGTTTTCGAGTGAAAAACGAAATCATTCTCTAGATAAAACAGTTGGAAAAATTCAAAAAGTTCGTACGGAAAGGAAATGTCGCAAGGTTCTCAGCTGTGCGTGGGACATGGTAAATCTTTTCACAGCTTCATATGGTTCCCTTGTTAAGGAAGGTGTCTTCTTTTCCAAAACAAATTTTGTTGTTTTTAGTAGTCGTTGAAATTTTCCCTCGAACGAGTCTTAAATACTGTACGATGCGGTAAATGGTTGGCGAGAAACAAAACCCGAAATCGGAGACGACCATTTCGTTCAGCCACCCGGTAAGTACAGTACTGTACCCTTCTGTGTCTGTACGAGTACTGCACTTTAATAGCAGTATGTAACTGTATATGGGACTGCAACCTTTAATTTATTTAACACGAACCTATAATCGGCAAATTATTGCTGGGACATGGTTTCCTGACCTTTGCAAATATTTTTCTAACCTATGTCGGTAGCACCTTTCTATAAGGTTTAATATAGCATTTGATCGAGACTCTGTTAAGGCATTATTGCGCTTTTGCAAATTATTCATAACTAAGTTCCTGTGTATGTTCCCCGCCTTTCGTCAGTACACAAAAACAGAATTAGCAAAGCTAATTCCGGTTAACACAGCAGAGGTGATTGTTAGGCAGGACGACTTAGAAAGCCATTAGGGTGTATCTTTTGATGTACAAGTACATGACATACCGATGCTGGAGAAGCAAACCATCATCGATCGTGAATGTGGCATGTGTAGCGATTGTGTGTTTCTGTTTAGTGAATTTCAGTTGCTGTTATGTTGAAGTAAAGTCTACTTCAATATAAAGTAAAGTTTATGTTTACTTCAACATAACAGCATCTGATGGTTTACATAGTATAACAAGTCGTTCTTATCTTCCGCCTACTCTCTTGAGGCGTTGGGGGATCCTTTAGCAAGGACGGCGGCCCGGTTGCGCCAGTGACCCATGTTCCGGTGCTAGTGTCTTCCATCAACCGGTGCCAAATAGAACCCAATCGTTACGCGTAACTGTTGTTGCAGCCGCAGACTGTGGCAACAACAATAGTTACAATGTAAAAAGTTTATATGGGTTTTGGAAAACACATGCAATAGCAAGTATTTAAAAGGAATTTTATAGTTAAAACCGTCCAAACGTGTGAAATCAAAGAAACCGTGATACCTACAAACATCTAGTAATAATAAAAGTCTAAAAACTTTAAACCCGCTCTCATTGTCAGAACTCAGTAACAAAATCACGGTGAACCGAGGTCTCACTGTCAATAGATCATTTTAACAACTTCCGAATATGTACAGATACTTAATGATAATACTCCTGAAGGCGTAATACTGCTTCCTGAATAATTACTGTTAAAACTGTACTATATTGATTAAGACCTGTAAAACCTTACAACCCCAACATGAAAGAATCACCGTCAAAACTTTAAATTCAGAAATAAAACTGTCAACGCCTTGAAACCGGCTTCTAAAGAACACAATCAAAACCAAAAATCATTAAAAACCACTAAAACCTTAAAACCGCTTTCTGAGAAATCACTGCAAAAACTATAAAATAGTAACAAAACCATTAAAACCTTAAAACCGCTTCTGAGAAATCACTGATAAAACTGTAATTTAGTAATAAAACTGCTAAAACCTTAAAACCGCTTTCCGAAAAATCACTATCAAAACTAAATATTAGTAAAAACTACTAAAACCTTAAAACCGCTATTTGAAAAATGACTGCTAAAACTGTATAATAGTAATAAAACCACTAAAACCTTAAAACCGCTTTCCGAAAAATCACTATCAAAACTACATATTAGTAAAAACTGCTAAAACCTTAAAACCGCTTTTTGATAAATCACTGCTAAAACTGTATAATAGTAATAAAACCACTAAAACCTTAAAACCGCTTTCCGAAAAATCACTATCAAAACTAAATATTAGTAAAAACTGCTAAAACCTTAAAACCGCTTTTTGAAAAATCACTGCTAAAACTGTATAATAGTAATAAAACCACTAAAACCTTAAAACCGCTTCCTGGGAAATCACTGATAAAACTGCAATTTAGTAATAAAACTGCTAAAACCTTAAAACCGCTTTCCGAAAAATCACTGCTGAAACTGTATAATAGTAATAAAACCACTAAAACCTTAAAACCGCATCCTGAGAAATCACTGATAAAACTGCAATTTAGTAATAAAACTGCTAAAACCTTAAAACCGCTTTCCGAAAAATCACAGCTGAAACTGTATAATAATAGTAATAAAACCACTAAAACCTTAAAACCGCTTTCTGAGAAATCACTGATAAAACTGCAATTTAGTAATAAAACTGCTAAAACCTTAAAACGTCTTTCCGAAAAATCACAGCTAAAACTGTATAATAATAGTAATAAAACCACTAAAACCTTAAAACCGCTTTCTGAGAAATCACTGATAAAACTGCAATTTAGTAATAAAACTGCTAAAACCTTAAAACCGCTTTCCGAAAAATCACAGCTGAAACTGTATAATAGTAATAAAACCACTAAAACCTTAAAACCGCTATTTGAAAAATGACTGCTAAAACTGTATAATAGTAATAAAACCACTAAAACCTTAAAACCGCTTTCCAAAAATCACTATCAAAACTACATATATTAGTAAAAATCATAAAACCTTAAACCGCTTTTGAAAATCACTGCTAAACTGTATAATAGTAATAAAACCACTAAACCTTAAAACCGCTTCCTGAGAAATCACTGATAAACTGCAATTTAGTAACAAACTGCTAAACCTTTAAAACCGCTTTCCGAAAAATCACTGCTGAAACTGTATAATAGTAATAAACCACTAAAACCTTAAAACCGCTTCCTGAGAAATCACTGGCAATTTAGTAATAAAACTGCTAAACCTTAAAACCGCTTTCCGAAAATCACAGCTGAAACTGTATAATAATAGTAATAAAACCACTAAAACCTTAAAACCGCTTTCTGAGAAATCACTGATAAAACTGCAATTTAGTAATAAAACTGCTAAAACCTTAAAACCGCTTTCCGAAAAATCACAGCTGAAACTGTATAATATTAATAAAACCACTAAAACCTTAAAACCGCTATTTGAAAAATGACTGCTAAAACTGTATAATAGTAATAAAACCACTAAAACCTTAAAACCGCTTTCCGAAAAATCACTATCAAAACTACATATTAGTAAAAACTGCTAAAACCTTAAAACCGCTTTTTGAAAAATCACTGCTAAAACTGTATAATAGTAATAAAACCACTAAAACCTTAAAACCTCTTTCTTAAAAATCACTGATAAAACTGTAATTTAGTAATAAAACTGTTAAAACCTTAAAACCGCTTTCCGAAAAATCACTATCAAAACTAAATTTTAGTAAAAACTGCTAAAACCTTAAAACCGCTTTTTGAAAAATCACTGCTAAAACAGTATAATAGTAATAAAACCACTAAAACCTTAAAACCGCTTTCTGAGAAATCACTGATAAAACTGTAATTTAGTAATAAAACTGCTAAAACCTTAAAACCGCTTTCCGAAAAATCACTATCACAACTAAATTTTAGTAAAAACTGCTAAAACCTTAAAACCGCTTTTTGAAAAATCAATGCTAAAACTGTATAATAGTAATAAAACCACTAAAACCTTAAAACCTCTTTCTTAAAAATCACTGATAAAACTGTAATTTAGTAATAAAACTGCTAAAACCTTAAAACCGCTTTTTGAGAAATCACTGTCGATCCGATGTATTTATTAATTAAAACGTTTGGTTTTATTAGTTTTAATAGTTTTAAAATTAGATTTGGACCACTTTGTACCTACCCTCGAAATCAAACATCACCGCCATAACATGTACTGAATCATATATAATATTGTACTGTACATGTAATGCGAGAAAATTGACGATTGGCTTGTTGAATTTAAGCATGACACAAATTACAAGTCGATCGTACAGGAGGTATTGCGGCAAAACTCTCACGAAATCGCGACCGACCGATTCTAATTGTTAGTCATGGTACTCGGGAAGACAGAAATCCGGACCAAGGTTTGGCTCAGCAGGGATACCACGCCGCACCATACGGCAACGTTGTCCCCGCAGCCTAGGTTCTGCCGAAGCCGTACTGTTGACGGACATATCCGACCACAGTCGTTCCGCTACTGCCGACGCTCTTGGCCACATTTTCACCAACACATTCGTTGTGTCGATGTATTCACCCCACATGCAGGTTTCGCCGCCAACAACCAACTGTTTCTGGGCATCCGTTCCATTGAACATTTGAGGATCACATTTATAGTACTAAAAAAATTATAAAACGCCTGTCTGTTGTTAAACTGAAATAAGACTTATGAGAAAAATTAAAAATAATAAGATAAACACTTGGTATTACTCACAATCAGATGCAGAACACAAATACTTTTTGCGCAGCAAAACTGCAATTTTATATAGTAGGTGCGCATTATAAGCATTGTAAATAGGCATTTTATATTTCAGGTTAAACGCTACATTGTGACCTACAATGAACAATGAAAACACACCAGCTACTGTAAATAACTATGCAGAATGGTTTCGCCGCAGTCAAAAGCTGAATAAAAGATTTACACTTGCCAAACAAAATGATCTCGGAATTTTTCAAACTCAATGAAACAATCAAATTAAAAAATGTAATATTCAATTAAGTACAAGAACATGATTTAAGATTTTCTTACCTGCTGCCAATCTGCACCGTATGAAATGTAATTCAAATACCAGCAGGAGGAAAGTATAGTGCGATATCCTGCTTTTGTCACATTGCTCATTTCGTCCTGCCACTTTGGAGGATCTTTCCAAACGTGCACGATAGTTTCCTTGTCAATCTTTACTTTATCATCAAACACTTCCTGCCACACCACAAATTCATGCTTCTTGTTAGCCTTTTTGTAGTTGCTGGAGTATGTAGTAATGTTCTGTAATACGTCGATGAGTGTCTGCACATAGAAATCCTCCAGTTTGCGGTAATCATTGCCGAAACCCATTTTCTTCATAAAAGCGTTAACATCTGGGTTGCTCTTCCAGCAGCTGAAGTCCACTTCATCACCACCTAGGTGCACGTACGTATCAGGAAAAACTTGAAAGACTTCCGTGAAAAACTCGGTCAAGGTGTCGTATGTTGAATTCAGAATCGGATTAACTGGACCAAAAGTTCCGTCGGCCGTTCCATTCATAAAACATGGAGTCAGCAGCTTTCGTAAAGCGAATCCCCAACTTAGTGAATGTCCAGGTGTGTCAAACTATAAAAATGGAGGCGTATTTGTACATTTATATTCAATTAGGAATATACTATATAGCGCGGTCATGTATACGGAACTGTTGCGGTCATCCGGTAACACAAGATGCCAAAGACGATCGGAGCTCCGTTATATGGCTACCGAATGTTGCGTGAACTTTTGAATAATTACCTTGCATAAACCAATAGCTACATCATTATTTAACATGTTTTTAGCTTACCAGCTTCAAGAAAATATGTTTGTTAACTCTGCATTCTAACTAATCTTTCCTAATTAATGAGGGATATGAAACCGATCTGCATTTGCATTCTTATGTGACTGCTATCGTCTAACGGCAAATCGATTTTGCATAAGTTCACAACGGTGGTAATAGAAGTGCGTGTAATTGTATTGCACAACCTCGTGTCGGTTGTATCCCCATAATTAATATGCGCGTGATATCAATGTGATAACTCTCTCGACAAATGTTTGCAGTTCATGTTTATCGGTTACCCTTACCTCTGCGATAACGCGAATGCCACGAACTCTGGCGAATTCAATGACCTCGGCAACATCTTGTTGCGTATAAACATGGTGATGTGGCTCTCATGCGCCTAGCGTCGATAAACCGGGAAAAGTGCGGCTTTGGTAGGGAAAGCTTTGGTCATCCACAATGTGCCAGTGAAAGACGTTGTATTTGTTCATAGCCATCGCGTCCAAATTGGCCAGAATCGTTTCTTTCGAGATGAAATGCCGCGACGTGTCCAGAAGCAGCCCGCGGTGTCCGAAGCGCGGCCAGTCTACGATCTGGCTCTGGTTGACAACCAGACGCCCATCACCCAACTTCCATACCAGCTGACTACAACATCACGCAGTACTAGTGCATTATTGCATGTTAAATAATTATGGTAACTGTTCATATTGGTAAACTGATTATCCTACAGGTTGAAAATTTAGCTACATTTCTTTAAACTTCACACATCTCTAGGTCCGCTTCTTGATAAACGCTGAATAGTTACTTGTTAATTTTCGAAGCGATAATTCAGTACAGCATTCCGTGAGTGTTTTGCGATAGATACGTGTGGAGATGCTGCATTTCAAGCGTTAACGCACTGTAATTTCAAGGTAGTAATGATACTAATCGTAATACGTATCAAAGGATGCAGGGTTTATGCTTCCTCATTAATACGTATTACGTACAACAATGCAGTTAGCTTATTGTTAGGCTAGCTGTTACGGTTGAATTTCTTGCCTAAACGTCTCCAGTCCGCGAATGACACCCCAGATGGTATTTCCGACCAATATGGATGGGAAAGTCGTGTCGCGCACATCGATCTCATAATGCTCATCCATTCCCACATCCGGCATGTCGCCGTCCGAGCACGGAGTGTTGGTCATGACGTACAATTTCGACAAGACAGGCATGTCCTTCTTTCGCTTGACGTTGCGTTCCGTCTTCGGGTCTTTGTGCTGCACTGCGTTGCCGAAAATTGCCTTGTAATATCTCTGCAAGGCGGCTTCCAGCATGTCACAGCTACTTCCTTTCACGAAGAAGACGAAATCTTCCGGAATCAACAACAGTTTGCCCGTGGACGTGAACTGTTGTGGAAGTGGCCACAGCGCGTTGCTCTCGACATAGCCGAGTCGGTTTGCCGCTTCTTGACGGGTCTGCTGCACTTCTTCCCAGGAGGACGCGAAATGAGAATTGCGGTGGGAACGACGTGCGACCGCGAGGCCAGAGAAGAACAGTATCAGCAATAATGGGAAGCAGGTGGCCGCGTGAAGTATCATGGTCAGAACGGTCTTGATGATACTGTCGGGTAGATACAAAAAATGTGACAAAATGCAACGACAGCTTTAAGTGTCAAAAAACAACAACAGTGGCTAGTTCCACAGAATGACACCAAGGTGAACGACTAAGAAATTACACACGCGCATAATTGTGCGATTACCACGTGACGCGGCCACATGAAAATGCAGGCAGTCAAAAAATACTTACGAGAGTGGAATGCGGATTTAGGAAGTCAAGGATGCCGACCTGGAATTATTATAGCCTTTACGTATTTGTTAGGCATAAGCCATAAGGTGGTTCCGAACTTCCGGTATAGCAATGGGCTAATGAACAGTTACGCCAGCGGAGTGCAAACGTCTGCAATTCTGCATCTACTACCCGTAGTAGGAAGATCCCGATAGCCGATTTGACAAACTGCAAAGTGAAATACAAATTTCATAATATTTAAATAGTTTGTCCAAAGAGCAGCATTGCGGTACTTAAAATAAATACTAACAAGGTGATGACAGCAATAATTAGAATTGTTCAAAAAAAAATTTAACCATAAGTTCACAACTACCGTCGTCCAGTAAGCACATATACCCGAACTCCAGCTGATCTGCTGTTGCTATTTTAAAGAAAGCAGACTTAAGCAATTAATCATTGCGTATGCCTGCTTTTATCAACTATAAAGCAGAACTTCCTATTTATTATCCATAACCTGCATATATGTATCGCACATAGATATGTTGTACAATATTTCAAGCGCTGTATGGAAAGTGCTTTATGTATTTCTACTCGACTACATTTTGCCCCACACTTCCACGATGCTTTAAGTAATTTCATGACACTTGCTCAGTTGCAGCCACACGGTACACGATCCATGATACAATACTTGCATGATCATAGAAACCTACTTCCATGATATTTACCTGATACATCCACGATTACGGAAGGTTCATCGAGATAACCAGTGCAGTTGCACTACGAGTGCGCCCGCAGTTCGCACTGTATACCGGTTAATAAGCCTGTTTTACTCATGTTTTGTTCGGATTTCTACCGTCGCAGTTCGCACGCAATTCAGTTTACGAAAAACTTCATAGATAAAACAACTCGATTACTTCTTTTTATAACTTTTAGCATTAAAACAAAATAGGTTAGGTAGCCACATGACAGACTTTTGCTTAAGAGTTAATAATTACATCCGAATGGAAAACTCGAGGACGCCGGGTTCAAACATTAAACTATAAGCAGTATTATTAAGCACTGGCAAGGCATACATTTTAAATAAATGGTTTTATCCTTTTGCCGTGGAAACCCTCGGAGTGTTTGGCGAAGCAGCTAGAGAAGTGGTCAGCTTTTTCGGACGGAAAATCAAGGACAGATCTGGAGAAAGCAGATCCACGGCATTCTTAAAGCAGCGTATTGGTCTGGCAGTTATTAAAGGCAATGCGGCTGCGGTTTTAGGAACTTTACCGGGCAAGAATAAACTTGTTGATAATACTGATTTTGGTTGTTTTTTTAATTCTTGAGTGGGTAATGCTGGCCGTAGTGATTTAATTTGACTCATGACTGTTATGTCGCGACGTAAAAGTAATAAAGATACCTGTTTTAAATAAATTTTAATGCGTATTGTAATGAAAGCAGCGATAAAACTCCATCATATCATCCGTTCACCATGGGAAGAATGTCTTTAATTGCTTTTCTTTGCCACACATCGGTTGAACTGTTGAAACGAAGATCAGAACTTTATCTGCACACTTTAGCGACCGCATCCCACGGTCGCGATTCCTTGGAATTAGCCTTTGCTTGCGCCGGATCCATTGGTTAATTGTGCACTCACCCCTTATTTTCATTTTACGTAAACCGATCTCAAGTAAATCATAAACTTTACTTTTGCTTACTTTAGAGGAAGCGGCCAGACCCACAACATCAAATTTTATGTATTGTACATGCGCAGACAGCAGCTTTCCCTTTGGCGCATCCCCAAACACTTTCTGAACCGTTTTTACAGTTAGTTTTATGATTTTCCGTAGCCAAATAATTTTATACATTCGTTCGTGCTAACTTAAGGGAAATTAAACCATAGCAATAAATCAGGAGATCTCTGAGATTTGACTAGAATTACAATTATAATTCGGATAATAAATAATACATACTTCTAAATTTCTTAGAATTACTTCTTGGTATTTCAAATATGAATGTAGCACATATAAAACAGTGCAGAATCCCGCCAAATACGGGTAGTGCAACGAGCTAAGTGGGTGGGGCGCAAGATGTTAACTCAACAAAAAGCAACGAACTGCAAAGTATGTACTGGACTGCTACTGCATGCTGAAATCGACAATCGGTACGCTACTGTCATCACCGTTTTGACTCAGTTCGCTGAACTCACTTTCGGAAGTAGGAACTTTTTGAAGTTTGACTTTGGAGTTAGAATTCATGAAGTTTATCATTAGAAAACAATAATAGCGGTTCGTATTTTAAAAAATTTTATCATTTATCACAGTGTTTTTTATGTACTTAAATTAATTTCAGCTTTACAAAGGGATTGTGGCCCCTGGCTAACGGTGTACTATTAAGAAGTTCCCAACTGCTGTCTGTTTGCACTGGTATAGCGTCGTGACTGCGTTATTTCGCTGTTTGTGATTTTTTTGTGACTCAGCTACACAGTTGATTCCTTTGGTGTTAGCGTGTCAGGTCTTCCGGGATTCCTGCTTGGATTTGTTCATTATCTGTAGCTGCCTCGACTGGTATTAGCGCAGTATCAATCAAAGGAAAGTCTACTTTGACTTGAAATCCAAAATTTTGTGGAAGGTAACGAACTGTAACAATTTGAATTTTTCAGTGTTACAGTATCATATCTACGTTAGCGCCTTAGCGGTTAGTGATGAGAAATCCGTATAATAGCGATGGTCTTTCGATATATAACTCATAATAACTGTGTAGTTACTGTAGTAAAACCTAAACGAAAAATCCTTCCAGTATCCTTTGCGATACACATATTGATGCCGAAAATTTTTCATTGTTGAGGTATTCAGTGGTCTTGACTATTTTGTGATTTTATCAGCCCTTTTAACAGCGGTAGCAATGAAATTGCTCATTTCTGTGCGGCCGCAAGGGTGGCTTTCTGTTTTTAACCGTTTTTGATTTTTTACAGATGTCGTCAAGTAAATTCTACTATTCAGACAAATATTTCGATGGAGAGTTTGAATATAGGTACGAGAGATTCGGCAACTTTGAGTTTGAAGCATCTAGATCTCACCGCCTCAGAGTACAGATCCGCAGTTAATAATCAGCCCAAATATTGATCGTCTTTCGCTCTTGCGATACAAAGCGCATACCTTGCTGAAAACTTTTTCTTGCCACGAAAAGACTCTGGTCTCCTCCTGCAGACTCTTGTCGATCGGGGTTTGCTTCGGCGCAACATGGTGCTGCGACTGGGATGATTTGTTGTCCCATGTAGCGCCGAATATGACTTTGCGGATTGTTACACTGCAAGTTTGTACAATAAGTCATGTTAATGTTATTTAATTTAAGGATGCTAAAAAAGTTTCAGCTTTCGAGAAATACAGTTACTCTAAAGGTTGCGCCAGTCTGAACTACTACAGTAGGCGTTTATTCTTCGCTCATAAAAACTGCTTATTCTGTATTCAGCACTAAATACGCCACCGTATTCGGAAATTTTCCAAGGCATCCTGAGATCGGTAGAAAACAGTGCCGACAGGTTCTTCAAAAAACATTTTTGGTAATTTCGGTTGCTGAATTCGTTCGGCCGGCGAGAGTAAAGCTGGCAACTGACAACGGTGACTTCGATGAGTTTGGATAAAAAATCTCGATCTCTGCAATGTAAAAATATATAAAAACAATTAATAATGTATTCCGTATGGACCGTATCTGCCACTTAACAATAAGGCCTGTCAAACTTCAAAGTGCATGATAACGATTCCTGAAAGAAAAAGCCCCTGCTCATCGTTAATGCGCCATAACACATCTTACCATCTTACTTAAAACTATGTTCCTCGTTTACTAGCACAGTTTTAAGATAAAAGTTTCTCTTCATGAAAAACTGCATTTTATTATAAATTATTCTAGTAGTAATAGGAAAGCTTCAATGCCTCCTTTAGATATGAGCATAATAATAGTCGTGGAATGGATGCAAAATATTTTGTGTACGGTGGGTAGATATAGTACAAGGTACAATATGACTTCTTCGTTTAACGATTTCATACAGCCTACAGGTGCGGCACAATTATCATGGAAGCAGTGAACATGTAGCCAACAAATCGATTTCCAGGATCCGCGCTTGTGGTGTCTGTAGGCGTGGGAGGTAAATTTATAAATGGCTCCCACTTCCCTTCCTAATACTGCTTTTTGCCAGCGCAGTACTGCAACAAATGACCAAAATGGTTCAGTGTATCCATCGCAAGTTAAAATGAAAATAGTGTGAATTTTTATAAAAAAATAAAAGCTGCTAATTAAAATGCAGTCTAATTATTAATATATTATCGATTATCCACAAGTAGTTGCGTGTACAGATACTTGGTTAGTTCTACAGAGTTGAAACAGATCTCGATGACGTACTACGCACGATTCATCAGTACTGAATTAATAAATCAGCTAATGACAAAAAATCGAACTTTCTAATACAGAATGTATCCATCCCATTATATTGTTTGTTGCAGTAAAGATATCTAAATTGTACGATTGTGATAAACAATTTGCAAGATTATGCTGCAGGCTAATACAGACACAAACACACATAAATAATAAATGTCCAGCAAAATGCAAAATTGGTTGTACGATACTGTGTCGATACACACATTGCGCAATATTTATTTCATTATTACAAATCATTGTTATTAACAGAATATTATACAAATGCATAAAATTATTATGAATACAAGTAATAATACTGAACAAAGTGCGTTGTGATTTATGCTTCTGACATTTACCAGGATGAAATACATGATACGACAGCAAACATGTGGCTAGTGTAATACATAATTTAGGGTCAGGTTTCAACAGCATAAACTTCCTAATTGGTTTACGCCTATGTTTCTATGTTTTCCTATGAAATTGTTCCTATGTAAACGCGTGTTAAAAGGGATTACCATGGAATATAAATTGTTGCTTCTCTTCCGCTTTATGTTTGAGTTTCCAGATTACAATAATATTTTCGATGTTTCATAGTACCGGTGATTAAGTAAGTACTGATTAGTGCTGGGCCTGCTGGCATATCTGAATCGTGAATGAATACTGGTTTGCGAATATATTGTATCGGAAAACTGGCCGATCAACTGGCTGTGAGTCAAAACATACCACAACAATCTACTCGAGTACACAAAACATTGTTTGGACTTTGTCATATTCATATATCTATATTTATGTTTGCGCTTTAAATCTGATGAGTTTCTCTGTTAACTTTAAGTTTGCAGAACAAGAAGAGGGTCGACGACTAGGCTCCATTTATCGGGTGATACATACTTTTGTTCTGCTCTTTCTATAGCTACGGGTAGCAAGTACTCGTACCTCGGCTGCGATAAGCAAAACTATCATTGTTGCTGTTCGTCTGGAGTAAACGGTGAAGGCTTAATTGCGTGAAATGATTTCCGGACCAGAACAATTAAGTCGCATGCTGTCTGATGAGTTCGATACCGACGAAGAGGAGGCTCCAGTTATTGATCCGAACACAATTAAATCGTTACCAGACCGACTATTGTATGCTGCGGAGCACAACCGTGGATATTATCCGCGAAATCCTCGACGGAGCTCCTGATCTGATCGCTGTCCAAGATTCCGACGGATACACCGCTCTACACCGCGCCAGTTACAACAACCATCTGGACGCGGCCAGAGAGCTGCTGTCCCGTGGTGCCAGTGTTTCTCTTGTAACCAAAGACGGTTGGCAGTCCCTACATAGCGCATGTCGCTGGAATTCCCTGCAAGTGGCTCGTTTGCTCTTGCACAATGGTGCGGATGTTAATGCGCAGACAAGTATGGGTCTGACGCCGCTGCACTTGGCTGCCAGCGATAAAAATGCTGGAGACTTGCTCCGTTTACTCTTACTGCATCCTTGTATACAACCAGATTTGGAATCTCATGCCAAGGAAACGGCATTCGTTATCGCGCGGCGATCCGGACCGCACGCACACTTGTTTGATGTTGTCGGCAAGAATCTGGAACCTTAGGCATTTCGGTGATTTACTCTAGTTACTGAAATTTGATAATAGTTAGGGGTGAATCTCTTTGAAAAATAAAATGATATTACCATGATGTGATAGGTTGATAACGATATTTTATGCTTTTTTACTACATTACTTAATGATTGGTTGACTACGGTACCGATTTGGATATTGCTGCTAATTCACATCGGCAAAAATCTACTTTCGGATAACTGTGTATTCTGTTTACTTGCATCCCGTATAACTTTTGTGAGTGCAATTTTTGCGAGTTTAAAGATACAACTAAAAATAAAATGTACAGTTTTTTTCGACGTTCACTCGTTTTTATTTCAGTAAAACAGGTCTGATAAGCAACACAAGTTATTAATAGTAAACGTAGTTGCTAACAGATAAACTAATTCATAATTGAATGAAAACTGAAATAAAATAAAACAGCTTTGCGTAATATTTAATCAAACCTAAGGCTGTATTATAATATATTTACACTTCGACAGTTTCAACGGGTTTGCAGTTGCTGCTCTGGAGACTGATGATAGAGTTTCCACAACTCCGTGTGTAGTTCATCCTCCATATAGCGAGGATCGGGAGGCGTAGGAAATTCACCTTAGAAGACAAGTCACTGAATAGTATTCTCAAAGTAGCACAGAATTAATTATGCAGTAGTGCAGTACCTAATTCATCGTTATAATCATTAAATGCCCGAAAGGGATATAGTACAAATGGCGCATATTCCTCGATGGTTTTGAGTGGCTTTATTCCCAACGCTTCCAAGTCTGGCAGTGTACCGGCACGCTTGTCTGTTACATATTCACGCTCGGCTCGTTCAGTTGTAAGGTGAGGATTTCTGTAAGCGAAGATGTCGAACATCTTGTGCTTGAGCCTGCAAGCAAATTAAATTTAGTGTAATCAAGAACGAGCGGCTGCAGTTTAAAATGTGCCTTTGTGGTGTGAAAAGTTGCTTTTCGATTCTTTCGCCTGCATATTACTCTTCGCAACTCTGCGGCTGCGGGCGTTGACTATTACATGTTATTTTCCTTGTTTAAGTGCAAACGATTTTAACAGTACCACATGTGCCGAGCAGCATATTCCGCGTGCAAAATTTTAAAGTAGACTCAACCAAAATACTTCCCAGGCATACCGTGAAATTGGGTCAAGGGGCGTTCTTCGGTATCCCCACATTTCTGGCGATCGTCTCATAACCTGATAAAACCAGTCCACCAAGTCAGCCAGCACGTACCTTCTCGGCCTGCAGAAACAACTCAATTTAAACTATGCAATGCAGAAAGGGTGCACCACAAGTAACTCTACCCCACTGCTTCGTAAATTTTTCCAATAGAGTCCGGATCAGTTACGGCATTCGCAACAGCACGAGCCACATCACCAACCTAAAGTCAACGAGATAAAACCATTCTGAATTTGCACGTGCCGCACCGTTTAAACTAACAGCATCATGAAAATTATTAGAACAGTCGATGCAATACTACTTACGAAAACAGGCTGTTTGATCGTTGCTTCACCCCATTTGTACATCGGCATCCATTTAACGTTGCGCCTCAGCCAATAGCGGTAATACATTATAAACCTGTCGTTTGTACCGAAGATATCCGCTGGACGAAATATTGTAGCATTGGGAAATTCTTCCAACACGGCTTTCTCCCCGCGTGCCTACGCACGGCACCAAAAAGTCACGACAATGGCCAAATAAAAATCGTAATATGGAATAATCATAAGAGTTTACTTTGGATTTCAAAAATTCCGAGCCCTTCTTCATCAAGATCGGTGTTGGGTTTTCCGAGGCATTAAGAGCCGAAAAATGAATTAACCGTTCAACACCCGCTTCCTTAGCGGCCCGCGCTATCCGGCGAGCTCCTTCCACATGCACTTGCTCGAAAGTAAAATTCCTAAAAAACACGCACTGAACGCTAGAATAAGTTAATCTAAATTTAGCCTTCTAAAAATCCAGCAATTGCAAGTACAATAACAAAATCCGTCAATCTTATTGTCAATCAAACTAAGAACTACGTAGTACTTACTCTGACATTATTTTTAGTCTCTTAAAAGTGCTCAAACGTCACATCGGTTTTCCAAAAACAAACCCTAACCAATTATCTATGTATATTGCATCGCGCTTCACATGCTATTATTCCTACTTGGTTTCGTAATCGCGGCCAATAAGATTGATTACGACGTTGGAGTATTTCATGCTTCTTTTCACGGCGGCTTCATCACGGATATCGCAGTACTGGAACAAAACTTGTCCCAGATCGCCCATAACCTTAATATGCCGCACATCGTACGGATCGCAGCGATGGGCAATGATCAGCTGGCTACCAATTTTTCCTGGAAAAGGTAAAAGACATCGTTAACGAAAAACATAAGAAATTCAACGCTACTTTATTTCCCAGCACTCACACACATGCAGACATATTCATTAACTCCAAAATACATGCATTTTCGAATAAGTAAATTAATTGATTTACCAATCTGCAATGCACAAATTTGTGCGAATTGTTTTTACACAGCAAACTTATATTTTACCCAGCTGGTTAGAAACGGCTCCGCCAAGAAAGCCCGATGCGCCAAAAACCGTAGCCACCACGCCACTAAACGAAGAACGTCCTCCTCGACCTGCCATCAATCCACTAATCAAAATGCAATCGCCAAACACCATACAAAGCCAGTGCTCATGGAAGGCTCACCGCGTTTTAAGTTTCCCAGGGTGCTGGACTTCGCGGAGGTGGGTATGTCCGGGACGACGCCGATGTCTCCCGACTGGCCCTGCGCAGGATTGTGAGGATGCTGGAAGCGCTTGCTCGTGTCATTCCGGCAGGTTACGGCTAGCAGAGGGCTAGTGGCTTTTACCCCATAAATTCCTCTCCAAAGTTCCAAGCCTGGAAAACATGGACGAAACTAAACAGACTGAAAGCAAGCGAGGGCGAGCATATATGGCACAAGTGCGCTCCTAGTGCAGCAAAATGTACAAAGTACCTCTTGCAGCTTTCATTTTAGCAATGCCAAATGCGCAAATCCAGCTAGAAAATCATAATTTAAAAACAATATCTATTTGCAGAGAAGATTTTTCTGGCTGTGAAATGTATAAGTACGATCATGTGCGTATCTTCTTTCAAAAACAACAAATTTGTGAAGGAACAAATGGAATAATAATTTTGGCATCACTGATCACTTTGAAGTTTGAACGGATACACAAACTGCGTATTACAGTATTTGACTATCTACTGTAAGTGTATGCTCCTCATGGCAGATTTAATAGGTACATGATTACATCCACTGTTACTGCGCGCATACTGTACTATTGTACCGACGTTTACGATTTAGTAAAATATTTAATATTTGTATCTGGAGCGATCAGCTGTGGAATTTCATGTTTTTCTTTTACTCTTACTAGTAATAATAATACTTTAAGTTAAAGCAAGTCTATTGTAAATCGCCTGATTACCATAAAATAAATTAAAGTACTAGAGTAGGCAGTCAAAATTACAAAATGGGAAAATCATTAAAACATGAAGCAAAGCTTATCTAAAACCCATACATATATACTTATTTGAAGTTATTCACATACTAGTAATTATCTAAGTTCCGTTCCGTTATCTAGTAATTATCTAAACTTACCTTTAGAGAGAAATCGAATTTCTATCAGTTAATTCTTATTTACCGTACGAATGATTAATTCGAAATGCAACTGGTTTTTTATGAACGGGCAACAACAAGGAAGATAAATAAACATAAACCAGTATGAATTTACTTAATCTCTACAACAGATAAAAATTTAAAAGCAGATTCTCAACAATTATACACCAAAAAAGCAAAATAGCCGCTCTTTAAAAGCGCGAAAACATACTTATAAAAGAATGCAACTGAATAACGAGATGCATTGACAGGTAAATAACTGCTTAAAGCGCTACGGAATATCACCGCGAGCCCGAAGGATGACTGCTGCTGCCTTTGGAAATCAGTTTATCAATGAGCTCCTGCAATGGAGCTAGTTCTTTCTTATCAACCAAGTTGAACTCCTGGATGAAAAACGTGAAATGTTTGAACGAGGTGTTGAGATGCGCCTCCTCCTCCAGCGCAATCACATCCTCGAAGTGCTGATGATAAACGTGTGCATAGACACGAAATAGTCGCTTGAGAATTGTCTTCGCTGTTGACAGAAAATTCTTTGGGAATGGTACTCCAATCTTGGAAGGAAACAGGGTTTCGTCATCAAGCTGATCTTGCACCCAAGTCATCAGGTAGTCAATGTACTATAAAGCGTGAAAAATGCATTATTATCAGACTACCACATTTGCACTGCGATGTCGAGGCGATTGGATCGAAATTTAAAACGGCTTGAATAAAGCCATTTTTGACAAACAAGGGCACTCATGAAATGAATCTACCCTGGTGCGCGCGTAAAATAAACATATGCGATAAAATAATTAGCTGAAAAGTCGATCATAATGACTGTCAGCCTTACTGAAGCTCTACCTGCGGTGCGGAACACTTGATAGGTTTTTTCACCGTTTGTCCATCGGCCCAGTGATACTCGTACTTTGGTCCAGCGGACATCACAGGACACTTCTGGACCGTGCAGAATTCAGTGATCGTACCATACAACATAGAAATCTGATTGAAGAAATCGACGATGTGCACTGCAACCCATTCGTTCAGATCTTCTCCGTCAGGCAATTGTACAGCTTGTCGCAGATCAGCTCCGCTACCCAACGTGGCCTCGGCGTGCTTCGACAGATCATGGCGATGCGTTCCTTCAGGAATACTTTTTCGGGGCTGAAAATTGTGAAGAAACACGGGCTGGCTGTGAACATTTCAACCGTGCGATCGAGTTGCCATCATATTCATTATTCAATACCTTGAACGTTTTTTGTCCTCGTCGCAGTCCAAATAAATAATCCATTGCTGAGACACCTGAAATCACGCTCAAATTTTCTCCAGATTACATGCGCCAATATTTATGATTTACTCATTTATTGCAAAAAAAGAAAAAGGTTACGAATTGCAGTTTGCAACTAATAAGAAAAGTCAGAAAAATAGTTGAAAGTTCAAAACTAATCAAAATTCAAAGCTCAGCTCAAGAGTCAAGACTCAAGAGCCAAAAATACCACGTCGAATGTCGATGGATCATACTCATAGAATGATGGGAAGTTGGGAACTGCTCATCGCCAGAACACCCCCTCTCATGCCACTTCCTAGGGTAGTTCCTGCGCTCCTACGTGCACAGTGTAGTGAGTGTACTGAGTGTAGTGAACTTTACCTAGGCCCTAGGGTATGTACACACCCCCCTCCTGGATTAGACTATGACTCTACTACTGTTTGTTGTGGTTTATGTTCCGTACTTTACTTCCTTGCTTTTTTCAGAAACAGAAGACTTAGTCACTTATAAAACTAAGTATTTTATTATTATTATTTCAGTGCTCAAAAGTCAAAGTCAAAATTTTACTCGATACCAACGTTCCGTGCGACTACGAGTATATTTTTAAATTTTATGCAGATAGATACTGTACGTTTTATCTTTGTTACCGCCAATATCTCGCGTTCTTTTGAATCCTCGCGGTTGCTTGCATGCCAAATGAGAAATTTACTTCTCATCCGTCTGATTAATTGTGAGATACAGTAATATGATTATCTGGTTATTCTTTAATTTTGTTAGTTAATTTTATATTTTTTACGCAACAATCACTGCCGGAATGTCTGGGAGAAACCAGGTGACGGTTATCAAGCCAGAAGAACCAGCGTTTTTAAAAAGCTTCAAGAAGCGTGCTGGCTATAAAGAAGGACCTACCATAGAAGACAAAGTAAGCTGTTTTAACTTATTATTATTATTATGACTCATTTGTCACTTTTAGGCTTACTGTAATGGTAAATGAATGCAGAGGGGTACGGGTAAATCGGAATTACATATTCTTATTACGAGTATAATAGGGACAATAGCAAAAACATTTCCAGGAGCAAAGATTATTTAAAATTAATAAAATAATTAAGCCGTAAGTGTCATCGGTCAAGCTTTACCGATCGAGCTGCTTTTGCGTAAAGGCCTACTTGTGGAATGTGGAACAGACCCCCCCCCCTATTTTACTGGTTGTATTAATTTTGTTGATTTGATAGTTGTTCTGCGGAACAAACAAAATTACAGACAGCTCACTTGACATCGAAAATATCGACATTTTTTTTAGAAGCAACACCTGCTGGCCGAAGCGGACAACATTGATGACCGTCCAGACGAAAAGCCAACGATTGTTACCCTTCGCCCGGGCGATCTCACGGAGGAAGAAGTTGAAGCAATAGAAAAACAAGAGGCAGATACGAACAATTCTCAACCGGAAACCGAACCAGATTTCGTTGATCTCCAGTCGCATGCCTCAGTGAAAGGAAGCGAATTTGCCACAGAAACGGAAACGGAGATATCGGAGGAAAAACGTGCGGCGCAACCCAAGGTTGTATTTCGAAAGCCTCATAAAAGACCAACGATCGATACCGGAAATCCATCAGCAACCATTGGTTCTGCTCCTGCTAAAAAATCGAAGTCGGCCAGCTCCATGGAACAGATCCAGAACAAAAGTTTGTTATCTTTTGTTGAAGATGAGGAATGCAGTGATTGAGGGATAAGTGTTCGCAAGCAGGAATATCCGCGATGCTAGCGAAAAATCAATCACGTGATGATTCTCATAAATCTCAACATAGCGTGTCAGTTTCGCATTCGGTTTTGTTTTAAAACAAAAAATGGCGAACTTGGTAAAACTGGACATGCGCTGTTGTGCATTATCGTATACATTTCCAGCGCCAGTTACGGAAATTTACTAAACAGAAAATTCTTTATTGGCGACATCGCATTAGGTCTGCTTGTTCATTTCGAGCACAAAGCATTTTAGAAATATAATTATCAGACAAGCATAAACTAAGTAAAAAACAACGTATCAGTTTATAGTACTCAAAACACAACTTGGGAAATCAGCATTTACGATCAACCAACAAAAAAAAGGATCTTACTATCATCAGTACTGTATCATGAGCAACGTTTATCAACATAAAACCCCATATTAAACCAACATCACGATCAATAGTAGGTATTTTACTTTCTGCCATTTTACTGCAAAGGCAGCGCCCAGTGCCAGCTATATCGAACAAAAAACCACTTCTCCATATATTGTAACTGGAAAAAATCTCTAATTCGCTGTAAAATATCGTAGCGTGGTTCAGAATGTCCCAGTATTCCAGTCGCAGTAAACACATTCCAGATTCAATAACGTCCGTAACTGAATTTCACTTTAACCAAATAACGCAGATTCACTTGGGCCTGCAAAATATGACTTATTGTTAGAGTCTTAGACCCATAAAACAATAAGGAGGAAACTCAATTAAGTAGTACCTCTTTGTATACAATATATTCGTTGTACAGTAACGAGGACCGAATGCTGGCAGTCATGGGTAGTCCACAGGGAATTTCAATAAGATTGTCCTTTTAGCTACAATCAACCGATTCATTATATGACGCAGTGTAAGCATTAGACAGTTGAGATTTTTCCATAAATTACTGCTGACCGTTACCGGCTTGCACTGCGCCTGATTCTGCTGGAACAAGGTCAAACGCTTCAGGAGTTTCAGTGAAGGAATGAATATATTCACTCTGCTCCGGATTGGGATAAGTTGCACCACATCCCTTGACGCTCTGAAATTCCGGTGACAGACGGGTAATGCATTCGGCGTCGTTCAAAGGTTTCCTGAGAAGCAAGAAACAATGAACTTCTGCTGATCTAATCGCTGGGTAAAAGGCACTGACAATTTGTACCCATGCAGTACCTACATTTTGCCCAATGCCACATCGGACAGGAGCAACAATCCCACGTTATTTTCTTGGGAAGTGAAGCAGTAATTGGCACTCTTTGATACCATGTCTAGACAAGTCCACATGTATGTATTCCGCATTCTCAAGCACTAACTCGAAAGCAAACCAAGAAGAAAAAATTACCAGCGAAATAAACCCCTTTTCCGAACATATACCCGGTCTAAAACCAAAAAAATTGATCAACAGATTTTAAGCAAATTTTATGCATATTAAACTGCGACACCCACCACAGGAGCTTCTGGTGGAGCAATTCTCAACCCTTGCGACAAGATCCCAGCTGGAAGGCAACAATACGAATCATGATGTAATATAATATGGTATAACATATTTACTCCTTTATTTCCAGACAGATCTGCACTGTAAAATTTATTACCAAAATTTGTAGTGCGGCTACCGTGCCATAAGAGCTTATGGTTGTTTAGCTCCTGGAATTCAGCAAAGCGAGCGCTTTCCCCTGATCGCCGCACCTTGAATACCTAAAAACGAAAAACCGAAATAAGTGACAGAAAATGTGAAATTACGACTGCACTACGCACGTCCAGCAGTTCCAGTTTATAAGTGGAATGAGTCGCAGCATGTGTATTGCGGATGTATCGCTGCACCATTTCGTAATCCCAACTCTTCTTCTTCACCACTTCCAAGTCACATTTCAGCTTCTCATAGTGCTAAAATTTGAATAATACTTACAAACGTGAATCCAAAAACAAGTCGTTCTTATTGCAGTCGGTTATCATTAAAAAAAAACATAAAACCCCCCTTATTGCCTCACTTATCTAATACAAAACTAAGAAGCTGCCGTACCTGGTCCAGTGGATCTTGATCAGAGCCACGATTACCACTGCGCAGAATGCTAAATGCCACTTCAATTTCCAGAAGATTGTCCAGCATGTCCAGTTTAGCCTGTAGTTCCGGTAAAGTTATGTAATTCTGTATGCTCATACACCATTCTGTGCCAGTTTTTTCCTTCACGTTGCACCAAAGCTGATAAAAGCAGCAGAGCGTACAAGTACTGTACTGTACCTTAATGTCCTCTGTTTTATTTAGCACAGTTGCGCCGCCAGCGGAAAATACGTGGGGAATAAAAGTGAAAAATCTGTTGGATCCATCAATATATTTAGGCGAATTAAGACGCTCGCCAGCTTGAATCAGTGACTGCAGGTCATTCAACACCTTCATGGCATCTGTAATCTGCCGTCGCGACAACTTTCCCAACGGCATTTTTTTCAGGTCAATCTGCAAATACAATAAAGGATCAAGTTTCCCGCTATTTGCATATATTTTTTGAAAGCACTTCCGTAATTTCATCCCTACTTTCGCTGACCTCAAACGCTTTCATTGTTTTCTTCATTTCTTCAACATCGAAGATCATTTTAATCAGTTCTTGTATAGGTCCGGCCAACTTTGTTTTGCTCCCTGGTGCGACTGCGTATTCTTCGACTGTTTCGTCCTGCAACCATAAGAGTATGCACTTACACAAAATATTGTTTCCGACGTCCCACATCGTCATACGAGTACAAGTGACAACATAACAAAAAGCCGCACTATTGTGGCAGCTAGTATCCGAGTCTACATTATCTACTGTTGTCCGGTTTCACTGGTTTTAAAAAATTACGCATACTTCGGCAAGCAACGCGATATGTAATTACAAAAAGTCAAAAAAATGTAAACTGCCTTACTCCAGCAATGCACGTACAACTAGACAAAATAATCCACCAACCTCTCCAAAATCAAGATCCATTACAAAGTATTTTCCCGGCTTTTTTTGAAAATTCTGTTTATCTGCCCACTCATTGCCAGTTTTGTCCTTAAAATGGAACTCGAACTGTTCAACAGCGTCATCCTTATCTGTCTCCAAGATAATATCTCCCCCAATTGTTGTGCCAATCCTTCCCCAGGACCGGAAAAAATGGTAGACAGGTTTATTATCACGCTGTATAATCTGCATCTTATAGAATGAATTCGATCCCATTTGAACATCGGCCTAAAAAGTCAAACCACATTGGGTACAGCGTCCTTCATGCTCTTTCGTCATACATTTACGAATTCTTGTTTGAAAATTTTCACCTTGGCCAAAACACATGCGTACACTGTCCCATTTTCTTTGAGAACGCTGTGAGTGTCCTCATCCAGGCCACTCTGTGGATCGACTGCACCGCCGTTCTTAACGATTACTTTCATCTTATTATCATCCAGTGCGTACATCATCGCAGCTACAAAAGCACGTACATAACGTTAGACAAATTCAGCATGAATTATTTGTACACTCCGTATCTGTAGAAAAATATGTGTTTGATTATTCCTCCTCAAAAGAAGAGTGCTGCATATTATGTAGCAGTATGCCTAGTGGTAATTCGCAGATAGCAAGTCCCACTTGACAGGCAACACAGCATGCGTAGATTGGTTATGCAACAACGACACTTTACTGTAAGTTTAAACAACTAACCACAAAACAAGATACGACTCACTTTTTTTCTCTTCCTGCAGTCGATGCATTTCGGTGCTTGAAAGGCCACTGGGGAGTGGTTCAGCCCCAGCTTCTTTCGCGTGAATACGTACTAATGGCTACAAAAGTTCCAACTTGAAGTAATTCAAAATATCCTGTGCCGAAAAAAAAGTTTTGAATCCTACGTTGCTAGCCTTCCATGGATTAATCTTAACCCTTTCAATAAGGGCAGCCAATTCGTCTTCCGTATGTAGTCTTTCAGATGAGCATTCGTCCAAGAATTCAACGGGAACTACATGAACATGGCACACTTCCGCCATTTCCAACATGACAGGTCGGCTTGCGATAGCGTCTACGAGGACGAGGTGAAACTCCGTGCAAATACAGTTAAGCCTCGCAGTTGCTACTGTGCAGATGACCTACTACTGTCGGAAATAACGACTAAAGTATCCCCAGATGCCTTGGCCACAAACGTTCCACCCAAATCCGTCACCGTCTTTTGAATCGCAGCTCTTGTCATAGATAGCTTGCCGACTGCTCCAACCTTCATGCCCTTAAGCGGCTGTTTCACATTCAGTTTTTTTCTGTAAAACAAGAAACCTATGGCAGAGAGCAGCTCATAACGATACTACGGAACTCGTCTGCTCACACTTTTGGCGCTGGAGCAACTTTTTTTCCAGAACCGTTTGAGTATGGTGATTTAGACGTGGAAGGACCATCCACTACAGTTGAGCCGGATCTGGCAGATGCACTCGCCCCACTTCCCTCGCCATTGGCAATCGTCATAGCAAAGCATTTAGGAAACATTCGGTAACGCGACTTAGGCGGCAAGTAGTTGCTCCTAATAAAATTTCAAATGTTCAAATCTAAAGTAAACACTATAAATACCATTAAAACAAATTCGTTACTCGTGCTGAATATGCTGTAACACACAAGCTGACTTCGGTGTGTAATGATATAAAAAACCACCATTACAGTAACGAAGAAAACAATCATCATTCTCCGCAGTAGTAGACCAGCAATCGATAATATCGAATGTTTAAGTCAGTAACTTACAGAAACTCGTATTTCTCCAGAAGTTTCTCAGGAATCGTCACATTATTCCGCGCCGGCTTCTGCGTTTTATAGTCGCATTTGGCCCAATCGCTCACTTGGCCAATACAATAGTAAGCGTCGGCACTAAGAAATTCAAGGTTATCCAAAATTACGGAATATCGCCCAAACTCGATAGCCTCAGAGTCTCAGACGGATCCTTTACTTACCTTACTACAATGTGGCCACGATCAGACGAGCACTGTTGACATTTCGCAGTAGCTCCAAACAGCAACATATCTACCACTCTATCAGCCACCTGCAAAACCATGACTCAAATGAGCCACTGTAACAGAACAGTACTTAATACCTACCACCCACCCACCCACTGATGTACGTCAGAACGCAAGAATAACGTTAGTGAAAACATTTCCGAACAAATTATCAAGGAAAAGATTAAAGACGCACCTTGGATGTCACAGGCACATGTTGGTCGTTCTCCTCCAACAGAGCCTTCAGATCTTTGCTAGACATCTTTGCAATCGCATCTTTACATTCCCAAATCATGTCAATCTGCTTCTTCCAATCTGCATCGACCACACTGCTCTCTGTTTTCCGTTTCTTTTGTGCAGAAGCTTTCCCCGCGGAACTTTTTCCCCGTTTGCCTTCCCTGAGTCAATGTTACGTAAATATTCATTACGCTGAGGTGATAATTAACAACTGCCCAATATGAGTACAACCGAAATTCTTACAAGTTCACACTGTTCTACTAGACTCGAAACAAACTCTTCAAGCGAACTGTACATAAACTGCATAATGCATATGCTGCTACGAACCCATTTTTGATTGGCTTCGGTTCGTCATCTGAATCTTCATCCTCTTCCTCAATTTTTGCGCTTTTTCCCGCCGCTAGTCGTCGAATACGCTGTTGGTCGTCCCAACGAAGATCATGGAAATGCCAGATTTCATCCACATTTACACTGGGCTTCTTCTTGAAAAAGCAGTGTGGATGGTGCCAGTGCGCATCTTTACCATCGTGGAAGCCAGACTACGAACAACAACCGAAACCCCAGAAATAAAACAGTCTCAGACTCACAAGATCGCTTTAACAATAGTAGTTTTGAAACTACAACTTAGCAAAAAGTGTTTATAGGTGGAGCCGGAAATGTCAGAATACAAGAAAAAGATAACAGAACACAGCGCGGAACAGTCTTTCAAGATTGCTACGTCAGCTATGCTATTACAACCACTGTGGCAAAACAAAACTACAATGCACTGCATACCTGCACCATGATACACAGTCGCACGACATCCTTCCCAATCCCATTTTTGCAGCCTTTGCAGGACGATCGATCACTGAGGGAATATTCGGCCCGATAAACCCAGCTGCTGTCCATATCTGTCGCACGTTCGGAATCCTCGCAAGATCGAATTCGCACAGCAAGTACTTCGCAATGATTCCGTCGGTGACCGCTATTCCGGCTGCTCTTCAAGTTTCCTCACTACTTTCTGTAATTGTCAAGAAATCAATTTATAAGAAATCGTCAAGAAATCAACCCAAGTAAACATTTACAAATTAAAACTTCAAAAGCAGAGAAGTGAGGGCTCTCATTAGTTTGACTTCTGGTTGTGGATAAATGCGCGCTCTCCGCTGTTCTTTGTTTTGGTTGTGTCTGTGCTGCACAGCGCCGGATCAACACGAGCCGCACACATTTGGGGGATGGGGACAATGCCTCATTGTGCTGCACAGCTGGGCAGCATAATGATTTTATCATGCTTTTTTGTAAATTTTTATTTTTTATCGATAAATTAATGGCCGCCAGATAAAGTTTATCACGGTATTCGGTATTCCATATACCTATTTTTATTACTAATAATTATATGGAAGCATATTATTAGATAAATATTTGCGGCGGCAAGCCTATAAGTAGAATTATTGCGCTTGCATACATTAACGATAAGTAGTGTGTCCCCATCAAGTGGTGGTGCGTTACACGACTTGTGACTTACCGCTACAGCTCTCTGCGCACATTTCGTGACGTCAAACTGATTTTCTAAATTTTCTAAAATCCCAACTTAACTTTACCAATCTTTTAGCCTCTTTTAGCGAAAAGCGGTTTCCGTCATTTACACTGTAGTTTGTAGTTTTAATTTCCGCCAACGAACTCTTAGGTCTTACGACTTTATTACATTACTTGGCCTTCAGTTTCCCTCTAGTTTCCCTTTAACAAGCGAAGCTTTCTTGAATCTTAACGAAGGGTTTGAGTTTCGAGCTTAGGCCTTAGAAACCCCGGTTTTTCGCCTGACGCTTGCGCGTTTGCTTGTGCACTTGTGACTTGTACATCATGTCTGTGGCTCGCGCGCTAGAATTTTTGAATCGCAGCGAGGTGTTTTTGGCTAGTGGGTCGCCTCGACGTCGGGAACTTTTTCAAAGACTAGTACGTATTGGCCCAAGACTGTGTAACACTTTGGTTTGAGTACGTATTTGAAAAAGCATGGACTGTGAGCGCCTGTTATTCTTCCCTAGAACGTTCCTGTGCTGTCACACTTGGCTATTCCGGAAGCAGTGGAGAACCTCGATTCCACTACATTTGCTGGAGCGAAAGAATACGTTACTGCTAACGTTGCCAACAAAATAATTTACGCCTTGAAAAACATGAGTAATCGTCAGTTTGACGACCGTCGCACTACTGACAATGTAAGGCTGCTTTGCTTTTCTGTCCCTAATCCGGAGTCCGGACTGTTGCGGTGCCTGATTGTTGCTTAATATTATTGGTTGTAATTATACTCTACATCATTCCTCTGCCACATACATAACACATGTTCCCAGTTGCAGAACGTCATGCAGAAGAAATCCGTACCTGACATTGTCGTGGCCGCCGATACAGTGGTTGTGGATGGAAAAGAAATTTTGGAAAAACCTAAATCTTCGGCTGACAATTACCGCATGATAAAGCAGTAAGTGGGTTATAATAAGTTAGTTTTTTTCACGTTCGACAACTGTTTTAATTAATTTAGGAATATGCAGTCGTATTTGAAAACCATCCCTACAAAACCGCATTAACGGTGCTCTAGTTTTACGCGAAGTTCGAGTGCGAAGTTGCGAAGTTTCTTTGACTACACTGAAGAGTTCAGCAGCCTTACTTAATATTGTTTATTTGTGTCTTTGATAGACTTTCTGGAAAAGAGCATACAGTGATCACCGCCGTGTCTTTCGTGTTGCCACCCCAGATCGCCGTTAGCGGCGGCGCATCTAGTGCAAATTTGGATGGCGACGAAAAATTGGACTTGGCAAAGCTCGCCCACACTTTCACTGTGGAAACCAAAATACGACTCGTTGCAATGGATCCCGATACCATTTCCTGGTATGTTAACAGCGGAGAGGGCAGGTGAGAGGGTATAAGCGGTCATTTGTAGACAGCGCCAACGATAATTGTCCATTTCATACAGAGACAAAGCTGGTGGCTACGCAATACAGGGCATGGGCGCCGCTTTGACTCATTCCATCCAAGGATGCTTCTACAATGTGGTTGGCTTCCCGCTCAACGCCTTCGTGACGACACTAGGAGAATGTTTGGGTCAATAATTTGATGTCGTCTTCCGTATGGGATTCCGTATGAGCCGTTAACCGGCCCTCCTCGTCCTCATTGAAAGGATTGGTGGATAATAGTTCAGCCACCAGATCCCGGTTGTCATAGTTGCTGTTGGATACAGTTTCGGATGGGTTAATTTGGTTGGCACTGGGGAAATCACGGGCCCCTCGCCCCGGTGGACCGGTCATCCATTCGTGACTCAAAAGATTTTCGGCCGTTGCACGAAGGTGTGGATCCCATCTGTGTTAAAACATTCTGTCATCCGTAATATCTTCGGGTGTGTACGATTCGCTTACTCAAGGCATTTCTTCATAAAATCGAGGAAGCGGCGGTCAGATGTTTTCAAGATGGAATGCAATGGCTTAGTGCCGGGTATTCGTTTCTTTCCGCGGCTGTTGATGAGCCGCGTGGGATTTCCTAGGCTATCTGTGATGGGTCATCCAGATTTTTTTGTAATTGTATAGAAAATTTGAAATCAATCATTAAAATCTTACCAAAGAAGTATCGAGCACGTGGCGCTGTCGTAAGAATTTTCCTCGGGGGTAAACCTAGAATCTCCATTATGCATGCTAGTTGGTCCGCTTCGTTTTCTCCAGGAAATATGGGCCGTCCTAATAGCAGCTCTGCTAGAACGCATGCGAAACTCCATATGTCAATGGCGCAATCATAAGGAAATCCTTCAAAATAATTCAGAAGTCAGCACACAAGTTTTCCAATGTTTCCATTTTTTTCAGTTGTATGTAATGTACAGTACAAGCCTGTGGGGTACCTAAAATAATTTCCGGTGCTCGATAATAGCGGGACTGCAATGCACAGATTCGTTGATTAAAAACAATCATTATAGTACTATTACGATCTGACTTTTGATTATTCCTTTAACCAGGATTCTATGGCCGACAATGCATAAAATGCATGTATACTGTACAGCATAGATTCGGGTACAGTAATTTTATTTTTGCCTAACTTTCGATCACCCACATGTTGGTGTTCCGTTACCGTATTTCGGTGCCACAGGTCTAACAGTAATTGTAACCTTACTTGAATGTAGCAGTATATCTGCTCCTGTACGAAACATCCCGATCCGAAATCGGTAACTTTGATATCGTAAACGGATGTGCCCGGCATGCCTTGCCTTGTTCGCAGTAAGATATTTTCCTGCAGAAAAAACCATTAATTTTTTCAGTAACAAGTACATTTTATCAAATTCTTAATTGCAAAATCGTAGTTGTCAGTGTGTCATAGCCTTCATAAACGGCGTAGAGTTGCTACTAGATGTTTTACTAACCGGTTTTATATCACAGTGTATAATTTGCTCCTGCTGAAGTAAACTGAGGGATTGTAAAATATTCCATCCGAAACGCTTTACAGCCATAACACTGAAGCCGTTAAAAGCATTGCGCTTGAGCAAATCATAGAGATTGATCCTGTGCAAGTAAATCAAAAGCCGATTTGTCAACTGGTACTCGTAGCAGAAAAATGTTTAGCAAATGTATCGTTTACGTGTTCGGACAGACATGAATAATCTTAGGTATGGATGAGTAACGGTAAGCAGGAACTGCAAACCGAATTACGGTTCACTTGCATACATATTTTGCGCAAAAACTACATACATTTAATTTAGAACAATCATTGCTGCGCGATCCCTTGATTTGGATTATTGTTAATTCGTAACTCGTGGTACATACCCAGCCAGCTCCAAAACGATGCAAATATGTTTCCGGAAATGGAAGCAGTCTAGCATATGTATAATGTTTTTGTCATTTTTTGCATCTTTCTTTCTTAGATGATCCAGGAGGCGCACTTCAACAATGCCTTGCCGGTAAAACCTGTTCATCAAGCAAGCAGCAGTTCACGCTTCTTTGTAACAGCCATCGTACAAATACGCATACCTCGTATGAATAGTTACTTACTTTACCTACTTCTTTTTACTTCGGAGCATTTTTATAGCGACATCGGTGTGACTTTTGTGATCGCGGCATCTGAAAACTTGACCAAACGATCCTCTTCCAAGCAGTCCAACAATTTCATAGCGATAAGCCACGTGATCGTGGGCTTCCTACAAAAACATATTGATGGCTATTTACTGCATGCCGGACGAACGTACAGTATTGTACCGAGACCAGTAAAACCGTAACAATTTAGCTCATGACCACTATAAAACTGTCCGTACTACTGATAGTCTGATACCTACTAAAATGTTAGCTCTTTATTTGAAAACCGAGACACACATGTATCAGTAACATAAAACCATTATAAGCAAGCGAAAAAGCTAGACTTTATAACAACTAGATTTCATTTAGCTACTTATCGTTAATAAATCTAAAGGAGTTGCATGGTGTTTGTGGTCGATAAACAAAAGTGGGCTTCAAGCGTTGCAAAGTAAAATAAACCAATGTAAATTATGTAATCACTATTAAATGAACAACTGAAGTATTTAAATAATCAATAACTCTACAAAGTACATCTGTGCGCGTTTGAATGAGCAGTCAGTTGTATTTAAGTACTGCAGATTCAATAAATTCACTTACAGGACTTATTTAAAATTTCGCATAAATATCAAAAGATGCTTAACGACTTATACAATATATACGTACTGTAAATAATTAGCAATGCTGTATTTAACCGTCTAAAATATAGTTGTGACTCTTAAAGCTTCTTTACGTGCGGACGATTAAAATTATCTGCAGTGTTTGCTTATCATGGCATCTTCAAAAGATAACCCCATTGTATTTATAGCGCAGCCAGTGAAGGTGAGGTTAGTAGCCTAAATTTTACCTATTAGCACCAAAGCGTACCGCTGCGTACATTCCGTCATCGTGGTCATCTTTCTTTTGTTTTGCTCTACTTTTTCGTTGACGCCCAAGGCCAAGATACCAAATTTCTTTGTATTTCTGGATCTCGTTTAGTTCGAACTCCGTTAAATCACGTTTGAAGTAATGTAGAACCTCTGAAAAGCACTTGACCTTTTAAAACCAATTGTCGATTGACGCATACATCTGTATAAGCAAGTCGCGGAATGGTGATTATTCAGATATGCGCTAACTACAGAGTGGATACAGGCCCATACAGCTAATCAAGAAATGACAAGGAATGTTTTTACCTCCGGGTGTCAAAGGCCAACGTAGGGATCGTCTTGTTGATTCGGCGTAATGAGCAGCAGCGCGTTTGGCCTCCTCCGCAGCCAGTCGCTTTGCTTCTTCAGCAGCAACTCTTTTCGCTTCTTCCGCCGCCGCTTTTCTTGCCTGGTCTTCTTTAGCTCTTAATTCTTTAACAAGTCGTAATCTCTCCAGAGTGCGATCCCGGTCAGTCTTCTTAAAAGATCTGGATGCCGTGGCCGAAGGCAAAACGTAGTGTACTGTGTCGTTGCGGTCTCGATCGTAATCGCGGTGCGTATGATTTCCGCCCTTTGAAATCAACTAATAGTTTACTAATTTTCTTCTTGCAACGGCATAATCTACTTATATCGTCAAACCGTGTAAACAGCTTCATAGAGAACAGGTCTTAATTCATCTTCTTCATCGAATCAAGCTACCGTATGTTTGTGATACCATTAACATCCAACAACTTGTGTGTATATATGTACCGCAAGGACTTTAGTATCGTAAGTTTCGTGGACTGCATAACGCAGTTCAGGCTTAATTTAATACTCGTTTATAGAAAGCATTATTGTGCCATCTGCAGTGCTACTAACCATAAATAATATCTAGCACGATTTGAGTTAGGGGCCAGTGCGGTAAGCAGTTCACAGCGAAATATTACGATTCCGATTAAGAAATTTCCCCGGAGAAATTTCTTAATCAGTCAACTTCTTAATCGGTTTGTTAATCGGTCCGATTAAGGAAATTAAGATCCCTCTGTTAATGTTCATTGATCTACTGCTACTGCAAAGTAAAGTTTCTTCTTACAGCCTGCTTGTATAATATTCTTAAGGACATGTAAAAAATTGCTGCGATTACTCTTGAGTCGGAAAAAGGCTGTGCTGCGCATGCCGCATTCGAATTACTTAGTTTACCGGGCGTCTACCAGAAATTATTACTGCTGGTTTGATGCTGGGAACTGGTAGTCTCTGTTGTGCGTCGATTTCGCGTTCCAGGATCTGCGAACCCTGAAATTGGGAACAAGCTGAAAAAGCCAAAAAGCCAATACTGTGAACTACGGTAGTGATACCCTTACAATACGAATCGATTCCACGATTACACGTTCGGATAGATTTAGAAGTTCACTGTTATACGATCGCGATATGTGATTGCTAACAATTAAAGTACAGTGATAGGTGACAAGTATCCACCTTTAAATAAACTACATAGTACAAAATTTAATAAACTCGCAATTTACCAATAATTAAAATTATTCTGATTTTCGCAGCCAGAAGTTTTCGCAGCCAGAAGCCACATGTGTATAAAACAGAAACAGAAAAGCTAATTTAAAAGAAAGTACCTAATTGAAAAGGTGCGAAACCTAAAGTCGAAATGCACTTTCTTGATAAAAAAAGGGTACTACGAACTACAAGAGATACTGCTACTCATTAAAAAGGTTAAGACATGTGCTGAGAGATTCGGCGGTTCGCTAAGAAAACAGACAGAACTGTGAGCGCGGTTTCTATATTTCCGGAACAATAGGTTTTTCGGATTTTGTGTGGTACTGGTCGGAATCTAGGAAGTTTTAACAAGCAAACATTTAACAGTAACCAGCCAAAACCACTTTTGTAGCGTTAGACAACCGTACACCTTAGTCAACAGAAAATATTGTATTAAAATCAAAACCTAATAAAGCAGATTTAAGATTTTTCTAACCGTAAGTGATCGCTTTTCAAGGCGTTATATCATAGTATATGCAGGTCAGCTTACTTTCAGAGAGGCTTTTTGCACTGCCTTGGGTTCAGTTATTGAATTACCGATAGTCCAACTTGATGTTCCAAAACTGGACATGTTCATATTATGGGGCATAATAAAGGTCATAGATATCGCCAGGCACATTTGTTCAGCAAAGGATGGAAAATGGTAAACAGTCAAGTATTATAGCTACTGTGCTCTTCCTATCAGTCTGGTGAACTTAAACGTCTTTTTACAAACAGTAATACTTTTACAATAGATTTTCTGCTGAGGTTTATAGAGCGCATAGTTTGCAATTTTATGAATCTGAAAACAACAAAATTTGCCACCCGTTTTATGCCCTCGATACCGCATTACTCACAACGTAATTCAACAAATTAACAAAAGTTCTCGAACCCAAAGCTTTTGTCAAACTTAAGATCAACTGAAACAAGCAATATCTTCTGATCCCAGTCCCGTCTCGTTTTATTGCCACGACTTTCGGGCAAACGAAATCAATTTCATGTAATGCTTCTCGATTTATTTTGGCTTAGCAACAGTAATGCAATACTGCAGTTCGTACTTCAGAAACCGGTTCAAGCAGCACGGATTGTAACGAATGTACAATACATTCTACCCTACTCTAGTTATCCAACTTGTCCTCAGTAAGCTTCACGCCCGCCACAATTCTTTTTTAAAACTTAAACTGATCATGAGCTAATAGTGCAGCGGGCTTTTACTTCTCAATACCTCCATTATTACTTAAGTTGTTGTTAATTAACTATACTGGTTACGGAAAGGCTTTTTTCCCTCTGTATTCTTTTTATAAAGAAATTACTAAATATGTTCCTTCAGGCTTCAATCGTATTTTTCTAGCAGTACTAGTAATTGTCTTGTATAAATTATAACCACCACATTTAAAACATGGGTAAAACGGTCAAACTACACAGTACTCGCACTTCAAAAGGAAACGAGTACAGAATCCAACAAATGGGCAACACTAATTTTTATATTTCAAGAAAAACAACGGAATTATGTGACATGTACGGTCGGTATAGGCGAGGATGAATCTGCATTAACAAACGCAACAATATCTATTCTGCTGCTGCCTTATTGCGGCTCTTTCCCTTCTTTTTTCCTTTGTGTCCGGAGACCGGCGGGAGTGCATTAATGTTCTCGGCAATAACGTACGAATCTTCGTTGTCCAGGAGCCACACGTCGTGACCTTGATAGAGGCGGCTGTTTGAGTAGTCGTAAAATTGTTGAGCTTTACTGCAGTCAACATCCCAGAACCAGTGGCAAACCAATGTAATTTGGTTAAAGATCTGCAGGCATAAAGTAACACTGACAATTGTGAGTTAGTGAAATTCTCACAGATACGGTGTAGTTTCGATTGGAAGAGTATGGGAGCACGAGCATCTATAGTACGCAGTTAGTGCTTAGTAGTTACCGTAAGGTTTGGACAAATATAGGCAGTCTGGTTGCCGTTTATGTCACATCGTCTGACAACTGCAAAACATTTCAAAATCAATTACCTAACTGCACAAGTGAAGTTAACAGCTAATTTAACTTTTTGTACTATTATTCTACTTCATTTTCGAACGCATTCTTGCATGCCATGGGTGCGTACTCTTCGTTTGCGTGTTTCATCGTTTTATCTACACAGATACTCGCAGTTCATAATATCATACAGTATTAAATACCCCTGAAGGCTTTATGACTAGTACGGACCATGACTATCTTTCTGACCGTAATCTTAGCGAAAAATTAAACAGCGCTGAACTCACAAAATTAACCATATCGATATGCTTGGTAGGCAGATATAATCTATTTTCAGACGTAATGTACGTACCGATCCTTGGTAAAATAAAATTAATGTACCTTGACATCTGGTGTCAACGTCGGCATAGAATCGGTTTATGAGCGCCACAGTCAAAATTTCCAGGTGGGATGTCATCCAAATTTGGATAATCTTGCCCGGGCTTGGCATTAACTAGTAGATCTCTAATATCATCAATCGAGAGCCTAGTTTTTCCGCGCAGCTGGTCCAGCGCTGACCATACGCCTGGGCTTTGTCCTGCCTGTCGCTTTACCTAAAAAATATAATGTGTGAGTGGAAATCGGCAATACATAGGCATATCTATAATAAATTGAGACAACTTCAATAATAAAACCACAAGAAATCGCTTTTGAGGTATTTTGATTTTCAGCAAAATGAAATTACCACGCCGGCATAGCTGACGCCCAATACAGCCGAAACTGTTAGGAAAAATAAACCTTGCATGATGAAACTGGATGGAACGTTTGTTCAAGTACTGTATCAAAACTCATACAGCAACATTCGGTGAAATGCCTGTTGACAAAATCTGCAGAGCGAATATGTTGTTTTTATATTATTCATGCAACTAAAATATGCTATTTGCCGACTCATATCGGAACCCAGTTATTTGAGTGACAATTACAATTCGGCGTGTATGAATCTATCATGTAATGTGCACGCTGCAGCATCCTGGCAGTGCTAGACGTGGCCGCAATAATTAATTACAGCAGTAAGTTGATTGAGGAGAAGTGGGCAACGATGTCAAGCATGGTCGTAACTCGTACCAGATGTTAAACGTTTGTTTTCATTTTCTTTCTCTTCACTTTTCCTACTCGCTTTCAGTTTCCGCACTAACGTGTCTAATGTTTCATTAAAATTGCTCGGAATTAAACAGCCCAATAAGACGCCAAACCGCAAAGCCCAATAAGACGAGGTCAAAGTTATCACAGATACTATACAGTATACAGGCATTGCCAGAAGTGCAATTAGACGAGTATGTCCCAAACTCAACGAAATCTACCGCTGTCGTTTGTTCTTGTGGCGATTCTGATGGGAAGCTTTATTGGTTTCGTTAATTTCTCGGCGCTTCTTCTGAAACGTCATGTCAGATTTCCGTTTTTCTCGTGTTTTGGCAATCTGCTCCATCGATCGCAAGCCCAACTGCGACTTTCTTCCTGCTTTAAACTTCCGTTTATCCTGAGCCGATTGCCGTCCCTGCATCTGCGACTTCATGTATTTCACTAGAAGAAGGGCAGAGCTCAATCAGCTTTCTTAAGCAATAATCGGAAACCCGGTGTTGCGAAAAACACTTACTTCTTCCACTACCAAGAGCTCTGTTAATGTGATGGAGATCTCTGGGTTTGACTGCTTCAGCCTCATCATCCGAAACATTCTTTTCATCCTGGTAGTCGATCTGATGAGATTTTTTCCATTGACTGTACAAATCAGTTTTATACGTAGCAGGTATCCAGGCGCCGCTTTCGGTTTTAATTTTCTTCTTTTTCGCATCGGAAGTGTCTTCCCCGACAAATTTCTTACGCTTTCGATCCCTAAGACATAAAGGAAATCCTCCAAAGATGTACAGTTGCACAAACCCAATACACTGGTTACCATTTTGGCTGGCGCTTATGTTTTAGCATATCGTTTGTTTCGTCGGGATTCACATCGATCATGGCATTCTGCGCTTCCTGCACGAAGCTTCGCTTCTCCAATTCGAGCCTGTAAATAGAAAGGCTAGGATAAAGTCTTATTGAACCTTTCCATCCTAATGCGAATGCACGTTATAACTGTGAATTTATTAAACAAAATAATTCATAGCTCCTACCCCTTCTCCATATGTAAATCAGAAGGCGTGTAAGGGATAAACGGCTCCACTCGCTTTTCTTTAGCTCTTTTAAAGGTTTTTGGTTTGTTTGGAGGTTTCGATGCAACAATTTCACTAAATGCACTCTAAACATCCAAGTAAAAACCCGTATCAGTTGCTAAATAAATAACCGGTGCAAACAGATGATGTACTTATTGCTCGCGCCTGCGTGTATTCTGCACTTACTAATTCGAAATCATTATCCACAACAGGATTTTCCCGACGCATATTAAGCTGTTCTGAGCGCGCTTTGGCTTTTTCCATGAATGTTTCATGCTTAGCAATGGCAGCTTGGTGAATCTTGCGTTTGGCTTTCATTGCTGCAAAGGCCTCGGATTTCTGGTTGCCACCCAATTCGAAAATCGTCTGCACAGATAGTCGTTCTGATGTTACATTTACTGTGTTATCGAGCAAGAAATGCGCCTAGAAAAGGAAATTCAAGTTACCGTGTGCGGTTTGTAGCCTTTGATTCCTTCTAAAAAATTACTTCGTGCGTTCTCCGCAGCAGATGACTGGTCACCTAATGAAAGCCACAATATCACAACTATGAACCGCACAAAAAACCTGGCTAAAACATACGAAATGCTGGATGTATGGCAGTCTTGAGGTCGCGGTATTCCTTTTTATACCGGGAAACACTTTCCATGGATGGGGCGGGCCGTGTGGATAAATACTTTTTATAGCCATTGTCGCACACTTTAACCATGGCAGCCAGTTCCCCCGACTGTTCGTGCCAGATACGTAACAAGTCTTCTTCTTCATCAATCGCACTTTGTGGCATGGTACCAAATACATTTCTATCATCTGCTAAACAATCCGTATCGGCTACTTTGAACGAAGTCCCCAGAAACAAATGCAAATCCAACAGATAAGGAAACTCGTCACCGGAAACCAGGGAATACGCCTGCCCTGTTCGGCCAGCTCTAGCCACACGACCTGTACACAGGAACGTAAAGGATAAGATTACCATTGCGACGATAACTGCACAGTATCTGCAAACGTTATAAAATCCGGTTGCTTGCTACGTCAGTGTGTTCCCTATAATAATTTTTTGGTACATTGTCAAATGTATGTTTGATCATACCAACACGATGAACAAACAATTTCCCTTTCGGTGGAAAATGGTAATTAATAACATTGTCCAAATCCGGAATGTCCACACCGCGCGCTGCAATATCCGTGACGACCAACACCTGGCATTTACGATGCTTAAATTTGTCCAGATTAATCTTTCTTGCAGCTGGATCCAATGCACTATAGAGGCAAGTACAGGAAATTCCTGCACATGTCACCAGCTACGAAACAAAACAACCACTCGTATACACACTTGCGGAAACACAAATGTTTTCTTACTTCAAAAAATGTATTTCATGGAATTTTCTAAATTGTTCCAGTCTTAAGTAATATTCCCGCCAGGAGGGCGAGCTTATGTTGCAGACTGGATGCTGAGTGTTGTACACTCGGGATATTATTGCACTGTATATAAAAGAGTTATTGCCAAATTCGGCTGCATAACCCAGATGCCCAGTGCGCTGATTTTGATTCAAGAGCACTAATTTTACATCAGTAATTTCAGGAGCACTAATTTTCATTAGCTTACGTCTTTTAAGTATTCCACATGATGTTTAGTAGCGGCAAAAACAACGGTCAATTCATTCCGTTTCACGATGTTCTGTAGTAACCAACAGAGAACAGCAGGCTTGTCCACATCACGGCACGATAAAAAAGACAGCTGAAAAGATCTAACGTCAGACGAGAATTTGGCGCAAACCTTGCATTTTTCAGAGTTTCTCCGTTTTTCAATACGGAACCGACTGTTATTTCACTGACCACCACACGAAATGATCAAGACCGACGAGGACGACAATAATGCGTTATAATTCTTACCTTCAAGCCTTCGCTGAGTTTATTGTCCACATCCAAACGCACTAAACTGGGATCCGACAGACCCGCTTTAGCAAACTCCACCACTGATTTGGGCAACGTGGCGGAGAACATCAGCGTCTGCCGTGCAGCCGGCATGCGGTTGACAATCTCCTTCAGCTGCTCCTCAAATCCCATCTCAAACAGCCGGTCCGCTTCATCGAACACACAGTACTCTACGTTGCTCAGCTTCATGTTCATTTCCACCAGGACGTGCAGTAGGCGGCCGGGTGTGGCGATGACAATATCCGGTTTCTGGTGAATGGCCTCGAATTGGTCCTCCATGCGGTCGCCGCCCAAGATGATCGTGCTCGTCAGCTTGGTGTAGCGCGCCAGATCGCGAGTGAAGCGGAAGGTCTGCAGAGCCAGTTCCCGGGTAGGCGACAGAAGGAGGGCTCGGGGATTCCTGTCGGGAGCCGGGGCCTTCAACTTCTCCAACAAGGGAATCAGGAACGCAGCGGTTTTACCGCTTCCTGTACGCGCCATCGCCACGATGTCTTTACCGTCCATAATAACCGGTATACTCTGGAACAAGTTTGAAAATCTGGTATTAATTAGTTTCATAACTTATTAAAAACTGTTAGACCAGCAGCTATATAAGCATCGTGATTTTTAACGTAAAAGAAAATGATATTACGAAGCAAACCTTTCTCTGGATAGGCGTGGGGATTTTGTATCCTTTCTTCAAAATTCCTTTAAAAACCGGACCTGACAAACCTAAACGCCGCACAAAAAATTTTACAAGTCGAAACTACACGAAAACCACTAATTATTAACATAAGTGATAAGGGGAAAAAGTCGTAGGCCGTATGATGGCCCGTATCGCATCACAGCTTCAAGGTACAACAGCGGCATGAACTACGAGTATTTGTGCCTAATTAACATACCCATGGCCTGAAAACCACCAGACTTCTTGTTCTTCCGATTCTGATTCTGTATCAATTTTCGCCATTCCTTCGCTTCCGCATCGTCGTCTGCCGCAGTATGCACCGGATCGTCCATTTCGGCGGATGAGCTCTTCGGTGGTCTTCGCTGTAAATTATGTCACCTGGCAAGACCAATTTTCCAGTCTACACGGTTTCCAGAACACTCAGTGGAGCAACCGCGGAGATACAACATACGCTTTGTAGAAAGTTAATTTAAGTATGCGGCAGATGTAAAAAAGGAAAAATTAATACGAAATTGATACGAAAAGTATAGTTTATACTTACTACAATAGTACCAATACTATTGTTAAGTACTTACTGTACTTACTAATTTGACGGCGAAGAGACGCCGAAGTCACTTGAAAATCGTTGCGGAACTTATCTTTGGAAAGTATCCTGGTTGCCGCCCGCTGCGAGCTGGCGGCTACTTTATATACACATTCGTACCGTGGGTCGCGACTACGTGAATAAATAATAATGTTGAGATGGCGAGAGCGACATAATTCTCGAATAATCAGTTATAACATAAGTCATTACATGTATTCATAATTTCCTAGTTTATGTTCCCGAAAAAAATAGATTTTACGACGGTCGTGGTACCTGTAAAAATTTTTTGTATTTTTCTTTGTTACCTGTGAATTTGGATAATAGAAATTTCTTTTGGATAAGAAACTGAATTGTGAATTAATATATAATTTTTTAATATTTTTTATCATCTTACACCCGTTTAAAGGTTTCCGGTTCCTCGTATCATTCCTTCCTGATTCTCATCAGCTCCTTTTCAGTCGATGTCAATACAGCGCTGGGATACAGCGCCTTGTCCAGCTGGTGGTAACTGGCAGACTGAGTGGCAGTCGTATCTGTCCCCAATACCGCCTTCGGGGAAACCACAGTGAAGGTTCATTGGGATAGCCGATGATAGCGTCATAAGTGCCAGTCGAACATAAGTTATTTACGAATTCGTTTGTGAAATGGCCTCTCGGGATCGTCGACTGGATGCTGTGAACAAGCCGAAAAGTGAACGCTTCTGGGAAGAAGTGCCTCCTCGATGGATGAATTGTCCTCCCGTAGGCCAGGTTGTAGCAGGTACGCAGCGAAAGCAGAGCAACGACAGCAGTGACGTATCGTAGAATTTCTGGCATTTCATACTTTACCGTTTTTTTATGTGCAGATCTCTTCTTGCCGTTTAAAACGCCATTGAACTCTACATACGACGCGAAAATCCCAGACGTTGCTAAACGTTTCGGTGTGGAAGATGTGTTCGACAGTGTGGAGCAACAAGGAGTAAAGCATTTCTTCGTCGATCATATTTTCTACAAAATTATGGAGAGATGTTTGTTTTCGCAGAGAAGCATCGATCTCTGGATTAATTTAGCGAAAACTGAGCGGTTTTACGACCCGAAATCGGAAATCACGGATGATCATGCGCCTGCAAAGTATATTCAGTGCAGCTGTGCTGGCCATGCAGAATGTCCAACGGAGGAACAGACGCATCTCTTTATCGAGTTCTGCAAAAAGTACCACAATGACCGTTCCGATTCATTAATCGGTACGTTTTTTTAAAGATTTGGAAGTAAATAGTGGCTTAAGTGCGGATGGTAAAGCAGTTGAAATTCGGTTTTCTAAGATTCTTTAAGAATACTTCCATTTGGCTTCGTTTATTTACTCATCGCTTAATTGTATTTGCTCGGCTCAGAAATTATCATGTCAATGTCGTAATTGCATTTTTTTTCTAGCTGTGCACTGCACTCATGGATTCAATCGGACTGGTTTCCTGATCTGCGCATATTTGGTGGAAGTCTGTGATTATAGGCGCGTTTGTTTTCGTTGGAGTGTTGGACAGGTCGTTCATAATGTTGTACTTTGCAGTGTTGAGGACGCGATTGAAAAGTTTGCTCAGGCGCGTCCTCCAGGCATTTATAAGGAAGACTACCTGCAGACATTATGTCGGCGGTATCACGCCGATCCTGATGATCTCCCCCCCGTTCCAGATCTTCCCAGCTGGTGTTTCGGTATGTGCTTGGAACTTTTTGAACTGATTACTGTCGGGTTTTATTTTCACCTTGTTTGATTTTTGTTCCCTGTTACCACGTTCCCTGTTACCACAGCTTTTGATGAAAACGATTAGCGGAATTTTGCTTCAATTGTTGATTGGTTGTAGCCCACTCTCAACCTTTGGAAAATTAATTGTTGTCTTCCTTGCTTTACTTACATCAGAAAGCTTCGACGATTTTACCTTTTTTTATTCAGAAGAAGAGAGTGAGCAAGTAGATGACGATGGAAATACTGTGGATACAGCAACAGATCCAGATGGGCCATCAAACGGTTCAGTTCAGAGAAGACCCAAAAATGTTAGTACTTGTCAGTGATACTGAATTCGAATAACGAAGTAGAAAACGATTATAATCGTATTGCTGTGCGTGCGTATTCGTTATGTTACATAATGGTATAATGGCTTCTTTTCGACGCAGGTGCCTCAGTTTATGGAAGGGGTGCCCGGAGTCGTTTACCTTCAGGATGTGAATCGATCCAAAGCCGTGCAGCAGAAATGTAAACGATTTTGTGGATGGAATGGGTAGGACTGAATTGGAAAGATTGGTGCGAACCCTGGATGACGACGCTGTTTTTTCCTTTCAGCCCAAATTTCCCAGGATGCCAACCGGTATCCATGGATTTATCCAATAAGCAAATGATCGCAGATCAACCGTACAGGGTCAGCTGGAAGGCGGATGGTGTGAGGTAGGTTGTTTAGAGTGTTTGTAGTATACAGTAGCTGGCGCAGCTGCAAGCAAGCGTCTTTTTTATTAGCTCTGGTTTCAACGAGCTTACCAAATGTGATTGCAGTACACGGTTAAAAAACCAAAACAATCGCAAAATATGCCGGTGTTTTTCTTGCTTGGTCTTGCGGTTTGTGCCGATTGTGTTTAGGCAGATTATGCTTTTAGAATAGACGAGAATGAATTAATAGATTTAAAGAGGCAACGCTATGTGCGTGATGTGCACCATACCGGATCACGAAAAATTAGAGGAAATATTTTACTGTAGCCTACTTTTAAGTGTTGTTGCTTGTGTTGTTTGTTTTTGTATTCTTATGAAGCCTTTCTTACGCCAGTGTATTGATTTGATGAACCATTCATTATACAGTTAGTGTGAGAGTTTTCAAATGACAACTCCAGATATGTTCCAAGCTGATGGCGACCAGCAGCAAAATGTTTCATGTGCAATATTAACAGATTTTGGCTTGACATTCTCAAGTATTTGGTTAATTTAGGTACATGTTGCTGATTGAGGGAGAAAACGATGTTTACTTTTTGGACCGGAATAACGACGTCTTTCAAGTGGAAGGAATGAACTTTCCTTACGTTAAAGGGGATGAGCCGTACATGGGCGCTCATGTTTTTGACACCTTGTTGGATGGAGAAATGATTCTGGACAGGGTGGGCCCTGATGAAATGAGGGCTCGATTTTTAGTGTATGACATCGTACACTGGATGGTACGTATTGCGTATTGACCGGTGTTACCGGGTACTCTGGTACGGAAACTACTATAGTAAAAAGATCAGGAAAGCTGAAGAAAATTGAAGAGCAACGTAATATCGATGTACGGTGGCGTGTAAGTACTGGGCAGCGTAGTCCAAGGGATAGCTAGGCCGCGAGCGTTTATAAGTTGGAATCTATAATCTGTTGCTATTGTAGAATGAAGACACCAGGATCATGAATTTCGACACCAGGTGCCAGAGAATCAAGAATGGTGTGATGGAACCGCGTGACCGTTTAACATTGAAGGGTTTATTTAATAAAGCGTTAGAACCCTTTAGCATTCGCCAGAAGGACTTTTATCCCGTTAAAACCAAAGATCAAAACGGCTTCGTTAATATGGCTGCAAAGGTACTGCATATTGGATATTATACCTTGCAAGTTAGCAACGTAAATTTGGAATATTGATATCTCTTTTTTTTAAAGTTTTCTTGCGCCTTTACAGTTCTTGGGAGAGAAATTTCGGAAATTGCTGACGCATGATGTAGATGGGCTCATCTTCCAGCCGTATGACATGGTAAGGTACATAGAATGCCTTGGGTGGGAACCTCTTGTAACTGTCATTGATTACGGTGTTCTTTATCCTGTAGCCATATACTCCGGGCCGATGCGATCGGGTACTAAAATGGAAGCCCCCCTCACAGTGCACAATTGATTTTCGGGTTCGAGTGGAGAAATCGGAGCGCCGAGGGTAGGGTAGTTGTTTGATTATTTATTGTCGCAATGTTTAGTATTGTTTATAGCCTAAAATGCCTAGTATATCGTGCGAGCAAGATTATATCGCGCGCAGTCTGTATATGTCCATTTTTGCCGTTTATCGTTTTTTTTGCGCATGGATGTGTCAGGGTTTTGTTATTTTAAAAATTTGAAATGAACTTTTTTAGAGAGATTGCCAAGACATCTGGTAAGCTGTACGTGGGAGGGCTGGACCATCCATTCGGGGAACTTAAGGTGAGTACCTTAATATTGTATGTGTTACTTCGCTTTACAAAGGACTTCAAAATGGTGTTAACGCATATACACAGCGCTGTTGGCTGTGGGTACTACCCACCCTAGTCCACTGTACTACCCACCCTAGTCCCCTAGTCCACTGTAGTAATTTATCTTGGATTTTAACATACGGTTTTATGGGCTATTTCGTTGTATGTAGTGGAGCAAAGAATACACCCAGTTGAATGGCAAAATTATTGAATGCCGCTATGATTACGGTTCGCGTAAATGGATTTTCGAACGAATTCGCACCGACAAAAATACTCCAAATCATTATACAACTGCAAATGGTATGTGCATGGCATTTGAATAGGAGCATGGAATTGCAGCTTAATGTTGTTATTTATGACCGTAAGAATTTTAATGTAAACAAAGCGCCTAGGCAGTGCGACAGGTTTACTTGCTTTTGGTAGCGGTATTTAAGGGTATCGAGCGTCCGCTGACCCAAGAGATTCTTATGAATTTTATCGTGGAGTCAGTTCCATACTTCGAAGAAGAAGTACAAAGACGAAGAAAGGCAGGTAGCACCAAGGCTCAAACCGAGATGAGGCAACACGAAGGACGGAAACATCGAATGGACAGCGTGGAAGATGAAGCTGGAACTGCCAAACGGATTCGGAATTAATTAAAAATGCTTATGGTTTTAAAATGCATTCATTCTTTGCCTGATCTTTGCGTTTTCACTGGGAGGGAGGCTTACGCGAACGATTACGAATAGTCGAATACTTACTTGCTTGACACGCCGGCTGCGATCAACGCACCGACATATTGTTGATCAATGCCGGTATGACGGTAATTTACCGGCTTTGAATCTGTAGATATATGAAAGAAATGAAAAGGCTTTGGTTTCTACAGTCGAAAAATTGCTGCCTTTGGGTAGAAGAAATTGTCAGGGCTCACTGGAGTTTCAAACATCGTTTTTAATTGTACACCTCGAATTGATGCTGCTAGAGGCAGTAAGTGGACAACCGAAGGTGGCAAATCGGCAGTTTATACATATTTTTCGATGAGTCACCTTTCACCAGATTATCAAAAACGCTACGTAAATGCTAACCCACGAAAAGGATGCGCTGTTAAATTTTCTGCTTCGGTTCCCTTAGTCGTTGTATGCTTGATATAATTATGTGATGTCAAGCATCGCGTCATATTTGTTTTTGATAAGGCCCAAGTGTCAAGAAAGGACAAAATCTAGACTATAGACTAGATAAACTATGGCAGTCCAAACTGTTGGTACGATACAACGATCACAAAAAGCGCTGCTACATCGTCAATCAGCATCAGGGGCGTGTAGGGCAACACGAACGAGAACGGCATGCTAACTTGTAAGTTGGTATAACAAGCCTTGAGTCCTTGACCATAAAGATGACGACAACCACAGCGTGTGTTTATATGATTCCGCTTGGTACTTATAATCTTCTGAACGCTTATTATTATTACGATGAGATCGAACAGAACTGTGAGGAATGTAGAAACGCGGAGAAATTAGAAATGAAACTAACAGAAGATCTTATCAATAAACCGAAACACCGGAAACAGTGAACCGAAACACCGGAAACAGTAAACCGGAAGACTTGAAAAGGCGTACGTACGTACACTGTAATACACTGTGAATACAGTGTGTAATAGTGTATTAGTAAATCTTGCGTCAAGTTCTTATTTATTTCCTATAACGAAAACACGAAACACGTTCTTATTAAATTTAACTTCTTATAACGAAAACACTTCGCCGGTGTCTCGCTTAAAGCGAAGCCTTTTCCGAGTCTCACCTCTACCAGGGCGGTAGGAACATGAAGTGCGAATTAAAATAACTTCAATAAGTTATGATTTCCCAGTTCCGCTAACGAGCTCGTTCGGCAATTTTAGTTTTGCAAGTTCACAGCTTTGCACCGTAAAAGCGTTTTTCTTTGCGGGATTGGGTAGCCTCATAAAACAGCAATATACCGCAACGGCTAACGCGCCAGGTTCACCTAGCTCAATGATCGGAAGAATGGATAACCCGGTGGTCCCCGTAAAATCAACGACAACCTGGGCTACCATCCACCGATCAATGCAGCTATGGGCTTTGAGTCTTTAACTGACTTTCGAGTCTTCAGAGATCACATCAATTGTCGAAGTCATCTCAATATTTCCGGGGAACGTTCCGACTTCCGACCCTCTCCCAAGAAGAGTACTTATGCACTTCGAGTGTGGATGGCTGATGGTTGACACAGCTGACAATGAGCATATGCTGAGGTCTGTGGACTCGTATAGTATGCATGCGAATAATGCACCATACTAGCTAGATGTCAGCAACTGAATGCAACCATAAAAATACTACATGATTTTCCACCTCATCATGAAATTTGAGTTATCATCTATTCTTTCATAAACGCAGTAAGTGTGGCAAAATTATGACTTACCCAAACGTAAACATGGCTCGATCTTCGAAATGACAAAATTATAAATGATCACAAATCTGCGAAACAAAGGTTTCCGGTATCCGCGCTATGTGCAGATAGATCCTTGGTTTTTCTTTGAATGGACAGTCGTTCACCTGTGGTGGGTTGCCTCTGTCGCACGCTGCGACAGTGCATACCGCCCCAGTTGTTCTTAAATGGCTTAAAAAATCTGAGTGACGTCAATAGGCGAGTATGAAGTATAAACTTTCCGCCAAAGCGTCATCACTACGTGACACAACAACAAACGATGCAGGTTATTAATTTTTTTGAACCGCTGGTTTTCGTTATTTTTGCAGTTTTAATTAAGTGCGGCTTCAGTAAGTACTAAGTACTTGCAAATGTAAATGTCCTTTATATAATAATTTATCATCATGTTATTTTAAGTATTCTGTGTGGTCATTTGGTTTCCGAGTCCGTTGTTGTGATCAGAGAGATCATGAAATGTAAGTCGCAAAGAGGCAAACCATTCGTACAGTTTGTTTTGTTCAGCAAAGCTAATACTAGAGGTGAATGCCACGTAGTAAATATTGTGGAATTTCGCTAGTTTTTGCAATTATACTGGTTTTTATTATCTTCTTTACCCCGGGAACTAACTGAAATGTAGTCTGGTAGGTTCATTTGGATATCTTCTGGTTTCTGCCGCTCGTAATGCTAATAGGTGATCTCATCAGAATCACAGAATGCTTTCAATGCTTATTACAGTACTTATAATATGACTTTAATCTACGATATACTGTATTTGATAAATCATGATTATTGTGGGCTCATCGTTCGCGGCTGTTTTTGATAGGTCGGTGAATGCCAGACATCACTATCATTGTCTTTTGAAACAAAAACTCCTTCGTTGGCCTGATGCGGATAACACTCCGCTCGTGGAAATCCATTTTGCGCAGCACTGAACTTGGAAAAATGTCTTCTCCGGGTGGAGAATCTTTGCCGCGAAAATACTTCGTTGTTACTCTCGTTGTATCCGCTTATTGGTGAGCACTTTCGAAATATTTCTTTTAGCAAAATTGATAATTATCCGGACGATTAATCATCTCACAGTCCTATTTTTCGGCAGTGAGACGAAATGAAAACACTTGCCTAATTTGTCTGTCCTGCAGAACGACCATCATCTTGTATTCCCGTGGACAATTTGTTTTTGCTTTACAGGTTTATTTCCATTACACTGGTATTTGTGAACAAATACCTCCTAAGTGGCACCGATGTTAAGGTAAAATTTACAGTTAGTTACTGTTGGTGGACTGGTTTTGTACCAGAGATCGAATAGTGTACTCTTGTCAACAGTGGTGTTAGTTTGCTTGTTAGAGACATTTGGAACAATTGTTTCCTTATATGTAAATCTCTAACCTATAATTACCTTGTGTGCAAAATTTTGAAGAACTTCTTCGCATTAGAATATTTTAAAGTAATACATACCTTTGAAAATGTTGGGACATGCGGAAATGAAATATTCTAACGCCTTTGATATCGCCGGAAAATTGAAAATTCCAAATGAAACCGGCAACAGTCTTTATTGGCTTTTGTTTGTGCTTTTTATCTGCCTGTTCTTTTAATGTTACTTGCAATAATATTACCAGTTGTTTATTGAATTTTCAGTTGAATGCACCATTTTTCATCACTTGGTTTCAATGCGTCGTCACCGTCATTCTACTTTTTCTGCTGCACGGATTGTCCAGACTTTTCCCTTCCGTCTTCACATTCCCGTCGATGCATATTGACAAAAAAGTTTCGCGCGAAGTAAGTGTGTTCAAAAGAAGCCCTACTGCACCGGTTACCGGTATTTGAACCAAATTCTAATCGATCTTACGTTTACTGTTCGTTACAGTGCTACTTCTTTCCAGATTCTTCCCCTATCTATTGTATTTGTTTTGATGATATCCTTCAACAATCTCTGCCTGCAGTATGTGGGGGTTCCATTTTACTATATCGGTCGATCTTTAACAACAGTTTTCAACGTGGTAAGTAATTCAGTCTTGAAGTTTATGTAGAAACCGTGGAAATTGCCAATCGTAAAAGGACAGACCGATCATATGTACCGTACAAATACGCACGAGCCAATATTTAGTGTCTCTTTATTGTACATGAGCCTGCTTTAGCAGTGTTCGATTTGATTTTGTTTAAATTCAGAAGACATCTGAGAGTTCTAGTTTGAATTTGAATCTGTGCTCGTAGCCGTAGGGTTGATTTTTTTTGCGGAAACTAAAACCGACATAATACGGTACCTACTACGACCTCATTTAAACTACTTTAAGAAATTCATAATACGTAAAATTCTGCATATTTCTAATTAAGTAATACTTCCGCCAACTGATTACAAACTTACTTTGTTTTTACCTGTATGGGCGGTACTCGCTTTCTTGTTCTGTTTACTGCTTATGCACGTATCCGCTTTCGTTTAATCATTATATTTTTCTAGCTCATGTCTTACGTCATCTTGCGGGAAACTACGTCACTGCGCGCAATCATCTGTTGTGGAATTATCATTTTTGGGTTTCTTCTGGGCGTACAACAGGAAGATGTTTCAGGATCTCTGTCAATAGCTGGGGTGGTTTTCGGTGTTTTGGCCAGCCTTTTCACCTCGCTGAATGCAATTTACACGAAAAAGGTGTTACCCGCTGTGGAGCAGAACATATGGAGACTCACGCTTTACAACAATTTCAATGCTTTGATTTTATTTCTTCCTCTGATTATTTTTACCGGAGAAGTCAACAGACTGATTTCTTTTCCAAAACTGAATGATTCAGTATTTTGGGGAGCTATGCTGGTTGGTGGGTTGTTTGGCTTCCTAATAGGATACGTGACTGGACTGCAGATACAGGTATGTTATAAAGTACAAATTATGACAATTTTAATCAGTAAATGTATTAAATATTAAGGTCAATAATTACCATGGGTTGGAAATGCCTGTTGCTTTCGTTCAAATGATGTATTTTTAATGAAGCGGGCGAGGGCTTTTAATATAAAAATGCCTGTTATGTGTTTTCAGGTTACATCGCCGCTGACGCACAATATCAGTGGAACCGCCAAAGCGGCTGCACAGACGGTGGTGGCTGTGATGTGGTATCACGAAATTAAAACAGCCTTATGGTGGATTAGTAATGCCGTGGTTCTCATTGGATCTGCATTGTATACTTGGGTTCGCGGTAAAGAGATGAAAGAGCAACATAACCGTGCCAGTGGTCACCAGTATCAGCAGCTGCAAACCAAGGAAAAGGATCCTGAAGATGACGTGGAAATGGGACCGAAAGCTTAACCAGCGGTGGCTTTCAAGGAATTTTGTTCGGATGCTTTTCAGCTTGTGGTAGTAGAGCTGTTGTTTAGTTAATTAAGTTTAATTGTCGTTGGAGTATTAGTTGACGTTCCCGGGCGAAAATTTTGTTGTGCGACATGTGTCCCTGCTCACACAACCGATTCCGTTGAGTGGAGGGCCGAAGCTTGGAGTTAAAAGTTGTATACGAGTACTTAACAACAATTTCCGGATACACCATAGTGGAAACCTGCGTACACTACAGCTAGTCTTCTGCTTTATTGTGAGGTTGGAGACATTTTAATATTAGTCTTGAATGTTGGCGATAGTGTTTTATCGGTAAGCTGAAGTGTAACAGCTGGAAAAAGTCGATAAGTGATAAAGAAACAAAGAGGTCGCAAATTAACTGCTGTCAGCTTACGTTAATCTATACATTAAAATTTATTTACCTGCGCAATTATCATTGCATACTACAGTAGTGAGTGAGACTAGTAAGTACATAGATACTGGCACTGCTGAAGTGACAACTAGTACGAGTATGTGCTCTATTCAGATTTAGTGGTAATAATCACGACATAAATTACACCAGAATAATATACCTATTCATTTACGTTTATGGGCTGTTACTTTTTGCAGCTCATATGGCAGCGCGTTTTGTTCTTCATAGCTTTTTGAGTATTAACTATGAAGTAGCATTTAGCTTATTTGGACACGATTTATGGGGAAATGTAGGACGAACTACTGGCAAATACATCAGATTATGGGAAACAGCTACTACAAATAGTCGGTTAGGACTCAGGAGACTAGGGACTAATGAATACCAACAAAGTAGCAGTCAAAATACTCGCACACACGGCTGCATCATGATTCAATTACTTAACCACCAGTCGCTCAATGGAAATATGAATAAACAGCGCGAGGAAAATTGTGCAACGCAAAACGGTTAGAATACGCAATTTTTGAACAAAATGGCGACCGGTCGGAAAAAAACGCTACTGAACCACCATAATATTAAAGTGCGCGCGCAATTCGCTGCTTGAGGAAAAAATAAGGATCCAACCAACAGCATCAAAAGAAAAAAACTAATCCAACACGCCAGGCGCAGCAGTGCCACCTTAACGCTCCACCACTTATCCCGAAAAGCGCCTTCTTATCTCGCCCGACCAGCAAAATCAAATGTTGTAAATAATTAAACGAACATAACACGCGCAGCAATGTGAGAGAGAGATATTTTAAAAAACACAACTTCTTTTTGTTCAATGGTATGCTTGAAAGGGGTAGGTGCTTGGCCCAGGTGAACCCTTTAAATACGTTCCCAGACGTTGCCACCATCCAACAAAGCTCACTCACTGATCTGCTTGGTCTGCCTCTCCCTCACCCTCCCCTTGGGTGTCTGATGTCCACAACTACAAACAAAACAGCGAGATGAGAAACAATAAATATTTACACAGTTTTGTTAGATAACGCACCGTAAGGTTGTCCCGTAAAAGCTGCATTATAAGGGTGCTGTCCTTATACGAATCCTCATTGAGTGTGTCCAGCTCCGCAATGGCATCATCAAAAGCCTAATAAAGAAGAATCATGTTACAACTTCCCTTAATACGTAAACAATATAACAACATGACAAGCAGTTAGGCAACTCCACAAAGCGGTGGACTGTCCATTTGGCCTGCTCCTTTAACCGGGAGCGTACTGGATCAACGAGGATTACCTGCTTGGCTAGGTGACAGGCACGGTCTGGTGAATTCAGTATTTCATAATAAAATACTGAGAAATTCAAGGCCAGACCCAGGCGGATAGGATGCGTGGGCTGCATCTCACTCTTGGCAATGTCGAACGCGTCTTGGTAGGCCTTCTGGGAGGTTTCTACGATGGCTACGGGGGGCAGGCACAAACACAAGACACACGGTTAGTTAATTCAGTACTAATCCTATTTTTATTACCTGCTTGGCTAAATGGCAGGCTTTGTCGGGTGCATTGAGAATTTCGTAATAGAACACGGAAAAATTTAGAGCCAGTCCTAAGCGTATGGGATGTGTTGGCTGCATTTTGCTCTTGCTGATCTCAAACGCATCCTGGTAGGCTTTTTGAGAATTATCTATCACACCTGTCAGCGAGTGGTCAGCTTTCATTAAAATTATATACAATGCGTAAAAAAGAGCCGCACACTCAAACCGCTCACAACGGAGTAATTATCCATTTACGACGATCTGATAAAATCACTGGCTAGTGGGGTCGAAGTTAGAAAGCGGGAATTAAAAAAGCCGAACTTTTTCAATATCAGATCGGAAAATCTCCCGTTCAAGGTTTCCACCCAAGCTCGTGCACCTTAATGACAAGCTGACACATTTTGCCAAGCCATTAATACCAGCTATAGCTGATCTCACAATACAAAACTTCTAAAGCGGAGGCAATTAGGAAGCGAAGGAAACCCTTAGCATGCTACCCTACGTCTGTATTGCATGTCCCTCATTTCCATGTTGATCGCATGCTTAGCTGATCCCTGTGTGCTAGAAAGAAAACCCTTTCATCCCATTTCCTTGCTTCACATGCAAGTCACAAACCAATCGATACACCCGAACAATTTCTAGGACCGTTAATGTCAGGGGGATGAAACGGTTCACATACACACAGCACTCCGTTCGGTTGCACTTAGTTTACGCTTATGAGAGACCTGACACTGAACACTTTTCGTACCCGGCAACATTATAACAGGAATAATGTTGCTCAGCAAAGTCCCGCGTTCACAATCACTACCCAATGCCTCTGCCACATATATGGGAACGGATACGTCATACGCTGTGTGTACAACACATAAAATCACAAACAATCACATACTGTTTCGATTATCGCCGATGGCCACCTCTGCAAGGTATCTGTAGTAATCACCCTTCATTTTCAGGTAAAAAACTTTGCTTTCGGGATTGGAGGCCTTGGGGATGAGGTATTTGTCGAGCAAACCCTGCAAAAAAGTTATCAAAAACTACGAAGATATTCGTTAACATCTCAAAGCAAAGTACAGATATTAATATTATGATTGTCCAAGGCAACCAATCTTTTTGGCACTGAACACAATAAATACCCGGATTTCTTTTGTATCACCTTATTAATAAAACGCCATGTGATTTTTTAAAAGACCAGTCGACTCAAACGAAAGTGCAAAACAGTGCCAACTTTCATACAGTCAGTGTAATATTAAACATCATCACGAAAGAAACCTCGTACTCTTCTTTTATATCTCGCAGGACTACAGTTCGGTCCTTGCGTCTCTGCATACTCATTACCCATACTCAAGTGATCCTACCAGGAACAATCTTTTAACCTTCAAAACTCGTATACCAGTCCGCGCACTGGAAACCAGCTATTTTTTATAATTCCTACCATACAACGATCAGACACAAATTAAAATAACGCATAATATATTTATAACAGAATCGGTCTAATTATTAAAATCAATCACGTACGAAACGTAAGTTATGAACATACATATATATATATCAATAATAATAATTATTCTATTTCGAGGAAATACCGTACTTTGAAACAATAACTCTGCAATATCTCAAACATTGTGAAAATCCTCTTCCTTAATTACGACCTGCTGTTCATTGGTCTTCGCTTATATAGATTTTTTCTTGAAAGCTGGCGCAAATTCAACATCTTGCACTTTTATGTTGCTACGTAGCGCGTAAAAAGGATGAAATATCCACTCAAATGGCTTGGTGGAGCCAAATCACATTAAGCAGTAGCGATGTTATGACCCTTTCCCAAACCGGATAAAATATATAGCTTTCCAAGAGGATATGACTGCTTCGGTAGTAAGTATCTTACAGAGCGCGCTGCTGTCTGACACGGCTAACACGAACCCGGCACCCAAGTGGAAATCCTTATCAACCCGTCACGATACACTGCCAACCTGCGATTACTCATTAACCCGATCGATAGTATCCTACGCCAATCGTGACATCAGCAACGCTCTACATTGATCCGTAAGAGTTCACACCGAAATTGGGATCCGAATACTGCTCCAAGGCGAAAGTATCCAAAGTCTCAATTTCACACATTCCCACCCGAAATAAATGAAAACGGATTTTCTTTCTACGAATCTGCCATGTCGTATATTTCATAGTCATTTCACAACACATGACTTGTTTACCGAAACTTGTTTATGCAACAGTGGGAGTTGCTTACGTCAGGTTGCTTAGGCCGCTACAGGGACAACTACCACATCCGCCCTGATCCACTCGAAAGCTTTAAAATGCAACTTTGTACTATACCTACTACGGTCCAACTTACCAGGACATCATTGCAGATTTCGCGGAGTTCCTTCTCCACCTTCTCGCGGTACTCCTTGGCCATCTGCTGTTTCTTCTCGGATCCCTCAGTTTTCTGTTCAATGGAGGAAATGACTCTCCAGGAGGAACGACGGGCACCTACCACATTCTTGTAGGCAACACTCAGGAGATTTCTTTCTTCGTTGCTCAGCTCCACACCGAGCTCCGTTACGTTCTTCATCGCCGATGCCATATCATCGTAGCGCTCAGCCTGTTCGGCCAGCTTTGCACGCTGAACTAATTCGTCCTTTTCCATTGTGAAATGTACAGGGAAATCTGAAGTGTCGCGTTTAAAGGAAGTAGGTCTGCCCGTTGACTGTACGCAGCAGAAGCAGCAAGGTTACCGACCTTCACTGCAGGGATACCGTATACGGGACGAATATACGGGGCCTTTTTAGATGAATTCACCTACCAAACACAAAACTGTTCTTCCTCCGATTAGCACATACTTGGTACCCTAATCGCAGAAGTGATCCTCACACAGACTAGCAAAGAGCCAGTTCAAACACCACGCTGAATAAATCGATAAGACTCTGGCACACTGCGCCGTCTCGGTGTGTCAGTTGATCTACTTCAAGGAGCCAATGAAATATATCAAGTCTTTCTGCGGATACAACGTTCCTGGCCATATCGTACTATAATCTAAGTCTATATTCCCGATTCTCTTACCTTGAGCAACCAGATTATAGGTAAAAAAGCTGATTTCGCTCAAAAAGGAAAAGTACAGTACCTTCCAGCTTCTACAAGGCAGAGCAAAAGAACAAATCTATCAGACGGCAAGTTCCAGAATGACAGGATGCGTTTGCAAAGCTGGCATCACAACGAATGGCAAATGGCTAACGCCTCTAAACAGCAAGTAACTAGCTCTTAGCCTCTTACACTGTGTTCTCCGCGCCCTCTATTGCTAAACTCATATAACGTACGTACAGCACGTTATTTGCTACGCAACGCGTATTTGACACAAAAATCATGAACAAAAAAGCTCTGGTCCGATTCGGTCATCGAATTAAACTGCTTATCTGACATCTCCAACGAGACTCCGCCATCCACAGGATTTGTTGAAAAACAGAAGTTATAAAATTAATGAAGTTATTTTAAAATGCAAGTAATGCAAAAAAGTTTTTTTAAATTAAAACGCTTTAGCGGCTGTTAGATGGGTTTCATGTTTTCTTATGTTGTTCCTGTGTTCTTTGGGTTTTTCTTTTCCGAAATGTTTGGTTTTAAACAGAATGGCTTCCGAAATGATAGTGCTCTTTGCTTAGCAAAAGCTACTTACATTAACCGATATGCCTACATGTGGCACGTTTTGTTTTGCCCTTACATCGGTAAATTTCTGTGCCAACTAACCTTACGCAACTCAACGCAATAAAGCAGCTTACGTGACCAGTTGCCCTTGCCGATTCGGTATCAATTTTTAAATTTAACTTGAAATTTTTCTGCATTACTTTTTTGCATCTTGACTCGGATTTTACAGAAAAATCCTGACCGGAGAATGGAAAGCTGTCGCTAAGAGCAAAACAAGCCAATCCACATCGAGATTTTTGCCGAGGCGTTTTCATGTGTCAAAACATGAGCCCGCGCGACTGCCTGGCTAGTATACACGCGCTCCATCTTCGGTTTTTTTAGGCTTGGCCATTCGTTCCTTACCGCCATATGGCTCTCTGCCTCGTAAATGCGCGCCGAGCACCTGATTATTCAGGGGCACTTACCCCAAGAAACTTTTAACAAAATTAAACCAATTACCAATGCAGTATTCTTGTTCAGGGTCTTACGGACCTTACGGTTATCATACCATTTTCCCGGTAGATTTGGCCAATTTTATATACTGCCGCTTACAGTCTTCCTTACATATTTTAATTTATCAGCAAATTTTTTCAAACAAAATCAGAAGTTTTTTTAAAATCTCGGCAGAGTAATCGCTTAACCAGTCAGTTTTAACGCACAGAGCATGGTCACTTCGTCCAGGATTATTAAAGTGTCTTTACAGTGATGCTAAGGAGTATTCGATAAAGCGGTGCACGGTTTCAGCTTTCCAGTTGGTGCTTGCAGCTGGAGCTGGTAAATTTCAGCCATCTGGGCTTTCAGTCGAAGTACCGTTACGCTTGGAACGCAAGACGGTCCGGACATACCTAAGACTGTACCAGCCTACGGAGGCCTTGGAACCGCTGTTTAAAGATGCCGAAGTCGAAGAGAAATCGTGAAGGTACGGTCTGTACAGTACAGCTGTGAAAATCGTAACGTTTTTAACTTTGAGCACTTTTAAATTTGGAAAGACATATGTTCTTTGTTTTAAGTACATTACCAACTATTTTGCCTTTGCAGTTCCGTTGACGAAAACTAAATCAAAAGGGAAGGAGGAAAAAAGTTCGTTGATCAGTGAGGTACGTCCGCACGAATAATTAGATGCACGCATTTCACCAGTCTAAATTTTGGCTGGCAGTCCTCCCCGGGGCAGCTGTGACACAGCTCAGAGGTCCCTCTCTGGTTATAATTAATTTTAATTACTGTACTGTATTTAGAAGTCTGCTTTTATTTCTCTTTATCGCGTGAACGGCAGTTTTCAAGGTGTCGCATCATTTCGTGGTGTTTTCAAAGCGGCGCCATTTGCCGGCTGTAATCAATGACTTTTTTTACCTTTAGGTGCGGCGCAGCATTGAAGATTTCAAGTATATATACGTGTTTGAGATCCGAAATCCGAGAAATAATCTCATAAAAGATGTTCGCGAAGATTGGAAGGATAGCAAGTAATTATAGTTATTGATCAGACGTCAACTGTTGTGTGCGAATACAGTGTAAACGGTGTTTCCAAGTTCCGAATTGATGATAGAAGTACAGGTCAACTACAGATTGGAAACAATCTGCCGCTAGTGTCGTGGGATGTGTTAGCGCGTGCTTAGTTATTTTTTTCTAGGTTTTTCATGGGAAAGAATAACCTTTTGCAAATCGCTCTGGGTCGTGATGTTGCGGATGAGCAGGCTCCCGGTTTGGCCAAACTGTCGGCACAGCTACAAGGACAGCGCGGACTCCTTTTGACTAGTCGACGGAAAGACGAGACGTTGGCGTAAGTTTCGACGAATCGACTTTGAATATTTTGGTATGCTCTAGAATACACACATAGTTGTTGGATATACTTTACAGATTCTTTCGTTCTCATAAAATTAAAGAATATGCCAGATCGGGCTTTCGCGCCACAGAAACGGTTGTCCTGGACGCAGGGCCTCAGAAGCAGTTCTCCCATGCTATCGAGCCGCATCTTCGCCAACTGGGACTTCCGACAGTTCTGGATAAAGGAGTGGTTACTCTGAGTAAAGATTTTACTGTGTGCACGGAAGGGGACATTTTAACTCCAGAACAGTGCAAAATTCTGGTAAGTGCATGCATGCATACGGTATCCGCTTTTAATATTATTCTGTAGCTGCCGCAAAATTACTGTGCATCTGCGCTGCAGTCGGCATATTACAGTACATAGTTGCAGTCGCTAGTAATTATTGCACTCTGTGTTCTAGATCTTTTTTGGTTTGGCGTACATTTAATAATTGGCATACATTTCTGTATTTTTAGAAACTGTTCGAGCTTCCTATGGCCAGTTTCGGCTTCCGGTTACAGTATCTCTGGACGAAGAAAACTGGGAAACTTAAAAAGCTGAGCGCTAGAGAGGTTAAAAAATCTGATGATACCGATGATAAAATGGGTGATGAGTGAACAGTTGCGCTTTTAAATTTTGTATTGCACAATCTGCAATTATGTTCCGACTTAAAATTGTACGCTTTATTTTTTGAGTTGCACTACATTGTCTCATAACGATGTACCAGCAGATCCAGCACTAACGTGAGTCCCTTTCTTCCAGTTTTATCGGAATACAGCTGTGAAACTCGAAGCAGTACTTACATTTGCCATTTCTGGTGTTTTCTACCTTTAACTGCCTAAGCGTTTTAGTCTTAATTGTAGCAAAATGCTGTAGATGCTTAACTTCTGCTTCGGTACAGGTGCATGGTACAGAACTGCAAAAGCACGCCCGTGTATTTGGACAAAACAGACGGGAAAAAAAGGCTTCTTTTTTAAAAGAATGAACTGGCATGGGCCATCATATATTGGACGAAAAACTAGGGTTTCACTTATAAACGCTTTTGTGCTACAAATATGATGTGTTTAAGAATCACAAGGAATCACGTTGACGGTTTGGACATCTTGGGAAAATGATACTGGGTTTGCTTGGGCATCGAATTTGAGATCGGTTATGCATCCTCGAAACGACTGGGTGAAATAATTCATGGTTTCCTCCATAATTTTTAATCCATACGGAAAAGAGCCTAAAGAGATGTTAACTCTTATAAAAGTTCTGCTACAATGCGTGTGTATTAGAAGAACGTAGTAGTAAATCTAATGGAAAAATGTATGTACCAATATAAAACACTCCATCTGTTTCCAAATCCGCATAAATGCCAGGGCTAATCCCAATCACAGATGTTTCCAGATCCACAATAACTTGAATTTTCTGGGCAACTCTGAAAATTATCAATATTAACAATCTTTGAACTCGTTATCAGCTGTTTTGGTGATGTTCTGTACTCTTTGTGATTAATTAATTTATTAGTTATCCGTACGCGTTGTGATTAATTAATTTATTAGTTATCCTTATTGCTTCACAAGTCACAATTGTAAATAAATACTTATCCACACACTCATTATTTAAATGTTATGTAGCAAAAAATATGATTCTTCGAAATGTACGGAGTACCTAGCAGACCTGGGCAATTTTTTTAACTAATTAATTTAACGCGAGTTTTTCGAGTGACTGAATTTTTAACGCAACTTGGAAGCCTACCTTGTCAACCTAAAAGCACAATTCTAACGCACCTCATAAAAATTTTATACTACAGTATATATATATATATATTGTCTATATAGCGTAACTCTCAGTTTAAGTCAAACTCGATTTTCTCACATGAATAGCTAGCGACTTAAAGCGTAACTCGTAAATAGTTAAGAATATCTCCCCAGGTCTGCTACATAGCATGCAAAATATAATTTTTCAAAAGGTTACGCGTACGCTTGTTTTTTGCAGAATCGACCGCGCTAATTTCTAATACGCCCACTTACTCACTGTTACAAGGACCAGACCAATTTTTCCGTTTTGGACATAGTTACAAAACGTTAAATTTTTAAAGGAGTAAGTTGTTACAGAACTATATATGACCTGAAAATAATAACTTCATGCCACAGTCCATCATCTATTCGGCGAAATTGCGGTGATGTCAAAGTTCCTCTGGAGTTCCAACCCAGATTCCATACGACGGTTATGTAACCGCCGGCTATCCCGACCCCCAGGTAATCTGAATGTAGAGTGCGAACCTAAATTAAGACTCAAGTTATCAAGCAAATGTAAACATCAATACATTTTTCTACACCGCAAAAGTGTTCTGCTGTTTTTCAAAGCCATTAAAATGAACAGTAGCTAGCTAACTACCACTAACGGCGTAATGTTCTTAGCTTGTGTTGTATTATGTCATATTTTACTTTTCCAGTCCAGAGTATAAGACCATCTTCACGTGTAGTGCGGAAACGAAATGAGATGAAAGTGACGGATTTGTTGGAATTAAAATACGAAGGGACCAGGGACAAATACGCGCCTTTGTCAAAGAAGCCGCTGTGATCCAGAGTGACATCTAACAAGTGAAATAGAATCATTAAAACATGCAGGATTGCAGACGCACATAAAAGCACAGTTACAGTATAAAATGCAAAAGCTGGTTTACTTAAGCACTGCCGAATTTTCCTAAGAGAATTACCACCAGCGTCTTCGCCTTACATTTATCGTCTTTCGACTAAAAATATTTCGATTTATGGAAAGATCAACAATACTCGTAGTAGTTGTAGTTCAAGACTTTACACTTTACTTTTTGTACAACTGGAATACGACGACATAGTTGCCGTTGACGAAGGGCAGGGGCAGAACGTGATGTTGTCGATATATTGTAATTGGTGATCTTCTGTGCAGCTAGTGGGATACTGACAGTTCTCCCCAAAATACTCCTATGCAATAAAATGCAAATTAAATACTAGATGGGTAGTAACATAATACTACTTTCGTAAAACAAAATCAGTAGCGTGATTGCATGAATATTGTAAAAGTGCAATCACGCTATTTATTTTGTTCTGGTTAATTTTCATATGCGATGGATTGCCGCTCGATCAGCCGCCAGTTTAATTTACCAACAATAATCACGGTAGCTCACTTACTCGTGGACATTCGCATCTGTATCCAAATAGAGATGCTGTCATACCATTGGTGTTTGCAGTATTGTGTGTCGTATTCAGCATTATATCTTCGCATAAACCGCCGTTATCACATGACTGATATCCGCAACTGGTTCCATCACAATCGTTCACATTTAAACCTTCTTCCGGTTCCACGCTGTCCAGATGTAGTCGCTTACCATTAAGCACTAGCTCCCTAATACAACCGTCGAAGGATTGTGGCAAACCGTACACTGCCGACGCCCCTATGGCGGACAAGTTTGGTACGCCCCCAATATAAATCCCGGTAAAAGTATCCAAAAGTTTTTGGGTTTGATTGGTCAAATCAGTGGTTATTGTGTTGTTGTTGACCGTTAACCAGGCCAAGCTGCTGTTTCGTCCGAAGGATAGAAATGCCCAGATTCCTGACAGAGCAAAAAGAGCAGGGAAATGAGTCCAATATGAAGTGACCTTTCGAGTGCTTACTTTATAAGTGCATGTTGAACAGTATATTTTGTTTGTAAAATCTTGTAAACAGCATTTGAAAATAAACCCGATCCGATAAACGAGAGCCTTTAATTATAAAGCCATAAAAATTCACCTTCGCTGTTTTTCACGGTGACGTTTGCAATCAAGGCTTTGGCAAAAGATGTCCCAACGTTGAAACGAAAATTCACCGTCCAGTTGACGAGAAATGCCGACAGAAATTCTACTGTTCGTCGAGTCGGATATTCGGCCACATAGAACAGCAGACCATCTGGTCCATTCGGCATTACCTGCATTTCTATTGACGACGATTCTTGCAGAGTCGGTATGGCACCAAATTTTAGAAAAGAATTTTCTCCGTTAAATGTGGCGTCGGATATTCTACTGACTGCAATAAAAGACGAGCGAAAAATCAACAATTTAATCAATTGTGCGTCTTTTTATCTCGCACTGATTTTTTTAGAGCGAATTAACACCGTAAGAAATCTGCTGCTATGAATACAGTATTGTGAAAACTGACCCGGAGTTCTAAGTCGATTTTCACGGTAATTGAAAAACTACATGTATACGTAGATTTAGATGTAGCAAAACTATATGTAGATTTCAAAATTAAATGCGAAAGACCGCATTTCACGTGTTTCCATAACCATTACTTTGTTGGCAGTAATTTCCTGACTTTCCAAGTGGACAATCACAGTGGTAACCGGCGCTGGACATATCTGGCACACATGTTGCATCTTGACTACAAAGTGAATTCACGCAAGCGTTGCTGTTCGTCTTCAGCGCCACATTTTCCGATGTCGGGTTATTGCATCTGTTACGATAAAAAATTTATTTCCGTCTACAAAATGTTGTACGTACCGTACTCATATATCGTTTTCGCCTTTCGATCACCCACTTACAGCTTAGGACAAAATGGTCGCATACCCAACATCTCCACATTCAGTACGAATGCAGCGCAGTGCACTGTACGACTGAGTTCAAAATATCCGTTTCGTACAAGTGCACTGCACCACTTGCGTACAGAATGCTGGGTATGGGGCTATGCGACCATTTAGTCCTACATTGTATGTCGTATTGCTGCAATTTGGTAGTTACAAGCAGGTACATAACAATTCATACTTTGTCCTAAACAGGTCCACTAAACTAAATCAAACTTACAAAGGAGGATTGAAAATCGGAGCGCTTTCAGTACAGCGAAACTCGGAAGGAAGTACGTTGCGTCCGTCAAGAAGATTGGAAAAAGAAACGAAATCACCGTCTCTCCTAGTGCGGAACTGCACGGAAGCGATACTCCCTTAAAAACAGATGCATCGCATAGTCTTTCATTTCTACCGCAAAATGGTACACAGTATGTGCTGCAATGCCTATCACAGAAATACCGTTGAATGCATGGAATCCTGAAAGCGGTAAGCCATCCATAATATCGAAACCGCCAACAAAAACTCGTGATGTGCTATCAAAATTGCGGAAGACATAATCAGCCGGAAATGGCTGCGGAGTGTGCACAACTGTTTCTGTGCTGTCTACGCTCAGAAATGTTCCATGTTCGCTATCGAAATATATATGAAAACTATGGTCGGCAACATCGACATCTAGTGTTCCGGAGCCAGGCGTCATCAGCGCACCTTTGAATATACAAAAGGCAAAATCGGTTATTTTGTAGGACGGCGCACTTTGATTTTATTCAACTTTATTCAACGGACCATCTGATTTTCCAGTCAGGACTTCAAGTCCAAATGAGCTTTCGGAGAAAGCACGATAAAAAATGATGTATTCTGATAGCTGATTTAAGACTGAATCATTCAAACTGGCTTCCTAACACTCTGTTATGAACGATTTAAAATCTGAATGCATGAGAAAAGTTATTGCAGATGCTGCCTTTCGTGTTAAAAAAGCATGTACTTTTATATATACTTTATACATTTGTACTCGGTCTGTACCACGCTGTAAATGCTTATATTTACCATGTAGTCGTTTTCCTTACCTCCTCCAAGATTGTAAATTAGAGCAGGTTGGTTGTTGGCGAAACCCAGCATGAGAAAATCGTAGTCGTTGTGTGCCAGATCCGGATAGCCAATTAACAGCAGCAACGATCCATCTAGTGAGCCCAAGTCAGCCGGCACATTCGGGAAGGTGACATTCAAGCGGATCTCCAAATGGTCAGAGGCGTTTTTGATCGGAGCGAAGCTTATATAGGAGGAATAGTTGAGAGCATTGGCAAAAAACCTCTCATCATTTTGCATATCGTATGCTAAAAAAACCATTAATCCATTTTCAGCTCCATACCCACATAACTAACTATTACTGGCCCCAATCTTAGTAAAACCTTTCCAGGTTCAATTACATGTATACATATACATGGTACAGAGATTCGTGTGCAAAGTTTATTGGCTGTTTCATAGTTGTCTAAACGAAGAGGCAGTAAACACTTGCACCCAGTCTTTGTACCATATATGCCATATTATATAAACAAAATATTATACAGTGTTATATAATTTAAAAATCTGAGGGAACTTTAAAGGCTCCAATTTGCAGCATACTTTTTTCGCAGTACTTTCCGTATCGACCAAGCGGACACACGCATCGGACAGCGTCGCCACCGCTCGGAATGCAAGTACTCCCACCAACGCACGGATTGTACTTGCACACGGACAGCTCGCAAAATTCTCCTGTAAATTCCGGCAAGCAGGAGCACATCCACCCGGAGTACGACCTACGCAAATTTTACACCAAGTTTTATCATTGCGGTAACACTCGTAACATGCTGTGCGGCGTGTACGTAATTATAAGCAAATATGGCAAAAATTTACTGTTTTTATGGTTGCAGTTCGGTACGTCAAAATAAAACAGTGGCTTACTCCAGACAAGTGGCATTATTACGGCAAGGCCGAGACGAGCACGTATCCATTAGTGTTGGCCGAATGTTTCTTCCCTCGAGTGGATCATCGTGGAAGTTTTTTTCATGACCCCCAATCGCAAAATTTGATATAACTCCGGAAAAGTTTGTTGTCCCCATTGCGTAACGTCCACCGACAAAGATGGAGTCTATCTCTGTTATGGCATTTCTTGAATTGCTGTTGTCAATTTGCGCTGTAGAATAGCTTCGAGAGAATGAATTCCGTTCGTTCTTGATAGTAAGAGAACAGGTCGGCAACATTTGGGTTGGAAAAGAATGCCTGCAACTCCGATCCACAGTTGGACAAACGTAACTTGAATAGTGACATGATACTGCGAACGATGATATTCGTTCAGTGTTGCGGTATAATCTTCTTCTACTGTATACGAATAAATACAACACAACACGTGTGCAGTAAGGCCCGGTACTTTTTCCCTGCGTAGGCATATATTTCTTTTGCAACAGCTTTGAGCAGTTTTACTTGCTTTCCATACAAAAATGTGGAACTCACCTAAAGGTCACCGTGGAGAATACTTTCGGTCTCAGAGATGCTGTTAGATTAGCGTCGATGATAAACTTATCGCCACAACCGCCCCGAAAACGTAATAAGTCTGCGGAATCCAGAATCAGTTCAGAAAAGATGTCCGGATGTTGGGAGGAAGAAGCGTGCAGAATAATACTGTTGGCCGACAAATCATTCACATCGGTGATGGCCAAGCGGATGGAAATTTCTAGAGCATCTCCAGAGCTGATTGTCACTCCGGCGTACCGCAGCAGAGACCGCCCAGTAAACGTTGCTCTTGATATAATTATTTCTGTACCAAAACAAAAACGGCTGTTTTACGAAATCTTTCATTAATTACATAATGCACGACTTCTGCGAAAGATTAATTTCTGAAATAATTTGCTATTTTGTGAAATAATTTGTACATGAATTGAATTTTGAATATAAAGCGTCAAATTCTTTATTGTTTAAATAAATGCTTTTATACGGTCCAAACCGTTTTAGCACTCCTTACCAGCGAAATACACAACAGTAATTGTCACTATTTTAAATTAAGTCTAATGACACTTACCGTTTTCGCACACGTTCCCGTAAAATCCTAGCACACAATTACAGCCGAAAACGTTCTCAGGTGTAAGATAACATGTTCCGCCATTGCGACACAAAGTTTTAGGACACATAACAGCTTGAGAAACTGGCATTTGTGCTGGCGGAGATGCCACAGTACTTGGAATTGTTGAAGGATCTGCAGCGTTTGATGTTGATTCCGTTGAAGTACTAGTGATGGTACTAGGAAGTGCATAAGTCATGTTCACCGTATAAGAAGATAAGACTCCAGACTGCAGAGAATACAAGCTATCCAAGGGCGTTATGGAAGACTGCAATATCCCAGCGGTTATTGCAGTTAATATAGGCGATACGGAATAGTACTCTGGAAAGCTCGCACTTGACCCAAATGACCGGAAATAGCTGGCTGGTTCAGAAATCGGCTCGTAATGCTCGGTAATCATCGTTGCATAAAGTGTGGGAAAGGAGTAATTATTATAGGCATCAGTTAAAGAAACTCCATCACTGTGAACTGCAACGCTGTCAAACGAGCTAGACACAAAGTCTGACCCTGATAAGGAAGTATAAACAGGCATTACTGTGGTCTGTGATGGCACAGAAAGCGCAAAAGAAATGGTCGGTGTTGGAGTAAAGAAGTCTGAGGAAACCAACGGAGTCGTTTCTTTGGAACTCGTTACCAGTAATGTCGTATAGAGCAGTTCCGGCAAGATTTCATTGGCGTGAATTATCAGCTCTGATGACGTCAGGCTGGTCACGTACGGGAAAGTGGAAAGGTCAGGCATCATCATAAATATTTTAGTGGGGGAGGAGGGGGTTGTTTGGTCAACTGACTGTACAGGAGTCGGAGAAATGCTGTTTGGTGTGGTTGTTGCTGATGAGACGGTTCGCGTTGTGCTCGGGTTGGTATTTGTGCTAACAAGTGGGATTTCACATCGCCACCCTACGTGCAACACAAAAGAGAACTGTGCATTTACTGCACACGTTTCTGAAAGGTTAATTCTAGCTGATTTAAAATATATAACGTGTTTTCCTTAACTCCGATAAATAAAACTTATGCAAAACGCATGAAACAAACGCATAAAATTCGGTTCCGTGTGAGCTAGATCCAGCAGACACATGACCGAATTTTATACGAGTTATGCAAGGTATGTAACTCTAGAGTTACATACCGGCGTACTGGGAAGGGCATATACACGTGAAATTGGCTATGGCGTCCACACATGTCCCACCATTCAAGCAGGTCGCTTGTGACAAACCGCAATCGTCGATGTGAAATTCGCAATAATAACCACCTTGAAAAATAAAAGTTATCTTTTAAGAAAAGTTTTCGTTCTTGTCTGCCGTAACGTCTTATAGAGGAGTTACGTCAGGCATTTGTAAAAATTTTAAATCATTATTTTTGAACAAGTTGTTATAGTAATGCTATAGCAAAACATTGGTAGACGAACCAAAATCGGGACTGCACAGACATTCATAACCATTTTCCGAAGCTGATGCTGCAGCGCAGAGACCTCCGTTGCGACAAGGCAAGCTGTGGCAAGGATTTTTGGATTTGTCGCAGTTGTTTCCAATCCATTCTGTGAAATTCTGGTTAAGCTTTCCAAAATAATTTTTTAAAACAGGCGGTCAAACAAAAACACGGAGATGTTCTCCAGTATTTATATACGCCAACCTTCTGTACACCGGCATATCGGTCCGGTTTCCGTTTCCACACAAACACCGCCGTTCAAGCAACTGATGGTAGTGCAATTCTTCCCAGTGCAGTTCATGCCCTGCCAGCCCTCTTCACACAAGCAGCTGTAACTATTCTCCAGATTGATGCAATGTCCATGAATGCAGGGCGACTGTTCACAGTGGTCCGTGAGGGTTTCACAATATCGGCCCTGGTAGCCCGCTGGACACTGGCAAATGTATCCGTCATTGTTGATATGACAGCTGGCACCGTGCTGGCATCGATTATTAAAGCACTGATCTAGTTGACTTTCGCAGTTCTTTCCGGTCCACCCAGGAACACACAAGCACTTAAAGTATAAACGCGAATGCAAGTAAACATACATAAATCTGTTTTATGAAAAAATCTGCCGTGCAAGCAGAAATATTACAGTAACATCTTTAATTTGCGCTAAAGATCACTTATAACCACACTCAGCAGCGATACCGTAGCGAAAGTATATCAAACGTTTCCCCAATTTATTTAGCTTATACAAAGCGGTCAAATCTGGTTAGTATACAGTTGAAAAACGCTTAAAAAGCATTATGCAGAACTGGCTTTTATTACATATTTAACATATTTTGTTTAATAGTGTACTAAATATTTTTACTATGTACTAAATAATAATAATAATAATACCCACTAAATATGTACTAATATGTACTAAATATTTTTAGTATGTACTAAATATTTATGTGTTTTGATATGTACTAAATATTTTACTAGTGCCGTTATTTAGAAGCAGGTAAATATGTATTTGCCAGGTAAATCTGTATTTACCTGGTACGAAGCGATATCGTTAACGCATAGCCCGTGATTACTGCAAGACTGGCCAGAACATACGTCTACAGCTTCGTCGCAAAATGTGCCTACAAAATCGAAGTAATTTAGCGCAATTTTTAGGAATCTGATTCTGCATTTATGGCAAACAAATTTGTTATTTAAGTAACATGTGAAGCGATTACCTGTGAAGCCGGCAGCACACTCGCACTTGAATCCACCCGAAACAGTCGTGTCGATTACACAGTTTCCGTTCTGACATGGATTTGATAAATCTGAACCACACAGTGTAGTTTCACACTGTCGACCGACATACGGAAACTCACACCGGCATTCGTATCCATCAAGAGTATCCTTACAGACCTGTCATGATACCATATATAGTTGGTTTAAATTCAGCAGACAAGGAATTATACGAGATTCACGACCATTGTAAAGGCGGTGTGGTCACGTGACATATATAAGCGATCAATAAGGGGTAAATGTTTCTTTTCAAAAAAAGGACTTTGTAAGTTTTTTTTATACATACTAGTGTAATAAAAATTAATATTATTAATTTTTATAATCATAAAAGTAGTAGATTCAGCTTTTTCACTTGACCATTGGTTCTATGTTTCGGCTGTTGTATACCAAATTTGAGTACGTACATATAGATATAAATGGCTACCCAGCGTTTTTACCGACATGTATAGTACAGCGGCTCAATTGTTAACTAATACCCCATCATTGAAACACGGCAAGGAGGCACATTCGTCCACTCTTTTCTCACATCTGCGACCTGTAATAAATTTTTGCCAAACCGAGCATTTTTTCAGCTATCATACGTTATTACTAATAGCAACAGCCCTACAGCTAGTAATTATTAACAATGTTGACATGTGTAGGTCTTATAATTACAGTATGATATTGGTAGTTTACATGTGTAGGTCTTATAATTACACTCTAATATTGGTCGTCTCTTTCTACGCACGTCACAGCTGATAGTCTGATAATTATGAGTGTTTGCAGCATACAGAACCGAATGATATCACGCAAACATATGCAAATGTTTATGCACCACCAAACCGGCGAAATCCCGTACCTGTGAATCCTTTGCTGCAAAAACACCGAAAGCCGTTGGCATCGTCTGGTTGACAAGTCGCATTGTGCAGACATGTCTCCGGACCACAAGAGTCAATAAGCGTTTCGCAATACACTCCTGTTCAGAAATTAAAGTGGCGTGCATTAACTTCTTAGCTAATAAGTATTTAAACATTTGAATTGAATCTGTTCACCGAAACTGTTATTTTGTCATTGCCGACAAAAGAAGCGAATTATGACAAATTACCGGCAAATAATGGTGGACATAAACATCTGAAACCGGTATGTGGAAATGCGTTAACACAACTGGCGTTGTTTCGGCATGGTCGTAAAACACATTCGTTGACCGGATAGTCGCAGTGAATTCCTGAATATCCGCGTCCACAGTAGCACCGATAATCGGTGCTGTTGATCTGTTTGCACTGACCATGCACACATACGGCAGGCTCACCGGGTTGCGAACACTCTCCCTTTTGCAGGAAACAGGTATCGCTGACTGCAAAATGCTGGTATGAGCAAGAACTATCACTCTCGGTAGATCTGGACGCTACAAATAAGCTCTGGAGAGCCAATGCGCAAAGGTAAACAGCAGCAACAGTAAAATGTTTCATTTCATCACCGCCGTAGGACCATGCGGAAATCACGAGGCCATTACGGACTTCGATTCTCCAAATAACCGTTAACCGGAAACCGACATGGAACTGCGCTTTCTTTTACAAATTCAACGTCATATATACTGTCTGAATGTGGCTCGATGCCATGCGCCATTTCCACACAACGAAAGTGTAAAACAACTCTTCTTAGTTCAGCGGATGTCAAAAAGCACGTAAAAATGCAAGATTGTATCAACCTTGCAACACAATATATATATACCCAATTTCAGCTTTAACTGATTGCACAAAAAATGTCAATACGATTAACATAATAATTATGAAAATGAATAATTCCTTAAATCTTTCTACCATGCACGTACGGAATGTATTATTAAATATATGCTGCACAATAGCGTATTGTGTATGTAACTAAAATTATGATTATAATAAAATTATATTATTCCGCATAAAGTACCACTGAAAATCCATAGTAAAACATTGTAACGAAATCTAGCACACCAGACAAGGTACCGAAAACGAACCAAGAAATTTAGAGGCTATATGCAGAATGCGCAACCGGAATAAATCGATGATAAGACTGGTTTACGCAAGAATGCTCAAACGGGAATAAACAAGGTTTCGGTCGACATGTCGCATACGTCCAAGCAGGTAGATTACGGGTGTTTTATATAGTATGTAAGTACACACGGTTTAGTAATGGGTGAATATAATAATACTTAATATTGTTGAGCGCCTGGATCACTCATGGGTTTATGCACACATACTGTCATAGGTCAAAGCGTTTTGCGCAGCTGTTGATCTGGTATCGCTTCCCTTTCCCGAATAAAAGGGAGCAATATACACATCCTTTCGGCTTTCAGTAGTCAGTCCTTAAGGGAAGTACTTACACTGTATAACAAGCATGTACATTTCGGCAGAGTATTAACTGCATTTTTAACAGCATAATTTAACCGTGAGCACTGACCACTTCAAAGCAATCCGAAAAGACATCTGATAACTGCTAATTGTAAGCAATCATCGGTAACATATGTTAGTACCGATATCAGTAATATTTATACGGCGGCAACGAATCTGTCTGATGGGACATTCCACATTTATTGTGCACTGAGAAATTTCATGCAACAGGCTGCATATTATTCCTAGATGAATATAATTCAACATAAAACAAAACCTGTAACAAATCACAACGGCCGTACAATGCCTTTTTCACAACTGTAACCCAAACAAAACAGAGTGCACAAACGCGATTATCGATCTGAAAAATTCCATTGAAAAAGAACAGCAAAATATCCATCTTAGGCCAGTCGCACGTAGTAATCTGATGTAGAAAAATCTCTACCAGAAACTTAAAACAAAAAGATAAGGAGAAGAAAAAGAGAATTAAATCCACAAAGCACACAATACTTTCCTTTGCGCGTGAATAAAAAGAACGCTGAAAAACAGAGAGAAAGAGGAAAAACACGAGTAATACAACATCAACATACTCTAAATCTAGCGCCACAACGAACATACAAAACAAACGGTTTGTGCAAACGCACATTACACTTGGGCTTGCATAATACAGGACAAAGGACAGGAATCGCACCGACTCCGAAAAGCAACGCGTACTACGCTGCGCCGGTGCATCCCATCACTTTCATCCCATACGACATATTATTTTCACGCTATTCATCAAATAACCCACCCATGATTTGGAGAAAAACTCTGGTTTGGTTGAGAGGATCACGGTTAAACCCGACAAATAAGATCAATAAAGAAAAAAAAACACCGGTTTCCGAACAGCAAAACCAACACATCGCTGGCCGCTAACTGCCTCCGGAATTTTGATTCCTTCATAAACTGCCGATTTCACCATTTTCCAACAAGTCCATGAGATCCTGCTGTACCACCGGATTTTAGTTTAACCCGCCAATTATTCAAAAGAATATATGAAAGGACATTAATCCCTCTTCCGAACGCAACAACTCTATTTCTGCATGTGCGGAAACCGACGAAGAGACAATGCGAAAAATATTCCTCGTTTTATGAGCTTGAACGCTCGGGTTCCGTTACTGAATGATGCACTTCGGTAGTGTGACGTCGCTTTATCTTAGTCTTCTTTAGCATCGTTGCCTGCAACAGAAGGCTGCTTTACTTTGCGTTTCTTGAGCATGGTGGCCTACAACAGAACAAACACAACACTTGCACCTTGGATTGGTTAACACGGACTCACAGGCAGACACCGACACAGACAACGGTTACGGGGGGCAACATTACAACTAACACAGATCAAAATCCCACTCACCCGCAACGCAGATCGCAGCACGACCACCTGACCCGATCCTTGGCTCCATGGTTCTCCATCAACGTGAACAGGAAGCTCCGAACGCATTTTAATACGGATCTGCATAGGTCATAAACAAATACACCTAATTATAAGCGCTCAACGCTTCTTCATATTACGTACAACACATATACATGCACGTTACAATGTACCAGTAAGTATGTAACTATGACAAAAAATTTCAGAAGTTGCTGATTACAGTACAATACAGCAGTAAAAGACTTACGTGTCCTCCTTGGGCTATCCGAATGCCACTTCGCAGACCGCTCTGCATTTGTCCCAAATGCACTACACCAGTCACTCCGACAACCTCGAGCATACCGTCCCAATGTGTGGGTTTCGAAAAGGTCTCGTCTTTTTCCATGCCCCAAGGATTACACCCGGCGCCCCAACTATATAACCACGATAAAGCCTTATCAAAATCCTTATATTAATATTAATCCGTATATTCTTATTTCGATACCGCATTGACCATTAATGCACAAAACTTGAAAAGAGCCAACAAGATTTGTTCAAAATTCGGATTTCCAAAACTCATTCTGCGCTTTTTTATACTGTATTAGTTTTTTTTATAAAATACAGCAGGCGTTGTTCTGAGTTGAATCTCTACAAGGCTCCTTGTATCAAGTAAGACCGTTTTCTGTATTAGGACTCTGATATCTGTAAATTATTTTTCTTCGAATGAATCCGATCAGCATAGCTAACTTATAATATTCAACAATGCACTTTACCTTAAAATGTTCAGAATGATTATTCCTTCCACGGGCGGCAGGTCCACATGTTTTCCATCGACTTCAAGCTCTATTTCCTTTTGTAAATCGCGACTACCACTCTTTGCACTCCGATTTTTGACCATTTTGCGCAAACCCATTTTGAAATAGATCCTCTTATTATGAAATCTACGAGGAACCAGTGTAATTTACCGATAAAACGATACTGATTACATCCGGAGGCACCTACCGACTGTTAAATTTATCAGGGTTTTCTTCGCGAGCATTATGAAAATCCAGAGCGAGATCAGCATCCAAACCAATGCCGAAGTAATTATTCATAACGAACATACTCGTGTTGTCTTCCGCAGTGCTGCTACTCATAACTTGGCAAGCAGCCACAGCTTTTACTTCGCCTTCTGGTTTTTCGTCCGGATGGAAAACTACGGTCCACCTGAACAATTAAAAATTAAATTCCTACTTTTTCTAAAACTCTAGTTTTGAAGATTCTTCCGCTATAAGGTTTCCAGCAATTCTCATATTTCTTACTTTACAAAACATTATATAAAAAGATCAATAGATTTCAATCTCATTTCCACTGATTCTAGTCCCAGTATTTGCCACTGGGGCTATTCTTCTTTTGACGGTTCTAACGTAAATTGTTATAACCTCTCAATCCACCTCTTGAGCCATGGTTATCAACATCCATGCGCAGACATAGTAGCAAGTTAGGCCATCATACCCACGCAGAGAACAGTCGCAATAAAAACTAGTGGTAGGAAAACAATCTCCTATGCTGTTTTACCTATCGAGACGGATTTCATCCGCTTCAATAACATCCCTCAGAATATCCATTGGCTCCTCGTCGCCGGTATAACCTGTTCCCCATCGCAATACTCTCGCCAAATCATTGCCTATATAAACCCACAAGCACTAGTACAGCCAGAAATGCACCCGAAAAATAATTTGAGCCCATTTATGGCAATATCTTTCGGACACAAACTACGATAACAAGAACAAAACAACCGCACTACCGCTCACTAACCCGTTCCAAGTGGAACCACCGCGCAAGGTGGCGACTGGCACACGGAATCTTGGCCCACATTATCCAGGCACTGTAGCACCCACCCCACAGTCCCATCTCCACCGCAGATCAGAATGCGATATTTTGGCACATTACGAAAGACGTAGAGACCCGGCAGAGGTCCACCATTTCCCAAATCAAATACTTGATAAGGATTAAGTAGTTTGCGAAAGGATGCGATCAGCTCCATTCCCTGACAACCACCGCTTTTCACATTGACAAAGACCAACAGCGGCGTCAGTTCTTTCAAATTTGCTAACAACTGAGCCTAAAATTAGAGCAAGGTATCATAAATTGCCAGATAGTCTTGTAACAAGCTGAAAATCACACAGAAGGGAACATTTGGTGTACAGCACCAAAACAATAATCTGAAAGATAAACCCATATTAGAAAACCAAAATACTTGCTTGAATATTAGGTAACAGCATCACAAGCAGGTTCCGATCATCGAAAACAGCAACTTTCAACGAGTTAAACGCTCGCACAGCGGCATCGTTGTTATCGTAAATAATCACAACCGAGCCGTATTCATAATAAATTATTCCAATTGTGGAAAATGGATTATCTACAAATTTTCAAAAGATCAGAGCGGTCTTTTGAAAAATACAAGTACAATAGCCAGTAGTCACGGTTAATATATACCGTCTCCAATGAAACCCATCAGTATGCCGTGATACTGGCGCTGTGAAAGGTTAGAAGGTAGATTGCCAATAAAGAGAGCTATTGTAGATCCGTGGGGATCCTCCTTTTCTTGAAGATAAAATCGCGTCTTCAGCATTTGATGGATCGATTCCTTTCGAATCTGTTGCATAATACGCCAAGGCTTCTCGTTGTGCGATAAAACGCGCTCGGTCACTGCAAAATACAAAGGTATGTACAAGTATAAATACTGTACGTGTTGCCGCAGGAGGTAAGGCTAATAACATATCAAACTGCGAACAACTTGTATCGTAAAATTACAAGCATCTGTGCAGACAGTGCAGTAAAAAAGAACCCAGTAGAACCCAATAGTTTTAACAATGAAAAATCTAGATGCAAAAGACTTCCGAAAATTAAAATCAGAGAGCATATCAAACGAGACTTGCGGGCTATCGCACAGTGAGCGAGCAGAAGAACAAAACTACAATCTGCTTATATATGCTTTGATTTAGAAAGATTGTAATTACAATAGACAGCAAAATACTAAACAAAAGAAATTATTATTGAACCGATCGATTCCGTGCTTGCGGCATGAGCATTGCTGGCAGTTTTGTGGCCACTGTTCAAAAATTAATATTCCTCGATATTTTGAGCATTGCAGCAAGTACTGCAACATTCTGACATCCGATTATTACTAATTCAACATTATGATAAATCTTAATAGCCTGTTTTACTTAACTGTCAGCACTAAACGCAAGAACATCCTCATTTTAAGCAAAGTCATCTTTCGACAAACCTCGGTTATCCATGGTCACTTCAATAAGATTGTATTTAGATTTGGTCGTAGTGCCTAATCCAAACTTGCGCAGAGCATACTCCAGCACATCATCGACCGTTGTATCGCTTGTAACTGGAATGCTTTTATACCCCTGAGAACTTCTGCAGACGGAGTCAAAGAAAAGGAATTAAGTGACGAAAGAGAAAGATACATATACAACGGAGTCAGTCAAGACATTTGTGCCGTGCCAGCCATTTCGGCGATCAATAATCACATACTTCAAATTTCCCGGATAAACTTTGATAAATCCTTTATTTGGATCCTTATCTCTGTAGCGCAAAAACAGGGACGGACGCTCTCGGCTATCCTCTTTCATCAACATGCTGCAGATAGGTGTGGTCACATCCAGTGTGCGTTCCTCTGAGCCTTCTAATGCTTCCGTAATGTAGTAGTTTCCCGGGTCGTCTTTAATGTAAAAGGAACGCAGAGCTGCCTCCTGTTCAAACAGATACAGCACCAAAATTATCACCGGAATGTATGTGTGCGTATTTTATCTCATGCATTGGCCATGAGAGTCGAAGGCTCTCTGCAAAAAAAAAACTACCAAAGAACGCTCGATAACAACGATCACAAGCACGCAGATGCTAGGACATTTAGACTGTCGTAAGCCAACCGGGCGCAACAAAATTAACGGACAGGGCACCTAGTTACAGGCACGTGACATGCATGATTCCTTCTCAAAGTCCCGAGTACAGGTTTTTTCAGACAACTGGAAGTTCAAGTGCGTACGCGTAACACCTAATGTCTAACATTAATCCTTCCCCGAATTAAAGCGATGTTACACTGTTAACTTAAAGGACACGGTAGGTCAGCAGAATTGTTAAAATTGTTGACAACTTCTGTTGTTAAAATCAACGAGTTACACTTTTCAACCATTTAAACAGCTACCATTTCCACCCAATAATAAATCATTCAATCGTCCTATTCACTAGTGCGAACCAAATCATCTGCAATAAACCAATCAAGTTTTCGCCGTGGGCTGCCCTATGTACTTTAAAGAAAAAAGTTCCAAAAGCTTCATTAAACTTTGCAATAACTACTTCCCGGGATTGTCCTTCCTACCGAACACTAATAATCCATGCATTACTTGCGCCTCCTTGAACACCAACAGTACCGCGGTTTTGTGGAGAACAACAGCCATTTGACCTTCACATACATACACAGAATACTTACCACCACCTCTTTGGCTCCAGCGTTGCGGTTAACGGTAATTGTGCGGAATACTTTGCGTCTCATGGATGAGTTGCCATCAAAAACTTTGACAATCTCCGCATCCGAATCCTGCTCCTCATCATCTTTATCCTTAGAACGCCGCTCTTCTTTCTGTGAATCACGCTCCTTCCGCTCCTCCTTGTCTTCTCGTTCCTTTTCTTTTCGCCGCTTGCGCTCTTTGGAACTGCTAGACTCACCGCTACTGTCCTTTCCGTTTATACCAGTAGAAGACGAGAGTTCCTCGGATATGGCTGTACGCGCTACGCATGAAAATTTGGTTGGTAATCAAAATGTTACACCTGCAACAGATCTCAAACCTGTAAACTTACGCGACAGCATACTTTCTTTTTCGTTGCCCGACTCTTTCTCTTTCGATTCCTTATCTTTCATTTTCCGATAGGATAACACTCCTATGATTGTTTCCATTGGAAGTTCGGTTCGCGGAATCGTCACCACACTTGGTGGAAGCATAATTTTTTTCAATGGTCCAAAATCGCATTCCTGTGGCACCGTACTGCGACATAGCGGATGTGCCTACGCCAGAACACTTAATTAAACGTTAGAATGTTTTCAAGGTATTATGAGCATCAAAGGTAAAATATTCGTCTACTTAGCGTCGGTCACTGACAGTACAATTCGTATGTACAAGGGGACACTCACCGTCAGAATACACCACGCACATCTGTAGCCGCATAAGCATTCAGATGACCAGCAGGATTTCCGGCAACTGGCACATTTAGAATTATTGGGCAGATTACCCTCGCTCCAGTGGTGATACTGAATAATCTGTGCAGGTTCCTTTCCAGGTGTGTAAGTAGCACACTCACGACAGTTACTGGCTGCAAATTCTTGACACTCAGCATGCACATAGTAATCGCAAACTGCAACACAAGATCTCGTTAACGTTTTCAGATTAAGTTATAACCCAAAACCTTACTTTCACATCGAAAGCACCACAGATCGTCCAGGCGTTTCCGGCAAACATTGCAGAACTTTCTTTTAACGTGAATTAATTCCGACCAGCAATGCGGCACAGGATTCTAAAAACCGTTCAATCTGCTTGTACGAAATTCCTGTTCACAACAAAAACTGTTCTTGCTAATTTTACTCTTATCCAAATGCGGTTTATATGATAAAGAATTTTCCAGTTAGATCAGCAGTTTGCAAAAGATAACTAATATTCCTATGCGAGATATGTACATAGTACATATGTACAACCGCCGTGAATATTTTCCATAGCACCTTATACATCAAGGAATTCGCAAAAGGCCTGTTTAATGAATTATTCTGACAAGCCAAAAGTTTGAGAAACCATAACTGATGAACAGCGGACTATTAATGCAGTATGGCATCACGGTTGCAGTCTGGTAAAATAACTTTCAATTCCTTAATTAAGTAATACAAGATATACAATTAAGTAATACTGATCAACATAATCATATAGATATTATGCATCTATCGTGAAACCCATAAACCTATTGTTCGATATCACTTAAATGCAAATAGTGCTACTCTAGAACTTGTTGATTGTATAAGCCAAACGACAATTTCGTGTCTGTTTATCACTTTCAGTACAAAAGGGACCGTTTAATTTCACATAACGAAACTAATTTTCAGGGTACGAAGAAACATATCCAACACAAGAGGAGATCAGAAGGTGCGAGAGTATAGTTTTATATGATTTGCTGATTAAATACCACAGTTAACATCACATTTTCCCCGGCCCCTCTCTATATCTGCCTCATTCATAAAATCCTCACCAGTGCAAATGATGGCAAGCGGAATAAATAAATAACATGACGTCAATGCAACAAGCATTTTCAATGAGGTTATGCCATCCATACTTTCTCTCCTCTTTCACTCCCTATTCGCTTTCCAGCACTAACCGGAGCTCCACTTCATTCAATCGGCATGTTTTTCTAGCACGCGCTTGCATCAGCGGGCCAGAGCCGATCATCCAGCCCTAGTACTAGGCCTTATAGCTGCTGCTACCGTTTCATTTAGACTTTCGTAACAGGCTTGCATAACTTGATCTTTGCCTATGCAGATAAAGTACTATTAAAATCAAATAAATGTAAACATACTTTATTCTACTACTTCCGGTTGTATCTTTCCTTATGAAAACATACCCTTTGCATGCTGTACACAGGACTGACAATTGTTAGACCAGAAAAAACTACTGGCTTCACCAAAAGTAAGCTAACGCCAGTCCCTGGAATAATTTGAGATATCATACCAGCAGTCTTATTCTGTCATTCACGAGTAAAACCTTACGGCACCTACAGAGTACTGATAGAAAATTAAAATTAACTAGACAACCGAAAAAAACTACGGCATTTCAAAACCAGGATAACATTGCGTTACTTTATAAATCACTTCCATTTGTACACTTTATATGTTATCAAAAAAACCTTCATAAAGATTTCCTAATTCAGCGATGCTTTTTGCCACGAATACGAAGTATACTGAATAAAAAATACATACTTTATAATCTTTCAAAATTAATAAAAATCACCACAAATTCAGTAAGTCCTTTACTTTGCAGGATAAGGGCAAAGTACAAACCAGTTGACAATGAAGCGATTAACATCAGAAAATTTTTAAATTCAAACAGAAATCCGACAAATCTTTGTCTTATCTAGCCGGTTCTGCAAATACATGTACTGCTGCATGCACTACCTACCCAGCTACCAACAGAACCATCCATACCGCGCGCACTATATTCAAACGATTACGTACGCAATCCAAATTCTATTGGCGCAAGGTGCAAGAGTATAGTCCAGATGCGCAATAACGAAAGATTCTGGATATTTCACACCATCCATAAGTATACAACTATGGACAGGCAGCTGTATAACGACGATTTGTCCAAAGAACTCAACATTACGTAATACCCAGAACCGACTCCAGGTTGTACCAGCACTGACGTCAATGCAACGTTTCGTAACCATTACCAACAAAACTTGCCGGTCGAACCCATAATATCAATGGAAAATTATCAACACCAAACAACATTTTCAAACAAATCTGACTTTCCAGAATAAAATTGAAATCAATGCATAAAATATCTGAAAACAGCACACAGTTACTGCTTATTCATGGATGTTGTCGGTGTTCAGACTTTAGAATACTGAACAGTTACCGTAAAAGAATCTTGACAGTTACCGTAAATGTTAATAATTTATGGCAAAATCTTTAGCAATGGGTAAACAAGCCGGCATAAAGAAGAGCGAACCGATAAATAAAGCTCACTGAATATTTACAATAACCACAAGGAGCGATATCTCCAAAAAATAAGCACGACATCCAGTGCACCGTGCACGTGAAATTCTAATGCGATGAGGCACGAGATTAATTACGCAAACGAAAAACCGTTGTGCCTCACACGAGTCAGATTTCCCGTATTCGACTGCGGTATCACTACGTTAAACGCCCATAATCTCTTTGTTCTAGGCTTCTAGCTGGTAACCGGATTGCAGTATTTACTCACCTATACCGTCGCAAATTCGGAACGATTTTTTAGGATCATTACTGTTACTTATGAGATATCCGCTTTGACCAGATTATCTTCACATACAAGTTTTAGAAAACTCCATCTTACATATTGCACAGTCACACTTTTCAAACCATTGTTTCGAAGCGTTAAAAAGCTAAGACCAGTTACTTATTTTCTGCGTAGGTTTCAAAACTATACGGTTTAAGGTCCACAAACTATTACTTTCAAACACTGTAAAAAACGTTAATGAAGAAAACCTGTAAATCTCTACGAGAGAATAAAACTTACCTTTATTAATGCGGCAGCGATAGATGAGCACGGCGTCACCACGTGTTTCATGCAGCGTTCATGAACCACAAAATTGCAGACTGAAAACAAACGGCATGTTCATAATACGAGTATAATTAACGTCTTCATCATTCTCAGAGAAAAAGTTTTTTTTTCAGAGAAAACATAATTTTTTGTCCGTTCAGTCATGAAAATCAGAAGGATAGTTAAAATCAGAAGATATTTCGAATTTTATGACAGTTCCAGAACAACAGCGGTCTTAAAAAGAAAATAAAGGACGACTCTACAAGACCGATCTAAATAACTATCCTAAAAAATGTGCATACTAACCTTCGCATACGTATCCGGACACACCGATGAGTGTCCATATCATCTCTGCGCAGTGATGGCAGTACGACGGCTTATGGAAGGACTTCTTCGTGAAAAAATGTCCATGACCAAGTTGGTCGGTATTACCGGTGGCACTGCTGCTTTCAGCGCCTTCGCTATCTGCGGAAGTGCGTCGATCAACATCGAGACTTTCGGGGATGCTGGCGATTTCCGGACCAGCCATGCTGCGCGATCGCCTCATCTGCTCACTATCGAGCAGCCCCGCACCACCACGGTTTTTTATATGGCGAAGTCGCGGCGTGATGGCTGAAGTATCGTTATCGACAAATAACAAAGGTCCACATAGATATAAAGTTTAAATTTTCCCGCATAACCGATATCCACCGGCCGGATAAATTACATGCAAAAACTCCATCAATACACCGTTCGAAAGGCAATCTGTCAAGTGCAGCTTATTCAGGTGCACGATAAATTGGTAATCCAATGTCTTGGTCACAGTTTTGCAACTAAAACAAAAAACTCCAGTCAAGTATCGCACAAATTACTCATTACATAGTAATGGAAAAGGCTGAAAAGATGGAACAGCATCCGTACTGCAAGCATTACGCGTAGTCGATGTTTTTGATGGAATTTATTATGTTTTTCACCGACTAAACCAGGTTGAAGAGACCCTGGTTAATTAGGTTGATTGTAATCTTCAAGTGGTGGTTTTGATGCTACATCCTCTTAGAAAAATCTTGCCAGAGCATCTCAACTTCAGATGACACAACACAAATCTGACAATGAATGTCGATGGCGTTAATTATTACCAATAGCGGTATCATGCAGTATGAGTGCCACTTATTAACATATACTCCTACCACAACATCAGTATAGTACAGCATTAATTTTCCGAACTAATACATAAAGACATTCCACTACCAAGCAGGTAGGTGACAGGTAAGTTACTCCAATACCTGCAGAAATATCTATATTCAGGTACAGCTTGACCCGCACAAATTTATTACAACTTTAAAGACAACAGTAAATGCGGATAATTTGAGGTATATTTTCTGATTAAGAGAAACTTTCCATTTTAAAGAGAAATATTAAGAGAAACTGTCCATTTTCAAAGAAAAATTTTCTATTTTTAAACCGAAAAAGAGACATCGCTACACAAGCGCATAAAGCGATGCAAGACAACGTATAAAGGCAGTCACACCAAAGGAAAGATTGATGCGGACGTCTTCTCTTCTTTCCTCTTCCTGGTTTGACGTGAGGAAATCTCATCGCTAGTAGTCACTATTATAGTATAGTACAATAGACCCGTACACAACGTGCTCCGTGCATCTGCACCAAAACTATGCATAAAATTAAAAATCTCCAAGCGCATGCCCTAACAAAAAATCACTCACTAGTAAGTACTTGATTTTCTCGACATGTACAGAATTTAAATAAAAGTGCAACATCAGGATTCAGCAGTAATCACAATTCCATATTACTTAAACAAACCTAATTCCATATTACTTGTACAAACGCTAAGAGGCTAAGAGGTACTGTATATTAAATTTATGTGCAACTAATCTATATAATTATTATGTAATACATCTGCACATAAAGTTTACATCCCGGTTATTGTTATTATCAGGTCGGCAAACATATACAAGTTTCAGCACTCACCCTAACTGCGCAAACAGACACAGAACGTGCCTATTGTAAAAAAAACAGTCGAGAAAAGACAACTTGAAACTTACGGTCACAGGCACAGTGCCAGAGAATACAGGGAGACAACACAATACGCTCGATGTTAGGGTTGACACAGCATCCCAACGAGCGAACACGAGCGGTGTTTGGAAGTGATCCCTTCATATGAATATGATGATAAACCGTTGTCCATCGAACTGGAGATGGTTAGATAAAGTGGATACAATACACAAGTTAAATAATAAATTAAATGAAGAAAGATAAGAACCTTGCAAGTCAATAACCAGGGATCATTCTGCAACCCACAGCATTTGACTGCAGCGAACAATTCTGCAAACCGTCCAACCCCAGGTTATTAAATTGCCATGCAGCGTGCGCTGAGCCAGTATCTCGGTGCAGCAGCAGCGTACTGGGTACTGTAAATGCAGGAGGATATTTCGCAGTACGGCACTTGGACGACTATGACCGTTCAGCCAGCCAGTCAAAGGAGGAACCAAGCGGTTATGTACGTGGATCCACATTCAAACAGGACTGAACTGATAGAGAAACGCATGGAGCAGTACCGTGGCACCGTGCATATAGGAGCTGGGGGTGTGTGGAGCTTTGCTTCAAGACAGATCCATAAGAAACATGCCTCAGCAGACGTGCGTAAACGCCCGATCCGTGTCTGTAACTACAGGACAGAAAACGGTACGGCGTTCATGGCTTCAGCACTTGTATGAGATCAAACTGCAGTATGGCCGCGTGCTCGCTAGCGCTGTGCTCCTTTTCCGTCGGAGCATCGATCAGGACTCTGGCTGGCTACAGAACGAGCCGCAGCTATAACCGATACAGCATATGAACGACAGAAATTCAATGAATTACACGTTATGTAATTAGGTTGAGCCCAACTGTTCCCAACAATTTCAAATTTCTAGTAAAATCAGCAAGGCCAAAAAGATGTCACAGAAAGATTTTTACGTGATTAACACGAACCAGCGCTTACAAGTTAGCGGCTTCCCGCTTACGTAGGTCTCAGATTTCTTTTGTTTTTGTTACTCTTCAGCTTTGTCACGTGTGTGCTGATGTTCAAGACCTGCCTATAGAGGTCGCTATTTGTAAAAAGCCTAGGGTGTTACTGTAATAATAAGTACTCTACCGGACTAACCCGGTCCGTACGAGACACGGGTTCGAGTCGCCACCGTAGAGGCGGCGTAGACACATAATATAGATAGATTATTATATCTATACTTATATGTATTACAAGTACGGTATTTAATTCTACTACAGTTTACAGTTTATAATAATTACTGTAATCGTACTTACAGTAGTTGGTACTGGTAGTACAGCTAGCGATACTAAACAATAATATTAATTTTGTAATAACTGATACTTTACTCTATGCTATCACCGTCATGAAATTATTACCGCACGTGCACGCGCGTACGTTAGCGTCTTAACTTAATTAACTCGGTATACGTATATACGTGCTGCAATCCGGATCGTTACTTATTAACAATGCCAGCAGCGATAATAAAAATGTGTGCTTTATTTAAAAACTGAAAATAGTAAGTACCTGAACATTGAAAAATCTTAAAAGTACTGTAAGCCCATCGAAATCGGCATAAATTCGCTGCCGCCTGAACTCACCGTTACAGTTTCTAACTTTCTACTCTACTCTAGTAGCAGATTATAACCGGTCATTACGGATGGCACCGCTGCACTCTGTTGTCTTTTTCGCTACGATCTCCTTTTAAAATAGTTATTTATTTAACAGTAATTACCTTCACCTTAAGACAGTCATGCTTATGTGGCTTGAGTGTGAATTGTAGAACACTGAATACTTGCATGTATGATGTATATCTACATCTTCTTAACTATTCAGACAGAACTCTCTGTCCGTAACGCTCCCGCCTCCAAATCGCTCTCATTGGTCAGAGCCAAAACTCTTGATAAACAAAGTGAACCAACTGAACAAACTTACTAAACATAGTGAACCTGCTGATCACACTTACTAAACAAAATAAACCAGCTGAACCCGACCAAAACCTTCGCGAACCAGCTGAACCCAACCTAATCCTTAACGAACCGACTGAACCCAACCAAAACCCTAATGAACCATCTGAACCCAACCTAATCTTCAGTGAAACCACTAAACCCAACCAAAACCTGATTGAACCAACTGAACCCAACCAAACAGTTAACGAACCGACTGAACCCAACCAAAACCTTAGTGAACCAGCTGAACCCAACCTAATCCTTAGTGAACCAGTCGAGCCCAACCGAAAAAATAGTGAACCAGTTGAACTCAACCAAAACCTTACTGAACAAGTCGAACTTCACCTAATTTTTGGTAAACCGACTGAACCCAACCAAATCCTTATTGAACCAACTGTACCCAACCGGAAAGTTAGCGAACCGACTGAACCAACCAAAACCTTCTTGAACTAGCTGAACCTAAGCGAAAAATCAGTTAACCATTCGAACCCAACCGAAAAGTAAGGGAAGCGACTAAACCCAACCAAAACCTCCTTGAACTAGCTGAACCTAATCTAAAACTTAGTGAACCGACTGAATCCAACCAAAACCTAATTGAACCAACTGAACCCAACCGAGAAGCTAGCGAACCGACTGAACCCAACCAAAACCTGATTGAACCAACTGAACCCAACCGGAAAGTTGGCGAACCGATTGAACCCAACCAAAACCTTAGTGAACCAGCTGAACCCATCCTTATCTTCAGTGAATCCACTAAACCCAACCGAAAACTTGGCGAACCGACTGAACCCAACCAAAACCTGGTTGAACCAGCTGAACCGAACCTAAACGTCAACGAACTAAATGAACCCAACCAAAACCTGATTGAACCAACTGAACCCAACCAAAAAGTTAACGAACCGACTGAACCCAACCAAAACCTTAGTGAACCAGCTGAACCCAACCTAATCCTTAGTGAACCAACTGAACCCAACCAAAAAGCTAGCGAACCGACTGAACCCAACCAAAACCTGATTGAACCAAGTGAACCCAACCGAAAAGTTAGGGAACTGACTGAACCCAACCAAAACCTTAGTGAACCAGCAGAACTCAACCTAATCCTTAGTGAACCAACTGAACCCACCCGGAAATTTAGCGAACCGATTGAACCCAACCAAAACCCTACTGAATCAACTGAACCCAACCAAAACCTTAGTGAACCAGCTCAACCCAACCCAATCCTTAGTGAACCAACTGAACCCAACCGAAAACTTGGCGAACCGACTGAACCCAACCAAAACCTGGTTGAACCAGCTGAACCGAACCTAAACGTCAACGAACTAAATGAACCCAACCAAAAACATTAGTGAACCGACTAAACCCAACATAAAAATTATTAAATCAAAAAACCAAACCTTATCCTTAGCAATGCGACTGAACTTGACCTACACATTATTGAACCAAATAAACCTAACCCAATCCTAAGTGAACCGCTTAACGGCGTTACGTAACCCCGCGAAAGTGCGCGCAGTGACGCTACCACTCGAGAGCAAGCAGCGGAATATAAGCACGCGAGAGGAAGCTGCGTAACCCTATTGCAAAGAGGAATTAGCGTAATCTTACCACGTAAGAGTAAGCGGGGCAACATTACCACGCGAATGTAAACTAGGTAATGTTACAACGCGAGAGTTATTATCGTAAAGTTACCACTCGAGAGTGAGCAACGTAAGGCTTGCCAGTGAAGTAGCGTTTAGTAGATAAAGCTACGTAAATCTGTTACTGACAATGGTCTGTGTAACCTTACCATGCGAGAGCAAGTGGCGTAATGCTACTACGCTAGAGTAAGGTGATAACGTTACCACAAGGAAGTAAACCAAGTAACGTTACCACGTGAGTGTTAGCAGTGTAACGTGACCACGAGAAAGTAAGTAACGTAAGAACGCGACCGTAGGAGACATAACGTAAGCACGGGAGACGTAACAGCGTAGCGTCAGGGCGCGAGACGAAGGAAAGTAACGTTACCGTGCGCGAACAAGCTACGAAAAATTTGCCACGCGAGATTTATAGCCTAACGTTACCACGCAAAAGCAGGCAGCGTTACGTTACCACAGGAGAATCTACGTAACTACTACGGTAAGCTACGTATCTTTATTGCAGAGGGTAACCAACGTAACGTTACCGCGTGATAGTTTAGCGGCGTAACATTACTACGCGAGAGATAACGCCGTACCGTGATCGCTCAAGAGTAAACGGCGCAACGTCATAACGCGATAGTTCATGGCTATGCTAGCGGTTAGGTACATGAAACTGTCTGCGCTAAATACTTTTCGTAAAAACTAAACGCACTGTACAGTAGAGTTAGTTCTTTGTGTAAAAGATTAACGTGATCCATTCACTGACGTCCGCTAAGCTTCGTGAACCAGCTGAACCCAACCTAATCCTTAGTGAACCAGCGGAACCCAACCAAAACTTTAGTGAACCAGCTGAACCCAACCTAATCCTTAGTGAACCAGCTAAACCCAACCAAAACCTTAGTGAACCAGCTGAACCCAACCTAATCCTTAGTGGACGGACTGAACCCAACCAAAACCTTACTGAACCAACTGAACCCAACCGAAAAGTTAGTAAACCAACTGAACCCAACCTAATCCATAGTGAACCAGCTGAACCCAAACTAATCCTTAGTGAACCGGCTGAACCTAACCAAAACCTTACTATTCCAACTGAAGCCAATTGAAAAGTTAGTGAACCAGTCGAGCCCAACCGAAAAGTTAGTGAACCAGTTGACCTCAACCAAAACCTTACTGAACAAGTCGAACTTAACCTAATTTTTGGTGAACCGACTGAACCCAACCAAATCCTTATTGAACCAACTGTACCCAACCGGAAAGTTAGCGAACCGACTGAACCCAACCAAAACCTTCTTGAACTAGCTGAACCTAATCGAAAAATCAGTTGACCATTCGAACCCAACCGAGAAGCTAGCGAACCGACTGAACCCAACCAAAACCTTCTTGAACTAGCTGAACCTAATCATAGAATCAGTTAACCATTCGAACCCAACCGAAAAGTAAGGGAAGCGACTAAACCCAACCAAAACCTTCTTGAACTAGCTGAACCTAATCTAAAACTTAGTGAACCGACTGAATCCAACCAAAACCTAATTGAACCAACTGAACCCAACCGAGAAGCTAGCGAATCGACTGAACCCAACCAAAACCTTACTGAACAAGTTGAACCCGACCTAATCTTCAGTGAATCAGCTGAACCCAACCAAATCCTTATTGAACCAACTGCACCCAACCGAATCTTTAGTGAACCAGCTGAACCCAACCTAAACATCACTGAAACAAATGAACCCAACCAAAAACAATGGTGAACCGACTGAACCCAACATGAAAATTAGTGAACCAAAAAACCAAAACTTATACTTAGCAAAGCGAATGAACCCGACCTGAAGATTATTGAACCAAATAAACGTAACCCAGTCCTTAGTGAACCGCTTAGCAACGTAACGTAACCACGCTAGAGTACGCGCAGTGACATTACCACTCAAAAGCAAGAAGAGGAACGTAAGCGCACGAGAGAAAGCTACGTCACCCTATTGCAAAGGGCAATCAGCGTAATCTTATCACGCGAGAGTGAGTAGCGTAACGTTATCACGCTAGAGTAAGCGCAATAATGTTACCCCGCAAGAATAAGCAACGTAACGTTACCACGCGAGAGTTAGCAACGTAAAGTAACCAATCGATGGTACGCAACGAAAGGGTTACCAGTTGAGTAGCGCTAAGTAGAGTAAGCTACGTAAATCTATTACTGAGCGTAATCAGTGTAATCCACGCGAGAGCAAGTGGCGTAACGTTACCACGCTAGAGTAAGGAAATAACGTTACCACGCGAGAGTAAACCAAGCAACGCTGCCACGTGAGTGTTAGTAGCGTAACGCTACAACGCGAAAGTAAGCGTAGTAACGTAACAACGTAAGAGTAAGCAGCGTACTTTTACAA